ATTACTTTCTGATTACATTGTAGAAAATGGGTAGACCTTAAAAATATTATAAGGTTTTATAAGCAAAGATGGTTAGTGGCTGGCAGTGGAATCCAGTTTGACGCGCGTTCAGCAATATTTGGGACTCTTCAGCTGGATGTACCTGCATCTCAGAGTTGGTTTTCACTCCGGAACTCGAACCCAGTACCGTTCGCTTCAAACGCCATCACGTTATCCACTCAGCTACTGAGACCTAATAGCCACTTGCTTGTGCAGGTTTGTTATCTTGGTTAATTTTTTGTGACCTTTTCTCAAAGTTTGTATTATTTGTTTACTTTATAATAAATTATTATTTTTTTCCTTACCCCAAGCACCTTCGGTCAAATTAACTGTATTAAATCAAACTGTTATTGAAGGTACAAATGTTACATTGATTTGTGAAGCACGTGGTTATCCGCTTCCAACCATTACTTGGTATTTTAATAAACCAAATCAAAAGCAGGATAAAATTCAAATGCCAGGTTTGTAACCGTAACTGTTATGGTTTTTATTATTTTTGTTTTCGTTTAGCTAAATTTCTTATACATTTGAAAATGTTCTAATATTTATTATGTCGTAGTGTGGTGTATGCTACTTATATTGACATAAGTAGTACATATCGCTATTCAGGAATAGAATGTCTGGCAGCAGAAGTTTGAAAAGATCGACAAGGGAAAAACGGAAACACAAAGCAATTGGTATGGAAATACAGGAACAATGAAGTCTGAGACAATTAATGAACATTTTGCAAATGAAGTATTAGAGTATGACTTTTCTAATCTCCACAACCCTTTACTGACTTTTATATTTTACCGAGCAACTCTGTTATTTTGTGCTAAATATACTCTAAGTGGTGTGCTGTTCTGCGGACGCTGTTGCGGATCTGGAGCTGAGGTGCTAGTTGGGGCGGCTAGGTGCAGAGAGGTGACCTCGAGTGCAGTGCTCTGGCGGACGACCTTGGCTGCAGCGCATACTGTCTACAGAGGAGCGGTGGGACGTACGGTTGTTGGGCGGACATCGGACATAGATGGCTCAGTAGGTCACTAGAGAGCGGGCGTTGGATGTCCTAGGTGCCGGGTGGATACCGGGTGATAATGGCCCGGCAGGTCGATGGAGCTGTAGAGGTCAGCGCGCCGCATACTCGACATTTTAACGGACAGCGTGGCACAAACTGCAGAAAAGAAGGAAGTGCGACGGCCAGCAGAACCACTTCTCTGAAGGGGTGACGAGTGTGGTGGATTGGATTAAAGCATGTTCTGTGCACGATTGTGTTGGTGCACGATAATTGGCTGTTTCTTATCCAATCAGCACTAGTCGACACTTGGAGAAAACTCTGGAATCTCATGTAAACGCTATAAATGTACTAACGCTTCTTTTATTGTGCTTCTTACTTCCATCTACCCTTGTTATTTAGAATATAGTTTCTTTCCTGTTCAACCGTGTTCTGATTTGGGGGCTTGTCATGTGAATCGGTGTCCAAGACTAATAAGCGATAGGAATAGCTAGGTCGTGATAAAAGAGAGAATTATGACAACCATTTTCATACACACATAAACACGATTAGCTGAAGATAATTTTCGTTATCTAGTTAAATCTAACAAGTTAATGCAGTATGTTACGGGTAATGAATGTTATAAGAATAAACAGTTCGATAACTGAATCCATAATAATGAAGATGTCATTCTCTTTATCATGTCAGTATGAGTACAAATAATACAGAAGCTAGTCAAAAAACTTCATTAGGTATGCACAAATTGCAGGAAATTGACATACCATCAAGAATTATTTTAGTTTTGTTCTTACTGAATGCAACTAAGATCATCTTAAACAGTCTGACATAATCTTTTATTATTTATGAAAGGAGTTATTAGTCTATTATTTTTTTTCTTAAATTTTCTGAAGAATTAATACTAATAAGGAGAACAAATGCTTTGCTCATCGAAATAGTCGTACGAATAGTAACTCAATAACCTGTTGGTTTATTGAGTAACGGGATTACAGAATGTGAAATACCAAAAGAAAAAAACATAAATAATTAAATTCAATTGGTGTTATTTACTTTTATCTCCCCATTGTTATTTAGGACTGCAATGGGCATATATACATCCTGTGCGCATTGCTTCGATATTATCTTAAGTCACAAGCTTTATAAGGACTCAGTAGCCGAGTGGATAATGCGATGGCGTTTGATGTGAATGGTACTATGTTCAAGTCCCAGGATGAATATCAAATCTGACATCCAGTTACATCTAGCTGACGAGTCCCAAATCGGACGAAACGCGTGTCAAACTGAATTCCGTCGCTAGCTACTATCTATCTTTGCTTAAAAATTATAGTACTAACTTTATTGTTTCTTTTCACATAAGTATCTAGTTTAAAACTACCTATCTTGAATAATTTTAATTAACAATGTATTATTATTTCATTTTTTTTTATATTTGAAGGTAATTACAAAGATTTTACTGTTAGTGTTCGTGGAGGAACTGAAGAAACACACACTATATCTTATTTACAAATAACAAATTTCATCTTGGAATATGAAGGTGAATATGTATGTATGGCTGATAATATTGTCGGAATTAAAGCACAAGGTACATCATTAGTTAGAAATAGTGCTTCACCAATGTTTTCATCTTCATTAATTTCATCCACTGAATTATATTTACATAATGATGATGATGAATCAAAACATTAATACAATTGAAATTGAGTACAAATATTTTTTAAACAAAAAACAAGACACCTTAACTACTATTTACACAAATAAAGGTACATTCTAATTACCCATTAACAGTTTATCTGTTTCTTTATGCATGTTTAATCATCAATTGCTTGTTATTCATTAAAACAAAACGATTAGTTTGCTTTTTTTTCTCTTTTTAAATTGACATTGACAAACCAAGTTCTACAAAAATATAATTTTAATTATTAATTCTTTCTTTATAACTAACCTGTTGATTGAATAATTGATCTTATCTTTGTACTGATCATAGTATGATGTGAGCTACTTATATCCATATAAGTAGTAGTATATAATAATAGACAGGAATAGAATGTATTTCAATGGAAAATCGAAAAGGCAAGAACGAAAATGGGAATCAGTTTGTATGAAAATGTAGGAACAATGAAATCTGAGACGATGGATTGATATTTGCAAAAGAAACAGTCAAGTTTTAGACAAATAATGGATATTTTGTAAATTGAGTATTTACTATATGATTCTCAGATTTCACTATGTTTGTTTGTCGAGTTACATGTTAACTGAATCGTTGATCATACTTCGGTACCGATCATAGTTCATTAAACATAAAAGGAAACGATATTGAAATGGTGGGAGATACAATCAAAACAAAGAAGTAAACAATGACAGGTTTAAGGTCAACAAGAACCAATCAACATCGAGGTCTAAAAGACAACCTGTGTACCACATGTAGAGAAAAATGAACACATCACTCCTATCTCAATTTTATACTGATGATGTCGTTCAGAAGAACGATGAAAGATCTACGACCAAACCAGAGAACAAAACTCTATCGGAAAAGACATTTGATAGCACCTTTACCAAGAAAAGTGAGAAATACCACTCAACTTCGATTGCACTAATTTTTTTTTGATCCTGCGCATGGCTTGACAAAATTTTCACGTGAAATTCATGAGTTATAGTGAGTAACAATAGCAAGATAAATAAAGAACCATAGGTGGTATAAACGTAAAGTCATCATAATCAAGAAATTCTAATTTGAAATCAAGGATAATAAGACTGAAAGAAAACCTATCTAAAACTGAGATAATAGTTTACTTCAGCTATGAAAATAATGAAAAAACTAACACTTAGTTAGATACATGTAATAATGTTAAGATAGTATCCAAGATATATTCTCTTGACTTCTGTTTGTCAGTATTACCTTTAAAGTGCCCCTAAATACCCTGGTACGACCGAAAGTGGGAAGGTTAACATCTCACTCTCCAAATGCTGTCAAGTAGCCACGTGCATAAAAACACTATCAGAGAAGTCTTAATCACTGCTATGTCCTGGCAGGGGTGTTGTCTCCGAAATCAAGAAGATGAAAAGCGAATGTTCGGCGATTTAACTGACTTGGTGGACACAGAGAGTTCACTTAGGGGAGTTGGGAAACCCTTATTTCAAACCAATGGTGTACATGGGCTACGGGATCATAAGGAAACAAATGGCGTATGAACTTGTTGTTGGTCACCGATTACCATGTGATTGCATCTCCTTACATTGCCCCACTGACTTTAGGTCGAAGGCTCCGGGTGCGGCTCCCTAAGACACTTGGACAATTGAGCAGTATCACAGCCCTCACATAAATCGGATGATTTGTATAGCACATATCTATTTTTATGCCTCCTTGTACTAATGTTTATGTCAGAAGCGGTTTGTGATTTTAGAAATTTCACAGATTGAAATCATGAGTCAGTTGAAGCTAGACCACCATGGAAAACCTGGAAGCACTGGATGGCCGTTTCGTCCTAGTATGGGACTCCTCAGCAGCGTGCATCCACGATCCCGCACCCCGCGGGGCTCGAGCCCAGGACCTACTGGTTTTGCGCGTGAGTACTTAACCATTAAACCACTGGGCCGGCATCCAAAGGTGTTAATGTCTAACTTCAACCAATCCACCAAGTTGCGCCACCGTACACCATTGTCTTCAGTGAGCTGATATCTCACAACAGACCTGGTTGAACTCCACTGGTAACGGCTTCCCACTAGAACTACAGGAATATCTGAGTGCGGGATCGTGAATGCGCACTGCTGAGGAGTCCCATACTAGGACGAAACGGCCGTCCAGTGCTTCCAGGTTTTCCATGGTGGTCTAGCTTCAACTGACTCAACATTTCAATCTGTAATGTTTATGTGTTTAATTAAAAAAAAGAAATAAGTAGCATAAAATATATTAAGTAGTATGTTCACTATTATCATATAATCGTAATCGACTGTTAAATCATTCAAGAATAACTTCTTATTCACTTAATACTTCCATTTTGATCTGTAATATATCTTTTAATCTTTTTAATTCATTTTGTTTCATATCAAATTGATATTGTAAAGATTCAATAGTGTTACACAAATGTATCCATTGTTGTTCTACAATTGTTGTTTCTTTATCAAATTCCATTGTTGTCATTTCAGTTTTATTAAGTAATTCAGATAATTCATTTTGTTTTAATAAAGTTAAATATGCCAATTTTGTATTCATTAAATAATGATTTGATAATTGAATCATGAATTCTGTATCATCATTATTTTGAACTGATTGACCATCAATTGTATTAGCTAATAAATGTTCTCTTATAGTTCCATCGGTTGATTGTAAATATCGTATAATACTCTGGTTGTATACGCCTATAAATTTTCTAGATCCTGAACTATAATTAAAATGATTAGTAATAATACAAAAAGAACAAGGAAAAAAAACACACAAACAGTTGCTGTGATATTCACTTGGAATTGTTTTAACTTGTATCTTCCCATTGTTATTTAGGACTGCGATTGATCAGTTTCTTGTTGGCATATAATCATCCTGTGCAGGTTGCCTCGATATTGCTTTAAGTCACAAGTATTATAAGCAAAGATAGATAGTGGCTAGAACTGATCAACTGCAGTCCTAAAAACATCAATAGGAAGATTCAAGTAAGCGATTATCAGGACTCAGTAGCTAAGTGGATAATGTGGTGGGGTTTTAAGCGAACGGTTCTGGGTTCGAGTCCCAGAGTGGACATCAACTCTGAGATGTAGGCACGTCCATGCGTCTTGGATTCCACTGGTTGATGTGATACTAAGAAATTTCCAACAGCCAATACAACACTAATAATCGATATTAATAGTGGAGATCATGAGTGAATTGAAGTTTAATCACCTTGAAAACCTAGAAGCAATGGTCGACTGTTTCGTCCTATTGTTGAAGTCATCAGCAGTGCGTATCCACGATCCCGCCGCATGACATTCGAACTCAGGACCTATCAGTCTCGCGTGCGAGCGCTTGACCTCTAGACCACTGGGCTGACCGGCATCCAACGATGTTAATGTTTAACTTCAACTATTACATGTAATTGAGCGACACATCGTGGATGGACACTTCTGAGAAGTTCCACAATAGGATGAAACGGTCGTCCAGTGTTTCCAAGTTTTCCATGGTTGTCTAGCTTCGATTGATTCATGATTTCAACTATTTAACTTACTATAATATCCACAAAACTCTTTCTGATATTTCAGAAGTTGTTTAATAAGAAAAATGAGACAAAAACATGTATCAATTACTTACTGAACATTTAAATAATCCTTCTGAAATGAATATTATACATAGTAAATTGCATTATTTTGTTGTTATAACAGAACATACCACATTTTTAAATGTTTGTGTATCGTTAAAATTTTCTATTATATTCAAGTATTCAATCCATCTCTCCGCATATAACTAAATGAGAATAGGAAATTTTTTTATAATAAAAAGAAAATTAATTGTTTATATCTGTTAACCTGACCGAATTTCTTTGAACAATCCTTAACTAGTCAACATATGCTCATTAGTGCCTGGCTTCAAGATGTATTTCCTGGAGTTCTAGTGAGGAGCAGTGACCAGTGGAGTCCAACCGGGTCTGTTGTCAGATAGTAACTCATTGAAGACAATGGTGCATGTGTCGCTCAATTTCGTGGATTAGTTGAAGTTAGACATTAACACCGTTGGATATCGTCCAGCTTAGTGGCCTAGTGATCAAGCGCTCGCACGTGAGACTGATAAGTCCTGAGTTCGAATCTCATGAGACGGGATCATGAATGCGCACTGCTGAGCAGTCTCATACTACGATGAAACGGCCATCCAGTGTTTCCACGTTTCCCATAGTGATCTAGCTTTAATGGACTTATGAATTCAATTATTAAATTACTACAATCTCCACAAAACCCCTCTATAATAATAAAAATGAATTATTGAGAACGAGAAATTATTATTAGTGACTTTTTTAAGTGAAAAAAGCCATTACTGGATAGTTCTGCTTTATTTTGCATTGCAGAGTGTAATGTGAACAATTTCACTGATTGAAAATACAATACCACGAATCATTTATAATACAGTACTGTTAAGTGCATCCAACAACAATTTTCGCGGGTGTTCTCAATCATCAGATGTAGAATATCGGGTGAAAATATAAACCTTCTAACTACCATAAACAGAACTAAGGGTAAACAGTTTTTTAAGTTTTTTACAGTTTAACTATAAAGTATTGATATGTCAGAATAAAATATCGAACTAAAAATTTCTCTATTGATTGAGATGTTGAACCACCATTCAAAACCTGGAAGCAGTGGATGGCCGTTTCGTCCTATCGTGAGACTCCTCAACAGTAGTGATCTAACATCAGTCGGTTTATAATCTCAGTCAATAACTTAGTAATCTCCACAACCATATACTGATGAAAATTTTGCACCATATCTTACTGAATCATTCGATAAACTATAAAGAGTTAGGGAATGTGAGTTAAAATAAACAACATTACATTGAAATTGAACTGACTTACTTTGAAAGAATTCAGTCGGGATAACATTGTTTTGTGATCATAAGAAATACAGATATTTTTTTGATCTAAATGTTTAATCACTCGTGAACCTAATCTGAAAATTATAGAAATAGTTGATAAATGATGAAATATTAATGAAACACTATCCATGACAAATAATTATCAAATCTATATTGATATTGATTCCCATCATGGACTAAGTTTACATATAGTTATATATAATATAACCTTGGGGGCCAGAGTAATTTCACATTGGTTTTCAGGAGAACCAGACACCGCCCAAGCTTAACCCGAACAGTACAGCTCAGTCCAGTTTCGCAGGAGAAGCAGACACCATATGGGCTTTAATACCACAATCTGAATAGTATAGCTCAAACCTGTGGCGCAACCACACAGGTACCAAGCACCCTGGTGGACCATTCGCACCATTCATATACATATTCACACCACATGTATAGTTATTCCGATCAATGATCACGTGAATCAATTATGCACAGCACGAACAGGCCAAAGTTAACCTATTCCGCTTACACGACAGTCAAACTCAATAATGTTAGCAATGGCGAAATGCCTCACAATGTCCCAATGACAATGACCCTCGAGAACACTGAAAAGCAACCACCAGTATGAATAAAAATCGGTTATCCAGCAAACCAATTTTGTGCATAAACAGTCAGCAAAACTTGTCTAGGCGATGCCGAACTATTCACAATACCAATGGCGAACCTCCAACTTCATATGAGACCTTCAGCTCTACATAACCATATAGCTTATATTGCATACAACACATATGTAGGGTAGTAAACGAAATAGTTCAGCCTGAAGCGTTAGGACTTAAAGAATGCTTAAAACCGATTGTCTCGTGCCGGAATACAATTACAAAGACCACCAAGATCATTCTTATCGCATTTACGAAATTCTCATTTTTCCGACTTTTCAGACCATGACTTAGGGTTAGTATCTCTAACTTTAGATATAAGACCAATTTGAATCAGATAGGACTAAACATTTGTTTTCTTTTTTCTTAAAATCGGTCTTTAAAGTTATTTTTATCTTCTACAGAATTGTAAACATTTAGATTATTTGATCACTTTCAGTTATACAATTAAAACTATACGATCTATGCTTTCAAAACTTATTCATTTGTATTACAGTTAAAATTAAGCTCTATGTTATCGATAAGCATATATATTTTAGTTTCTAATTGGAAGTTCCGAAAGTCAAGTAGCAACTCGTTCTCCCCCTCCCCTCCTCAATAGGTAGAATCAATCAGGTTAGATAAAGTGGTTATTTATTACACTTTTGTTCGTTGTTAAAGATCATGCCTGATTTTATTAGTATTTCTAGTACAAGTTAAATCGTTATATTAAAAAGTTTAATGTCAACATTAAAGTTGTACTGAATTTAGTTTCATTTCCTCGATGTGAATACTCTTAGAGCAATCCGTAGTTTCTTGGAAATCCCCATAGAACAGAACTAACATAATTCATATACTGTACTGTCTATTAGTTAATTGTTATAACTTGTGCCCTATTAATATATAACGTGATGATACCGCCAATTAGAAAACAGTGAATTATCGATCGGACCAATGACGCATAAAACTCATATGAACAGTCTAGAGTCCTTATCGGTCCTTCTTCCTACCTAGCCCTGTCTGTCTGTTGAATCCAGAACACCAATCTCAGCCTCTGTGATATCAATAATTTATTTCAAATACATCGGGATTATATACCAACCAAACAGACTACAGCGTACCATCAAATACGAAACAACATTTGTACAAGATCTAACCAAAAGTGACTGTGAATTTGCGAGACTGTAATGGATAGACTGGGGTATAACTCAAGAATGGTAAATCGTATCATAATAATTCATAGATTAAAATAAAGCTTATGATAAGAGGAACACGAATATGCACAGTTCAATTACATAATAATTATACAGTAAGAAATATATGTATCGTATTAGATCATAAATAGATTCTAACAGTTGTTACCATTCATTATTCTCATCAACTTACTTAAACAATGATTTTGTCAATTCATAGAAACTATTCTTTTTCAATTTAGGATTTTGTTTATTTAATTGATCATTCTGTATACTTGAATTATTTCCAACAGGCAAATTTCGCTGACCATTTACATCATCGGTATTGTTATTTGTAATTTGTTTATTCAATTGTTGTATTATATTAATTTGTTCCAATAGTATTTGTTCATTTCTCATTTCACTAATACTATTCACCCTGTTCTTGATTAATTCCAACCATTTAATTAGATTTTGTTGACATTTAAATAAACTCCTTTTATTATCATTAATTTGATTCCATCTGAAATAGTGGAGAAGATTTGTAGCTCAGGTGGATGATTATGGTGGAGTTTTGTTCTCTGAGCTGGATGGTTTGGTCGTGGAGCTTTCATCGTTCTTCTGAACTTATATCTGAATTTTTTGCTGATGATGTCGTTCAGAAGAACGATGAAAGCTCCACGACTAAACCATCCAGCTCAGAGAACAAAACTCCACCAAAATCTGAAACAGTTTATGAAATAAGATCAAACTCATGAAATAAATAATAACGATTATAGTGGATAATGTGATGGTGCTTAAAGTGAACGGTACTGGGTTCAAGTCTCGGAGTGAACATCAATTCTAAGATACAGGTACATCCAACTGACAATTCCCAAATAGGACGAAACGCTCATCAAACTGGATTCCACTGCTAGCCACTATCCATATTTGCTTATAATACTTATGAATCAAGGCAATATCGAAACAATACACACAGGATGCACATATGCCAATAACAGACTGATCAATCGCAGTCCTAAATAACAATGAGAAAACTCAAACAAACAATACCAAGTGAATTTAGAGCTTCACCCCATTGCGCAAGCAAGTAGTTAGCAGGACTCATCAACTAACTGGATAACGCGATAGCATTTGAAGTGAACGTTCGAGTCTCAGAGTGAACATCAACTATGGAATGCAGGTACATCCAGCTGACGTGTCCCAAACAGGACAAAACGCACGTAAAACTGGATCACACTGATAACCACTATAAATCTTTGCTTAAAAATTATGCTAGTAGGTTTATTAGTTTTTTTTCGGAAATAAATTACTGGTCACGATGTATTTAGAAAAACATCTGATAGATATGTAAGGGATTTTGAATGATCAAAATTACTTTTAATGATGAATTGTAGAGTAATTCCATGTAACCTTTTTATTCATTGAATCAAAATTAAAATTGTCAAACGTTGTTTCTACTACTTAAGAACGCCAATTATGTTTCCATTGGACCTAAGAAACTGTTTTATGACTACATTACATAATAATAACCAATGTTCATCCATGTTTCCTTTAACCTCAGTAGTTAAATTAATGACCGGCAAATTGGCTATGCTCTTACTAGTTGAAACTCACTTTGTTACGAGAGCCATTTTCAAACTGGTCATATATTACATTTGATTGCTAAGCGACTGACTATTATTATTGAATAACTAAGATAGTTTTCTGGTTTAAATAAACCTTGGGTATGTTGTTATGTTGAATATAACAGTTGTTCTAGTGAATCTGATAGTTAATTTGTGAATTATTATCAGAAGGGGTTTTTGTGGATATTATAGTAACTTCAATAGTTGAGATCATGAGTCAATTGAAGCTACACCACCATGGAAAACTTGGAGTCACTGGACGGCCATTTATTTCTATTGTAGAACTTCTCAGCAGAGCGTATTCACGATCCGATCTCAAGGGATCCGAATTCAGGATGTATCGGTCTCGCGCGCGAGCGCTTGACCTCTAGACCACTGAGCTGGCCAGCATTCAACGGTGTTAATGTCTAACTTCAACAAATCCACGTAATTGAGCTACCCATCAACATTGTCTTCAGTGAATTACTATCTCACAACAGACCCGGTTGAACTCCGCTGGTCACTGCTTCTCACTAGAACTCTAAAAAATACCTCTTGTAGACCGTCGCTAGTGAACATATGTTGATTAAATAATTTATTACTTATATTAACCTATCGTAACAAATAGTGGTTTTCAACAGTTTTTGTAAGAATTTTCATTAATTCCAACTAGTGAATGTAGGATTTTAGAAACGCTTTATAATTCAAATTTTAACCATAAGCTAGGTTCCATGTAAAATGAATGAACTGGTGTCCGACGAAATCTCAGCACGGATTCAGAAAGCTCGTTTGACTTTTGCCAACTTATGTCACCTATGATGAATGTGAGATATCCGTTTATCAATAAAAGGACGAGTATACTGCACAGCAGTTCATTCTGTTCTACTTTACGGCTACAAAACATGGCCATTCGGAGTAGAAGATACTCGTAATCTACTAGCATTTGTTCACACATGTCTTAGAAATATTGCTCGCATCTGCTGACATCACAGGGTAAGTAATAACGAAGTTCGACACAGAGTATTAGGGAATGATGGTATGTCAGTTGATGAGGCTGTGAATTTTCATCAACTGAGATGGTTGGGTCATGTGTTACGTATCCCTGAACACCGATTACCATGACGTGCAATGCTGATTAGTGTTTTGGGGATGGTCGGAAGAAAGTTGGGGGCGGCCAAACTAAAACATGGCATCAGCCTTTGAATTTACTAACTTCTGGTCTGAGCCATGTTGGGAGATGCGGACTACTCGGTTGGCTATCGTAACCAATGACTGAAGATTGCGGTCACCCACAGTCTTCTATGAATTCGGTGTTCATCTTATTGTGCTAATGAGGTATAGCAGCTTAGACCAATGCATACATATGCCTGGTCCTACATTGTAGCTGACTGAATGAGTGATGTAAAATGAATAACTTACTAAAAATTCTAAAACGTCAGTTAAAACACAGTAAACCATCTATTGATTCTATAATAGTTCAGTCAAAAATAACATCTCAGTATAAACTTAAGTTTAAAAAACAAGTACAAAAAAGAAAGAAAATTTCATCGTTCATCAACTTACTCATCAAATGCAACTGTACATGTTTCATCAATTGAATGAGGTCTACTAATTTGTTTTGATGGTAATTCATTGTCATATATTTGCCATTTACAATGAAGTATATTTTTAATAGTTACCATCCAATAATCATATTGTTGGCAAAGATTTTTACATTGTAATTCTAATTCGTTCGTAGTAATTTTACTTTGATTATTTAATCTTAAAGGTGAATGGGTTTTTGAATTTTTATTATTTACATAGTTTTCAGTATTGAATTGAATAAATCGAATAAAATCTTCAATATTTCTAATAACTTTAGTTAAAAGTTGTACAATTCCATTCTCACCATGTAATTGAATTCGACGACTAGCGATCATATTTGTAAGCTCCTATAGTAAGAAAATTATGAAAATGAAGTAATATGAAAACTAAGTATCGAAGTATTTTATAATTTGATTTTCTTTTTAAATAGTCGTGTATATATGAAGTAACCTAAATCCATCAGTCAAAGTTGCTTGGTAATACAATTTTCTTCATTTAAACATATAAACATTGATACAAGGAGGCAACAAACAGATATGCGCCAGATAAATTATTCGACTTGTGTGAGGGTTGGGATACTGCACGGGTGCCCAAACCGAAACAGGTGGTTCACATATGGTACCACACACGGAGCCTTCGATTTAAAGGCCTGATTCATAAGGCAGTAGAGCAACGTAAGGAGATGCAGACCCATGGTAGCCTGTGATCAATAATTGGTTCATACACCATTAGTTCCTTCAGGATCCTGGAGCCAGCCCATGTGCACGATTGGTTTGGAATGAGGATTTTCCAACTGCCCTAGATGGACTCTCTTTGTACACCAAACTGGTTAGAGGGCCGGACAGTTGGTTTTCATCCTCTCAATTTCGTAAACAACACCCCTGGTAGGAGAAGGCAGTGAGTAGGACTTCCCGAGCAGTGGTTGTATCACGTGGTCATGTGAGAACATTTCGAGAGGGAGAGTAGACGTTCTCCACCCTCGGCCGTACCAGGGAATTCGGGGTGCATATAGGTGTATATATAGAATGTATATAGACTGGCTGTAACGAAAAATCATTTTGTGGATAATTTCAAAAAGGAATAATAAATAGCCACTTACTTGCATACAAAGAATATAATACTGTTATAAATTGACTATCATAACTAAAATCAATTTAAAATGTCGAATAGAATGTTCTTATTACTAAATTCATTAAGGAGTGCCACAATAGGACGAAACGGTCATCCAGTGCTTTTAAGTTTTTCATGACGATCTAATTTCAATTGACTTATGATCTCAACTATTGAAATTATTATAATATGTTGATAGCTATACATTTTTAGTCATTCGAAATAATGGATACAAGATTTCTCATCTACTTTAAGACATATTGTATTATACGTTACAATAAAGTGTAGTTTTACGAATAAGGAATGGTAGAGATTCAATGTGGTATACTTGCACTCTTGCTGTGAATTAAACTGAACGAAACAAAGGTGTTAATTTATAATCTTCGCTGATAAACGATTCCAGTTTCAGGGATTGAGGGAGGATAGATGCTGACTAGTGGTAGTGTATGTTACTCATTTTCATACATTTCGTTACTGTGTATGTGTGAATTATGGACATAAAAGTGGATACATATATACACTGTGATATTTCAAAATAATGACCACTAGAAAACGATTCTAGAAGTTATGACATGGAATATTTAGATCATAACAACAAAATGAATGGTGAGCAATAAACAACAATAAGTAACTTTCAACTTGATCAGTAACAAACGCACAAGCTGCTACAAATATACTACAGTTCGAGTTATTCACTTATCAATTATGCTATAAGAATAAAATCAAAGAAACTAAAATAATATAAGCATTGATTACAGTAAAAGCCAAACATAGAGAAACTATCAGAAGGGGTTTTGTGGATATCATAGTAATCTCTATGGTTTAGATCATGAGTCAATTGAAGCTATATCACCATGGAAAACCTGAAAGCACTGGACGACCGTTTCATTCTACTGTGAGATTCTTCAGCATTGCGCATCCACGTTCCTGTCTCGTGAGATTCTGACCCGGGACCTATCAGTCTCGCTCGCAAGATCTTAACCAATAGACAACTGAGCCGGCTTCAGCTGACTCATAATCTCAACTAGTAAACTAGAGAAAATGGTTTGAAAAAAAAACAATGTAAAGTATGAATATTATAACTCAAGATCAATACTGTTACTATAATTGATTTTGAGTTACGTTAATTACGGTCTTCTACCATTGATTGTAACTACTGTGCAGACCCCAAGGAGACAGTTTTATTTTCAGGCACGTCTCAGTCTAAAAGTAGTTGAATTCACGAACTGATATCACGTCTTGGTTGGCTACCTCTAACATTGTTCTTACTGAGTGTTTTGCTAGCTAACACAGTACTTCAATGTGTCTGGTTATTGGACTTATGTTACACATATTTCAAATAACTCGTTCGATGAAGGCTTATAGCCTCGTCGATTGATTTAGCGTTTCCCACGTTGCTTCAACATTACTCTCTTCATGGTTTTACCATATACAGATAGCGGTCTCAAGGTATCTATCACCAAATACTGGTAGCCTACGTATTAATTTCTTTAACTCATTTCAATCAACGGTAAGTTATTGGTGTAAGTTACATATCCATAAAATATAGTTGAAAAATCATATCTATTGGTTGTACATATTTGATTCAAAGTCTTATGTTCCTGATGCTGGGTTGAATGAAATAACGACTTTTTACTTTTTTACTTATTTACTTACGCGTGTTGCCCATCGTGAAGCACAAGTCACTCACCAGGATTCTCCAACCATGTTCTGAGCTCTATATGTCACTCACTACCAAGGGCTATTTGGTCTTTGATGACTCCCTCCAACTCCAGACACAATGTGTTATTTGGTGCTCCCCTTCTCTTTTTCTCTTCAGGATTCCAAGTGAACGCTTGCCTCATGAAGTGATTTGATGATTTTTGCAATGTATGTTTCATCCACCCCTGATTCTTTTCCTAATTCTCTCCTCATCCGGAAATTGGTTTGTTCTCTGCCGTCATAGGTTGATGATGATATGTAGCCAATAGATATGGAGAATTTTATATGACCTAGTGTTTATAAATGCCTGTGTTTTTCTGATGCTGTCTGTGATGGTTCTTCAAGTTTCAGCTTCGTACAATAGAACTGTCCTGATGTTTGCATTGAAGATTGTGACTGTCGGCTTTTTTGAATTTCATATGTTTTTCAGTTGTGGGAATGCTGTCCTTACTTTGACAATCCGTGCCTTAGCAACTGTATCACATCCTCTTTGTTTATCAATCATGCTTCCCAGGTTCGTGAAAGTTTTCGCCTCTTCCACAGCTTCTTCAATAAGTGTGCTTGTCAACTGTTATGCTCCTCATCACTCTCTTGTTTGCTTCTGTGTATCCAGCTTGTGCCTTGACTTTCTCTGCCCTTATTTAACTGTTGCTATTTACTATCTTATTGTCCTTCCTTTTATGGACACTTCTCTAGGATCGACTGAAGCGTCTCATAAAACTGATCTTTATCGTCTTCATTACTATCATTGGTGGGTGCATAACACTGGATATCATTCGCTGTGATTCCCTCTTTCTTTGTTTTTAAGGATGCTTTGATGATCCTGGCTCCGTGAAATTCTCATTCCATAAGTGCTCTTCGCGCTTATTCGGACAACATCAAACAACTTCCTATGTGTGAGGAGCATTTTCTTCTTCGTGACCAGAGTACAACAGCATCTCTTCAGGATCTAGCCTTTTCTGTCTAGCTTGGGTTCAATGGGATCCTCTGATTTCGAATATTGTCAAGTTGTACCTCCTCATTCTTGTAGCCATTTGGCTGGTCCTCCCAGTCTTCCACAATGTCCGGATATTCCACATACCAAGGTTAATTGTTGTTCTGGTTGTCAGAAAGGGAATCGGTTTCGTGATTTCTGAGGAATCTCGGCTTTCATCATGAGGCGTCATAATTCTTCTGAATGAGGTTCCTTCAACTCCTAGGCCAAAGTTAAAATGTTTTTTCTTGTTGGTATTCTCGGAACAAGGTTGTTTTCTACGGCTAGGGTTTCCAGCCGCATAACTAACCCTTTTCGTTTACCCAAGTTTGGGAATGCCATTAACCGTAGAAGAACTATAGGTGGAGTGATTGATTCATATTTTATCGGTTGTCTTTTTTTCCGACCAGTAAAGCCTATTTCGACAAGGTTGTTTGAATAAAAATACTCTGAATGTCATTTGTTATTATTCAGTGATTCACTATGAAATTTTACTAAGTAATAATTTGTAGACATAAAAATTGTAACTGAAGTAATAGTAAACTATTAAATAGGTAGCTCCGCCTGTAGCTCTTCTAAAGTTACTGCCGGTCTCAAACCCGAGTAAAGGTGTAGGGTTGGGTATGGGGTTAGCGACCCCATCCCGTAGAAAACTAACTCGCTAAAAAACGCAAAAAATCGCGGAAAAGAGGAAGGCCAGGGAACACATTATGTTGGAGAATAGAAGCAGATATGAAAAGGATGAATAACAACTGGAAAGAGCTGGAAAGGATTACCCAGTACAGGGTTGGATGGAGAGTGCTGGCGGGCGGCCTATGCTTCTCCATGAGGAGTAACAGGCGTAACTAAGTGCTAAATAAGTGATTTTGTGTTAAACAAAAGAGATAAACAGCATAAAACTAAAGGAAGTTGATCGAAGTAGAAATTAAAATCCACACGATTTGTTAATGATGACTGAGGATGTGGTGGACTTTTGGGAGGAATTATAACTCACTATCGACAAGAGTGAAGCAACCAATTATATTTGAGTTAAATGCCCTTCATTTAAGATTCATTTAGTCTCAGACTGGTTGCTATTATTTATTTATTTGGAGTTGAAGTTAGACACTAACACCTTTGGATGCCGGCCACCTCAGTGGTCTAGAGGTTAAGCGCTGTTGAGCGAGAATGATAGGTCCTGGGTTCAAATCTCGCGGGACAGAATCTTAAATACGCACTGTGGAGGAGTCCAACAATAAGACGAAACGGCCGTCCAGTGGTTCTAGGTTTTCCATGGTGGTCTAGTTTCAATTGACTCATGGTCTCAGCCATTGAGATTACTATAATATTCACAAAACCCCTTCTGATTTTTATTTGTTTGACTAACATTCATGAAATTGCACATTTTTCTACAAACATGATTAAATATTGATCCATATTTTTCTGTGTCCATGCTACTGATTGATGGATGTGTATTTACTGTTCACTTTGTATCGTTTTACTTTTTTGTACTAATTGTATTGATTTGTTCTAAACATTGTAATTGTTGGCTAAATATGTGGTTACCTGCTTTGAGTATAGCCTTGATGAGACTGTTTTCATCAGTTGAGGGACTTATTCAGGCAATACATCTATAGATAAATCAAATTTTACCTAATCATCATTTGCAATTTAAAGTGACAGATAATATTTTTAAGCTCAAGATTATGGTAGAAACATACTCCGCAGATACTAATATCCCATGTAATTTAAAAAGATAGGAATATTTTGATGGAGTTTTGTTCTCTGAACTGGATGATTTGGTCGTGAATAATATGGAACGTTACACAACGACACACAAAATCGTCGAGCATTCCACAACCAAATCAACTAGCTCAGAGAATGAAACTCAATCAAAATCATCCACCTGAGCTACAAATCTTCTCCATCATCTCAAAATGATAGGAATACTTAAAGACCTAACGTAGAAATGCACAAGATAATTATTCATGTAGCTTTAAAGGACATTTTACACAGAAACAATAGATCAGGTAAACTATATACAAATATATACGATTTCGTATCGTATCCAACATGAAAACAGCTAACCTGGAGAAAAAATTACGTGTAAAAGCAAATTGAGAAATAGCTTAATTTGTAACAGTTAAATACTAAATATATCCTTTATTTTTTATAATCTTGTTAACTGTAATAATCCTTAACCTTGAGTTTGACCGAATAAATAAATGGTGATTGTAGTAAAATACACTGATGTCAATATTATTTAAATCTATCTATCAATACCGTTGGATGCCGGTCAGCTCAGTGGTCTAGAGGTTAAGCTCTGGTGCGCGGGACCGATAGGTCTTGAGTTCGAATCTCGCGAGACAGGATGGTGAGTTTGCACTGTTGAGAAGTCCCACAATAGGATTAAAAAGCATCCAATACCTTCGGGTTTTCTATAGTGATCTAGCTTCAATTGACTCATGAATTCAATTATTAAATCAAATCTATTTCTGGCGAGACCATAATTTCTGAACGAACCAATCAGATAATGAGTAATGGATTTTGGCGCGAAATTCATTCATACATTTGGCTAAATAGAGTTTTAGCATTATAGTTCGTGATGAAAACCCTTAATCCAATTTTTAACCCTAATCATCAACTGTAAATAAGAATTCTAACTCATTTCGTACTTATCAGTAGGTGTCCATTCTCAAGGTCATTTTAGCGTTGCTCAAAGGTCGTCCATAAATGATAGTCTCGCCAAAGTAGCAATAAAATTCTTACACATATTACTTTTTGTAATTGTATAGTTATTTCTTTTTCATAATTTGTAGAGTCTTCAAGCATTAATTCGTCACAATGAGACGACTGATAAAACATTTCAAACCAGTAATTTTGGATATGGTCAATTGTTACAAGTTTTTCTTCAATATTTAATACACGCTCTCCATTGAATAAATCTAGACACTCATTGCTGACCTTGACAAAGACAAATAGAAAAAAATTTGTAAAGTATACTACTTAATTATTCTTTTCAACTACTAATAGATGATGTTTCTAATTGTATAGGAAACTTATGATAGTTCCATAATTTGAGGTAGCAATACTAACGAATATATGATAGAATTATCTAAAGTGACTTATATTTCTTGTAGAAAACTAACTCGTTAAAAAAACCTTAACCAGAAAAAATAATTCAAACCATTTAAATTATGCCCTGAGAGTTAAAAGGTCTTCATGTAAAAGAGTTATGATGCCTCATGGTGAAAGCCGATTTCCTTCGGCTGATGCCCGTTCTGATAACCAGAGCAACCATTAATTTAAGTACATGGAATCTTGGTACAATATGGGAGACCGGGAGAGTCTTCCATATTGCTGCAGAAATATAATAAATAATATGAAATCATTTGAACAGAAAGAACAAAAACTTTACTTAAAAACTAGGAAATCAATGAAAGATTAACTTCTTACTTCTAATAAATTTGACAGTAAGTCTAATAGATCATTTAAACAGTTCTGTGTATTCATCAGTCTAAGAAAGAGAAATACATAAAAGTTGATTGTTTGTATAAGATTGTAAATAAACGTGGAACAATGGGACCATATTGATTTTAATAGTTGAGATCATGAGTCAGTTGGAACTAGACCACAATGGAAGCACTGGACGGCCGTTTCATCCTATTGTGGTACTCCTCAGCAGTGCGTAGGTCACGATCCCGCCTCGCGAGATTCTAGTATCCTTAGCGCTAAGAACTAAAAATGACTTACTTATTATTGCATACCGTACTGGCTAATTATTTTGTCGAAATTTGTTGCTTGTGAGTGGATTCTGTGACTAATTGATGTTGGTCAAAAAAATCAGCTGTGATAGATAATGATTTTCGCGACCTACAATTTTAGATCAGAGATTACTTTTATCGTATGGATCCAACATCAAAACCACTCACTCAGTCAGTCATTCAGCAACAATGTAGACCTTCTTACGCATGTACATCAGTTCGAGTTGCCATACCACACCAACACACAGATACAATTGTCGATTCAAATCCCATAGCGGTAGAGGCAGTAAAAGTATAAGCAGTAATCGGAAAGATTAGGGTTTGAAGATGTTATTCAAGGAGTAAAATCCAGTGAAATAAGTTTGGAAAGAGAAAAACTTAAGAATATGAAGAATTTAGAAGATTAGAGTTTGGGATAACACAAAGAGTGGATGCACCTGCGCCATTGCAAACGATTATGAGCCATGTCATTTAGGGTCTCTAACCATCGGTTGCTATCATCTCGCGGTCCCCAACCAGGTAATCTACACCTACCAACATAGCTCAGTCCACTTGTCAGTGACTTCATGGATTTGTGCCACGTTTTGGTCTGGCCACCCCTAACTTCCTTCCAACCTACTGCTACACCAGTCGGATGTTGCGCGTACGTAATACGCGTCCCAGTCATCTGAACTGATGAAGTTTCAGTACTTCATTAATTGATTCGCCATTCTTAATTAGTACCTGTTTCCTGACAACTGAATTACTTACTCGATGGTCCCAGGATATACGAACAATGCTTCGAAGACACCTATGATCAAATACTAGTAACCTACGAATATCCTCTACTCTTACCGGTCATGTTTCACTGCCATAAAGTAGGACGGAACGAACTGCTACGCAGTAAACCCGTCCTTTGGTTAGTAGATGGAACTGGTCTTAGGCAGGTAACCAGTGACTTTATGGGAAATGTTTATGCCGATTTACACTTTAATGAATCCAAAATAACTTAACCTCATGTATACATCACTAAATTCACTTCTAAAATTCGTCCCAAATTGATGTCAGTTCACCATTCTCAATATTTCTTCAATTTTTTGCTCTTGGAAAGATTGTAAAAATCTGTTTAATGAATTAATAATAATAAAAATAAGATAGTCAAAATATTATGTAATATTTAACCTGTCATGTTTAAAGTATGTATCTAGACTCTTTAACATAGAATCTAGTTTTTGTACATGTAGTTTACATTCTTGATCATGAATATATAGATCTTTTTCTACAGATTCAAAATGTATATACCAATCATTCCATATGATCTTGTCAATTTGATTCAAAATTGTTGTATCATATAGTTTTAATAATTCTATTAACCAAGCACCAAGAAACCCCCATATTTCAACAGTCTGTTGTAATTTAAAACATATAACAGCTAAATTTGATATATTTGACTTTGGAACATTCGATATTTGACTGTAAACCTATAATTGATAGTAAGTTACAAGATTCATTTTAAAATTAACCAATGAGAAAAAAAACTTCATATTTTTGTAATTATACAATCGTTGTCATTGAAGTCATTTTTATTATTTCCTGGAGTAGTTATAGAAGTTGTTTGGAATAACAGATGTGAAATACACAGAAGTTAATTAGGTTATTACCGTGCATAAATAAAACATTGATCATATATTTTCATTGCAGATCCCATAAAACGTTAGTAGAACAAGCCCCCAAACGCCCTGCTACGGCCAAGAGTCCTACTCACTGCCACGTCGTGGCAAGGGTGTTGTCTACGAAATTAAGAGAATGAAAAGCGAATGTCTGGCGAGTTACCGTATTGGTGGAGACAGAAATTCCATCTAGGGGAGTTGGAAAACCCTCATTCTAAACCAATGGTGTAAATGGGCTGGCTCCAGGATCCTGAAGAAACAAATGGCGTATGAACCAATTATTAGTCACCAACTACCATCGGACTGCATCTCCTGACGTTGCTCCACTGCCTTGTGGATTTGACCTTTACGTCAAAGGCTCAGGATGTGGCCTCCTAAGAAAACCACCTGCTTTGGTCTGAGCACCCGGGTAATGTCCCTGCCCTCATATAAATCGAATAATTTATGTGGAGCATATCTGTTTGGTGCCTTCTTGTACTAATGTTTATGGGTTTAAATAAATAAATTATAAATAGTAGACCAAAGTTTTTATTATTAACAATCAAGAGACACAAAGAAATCGATTATTTTATCCGAAAAAACTGACAGTGTTAGAGATTTTTAATTTAGTAGTGTCTGAAAACAGGGTGTTATAGGGTAGTAGGTAAAACCTATTGCCAAAAAGAGATTTAGATCAGAATAAGGTTTGTGGAGATTGTAGTAATTTGAATAGTTGAATTCATGAGTCCATGTAAGCTTAACCACAGTTGAAAACATGGTAGCACTCGACGACGTCTCGTCCTAGGATGGGACTCCTCATCAGCGCACGATCCTACATGCAGGACTCGAACACAAGACCTTCGGTCTCGCGCGAGAGTGCTCGATCTCTAGACCATTGAGCCGGTATTCAATAATATTAATGTCTAACTTCAATTGATCCATGAGTTGTTGCGTAACCATTCGTCCATTGTCTGAGGTCGGTACCTATCTTTATTCGACACAGATTGAACTGTACTGGTCAAGGGTTTCTCGCCAGATCTCTAGGAAATCATCTTGAAGCCAGTCACTAATGAGCACATGATGATTATGGTCAGAGTGGGGTTTGTAGCAACTTTAGTAGTTGAATTCATGAATCGATCTGAGCTAGACCACCATTGAAAACCTGGAAGCTCAGTGGCCTACAGATTAGGCATTCGTGCGTAAAATCGAAGTTCTTGGGTTCGAGTCACGCACGTGGGGTTGGGAATGCGTGAGGTGTTGAGAAATTGCGTTCTAAGACGAAACAGTCGAACAGTGAATTCAACTATTAAAAGGAGATTTAACCTTTCTTTTAAATGTTTTAACAGCAAAGCCTTAACAAAGATTTTTCTACATGTAATAAATCATTAGCAAGGAATGAAATAATAAGTAAGCAAACGGCTCTGAAAATATTGATTCTGTTAACATCATCTATCGGCTCAAACTGTGATTTCTCGTTGGCAAATGTAAAAGACATCCTGGTCAATTTTTTTTATGGAAACTGAATACCTTAAAGCTATGTATTAATTTAAGTACTCACAAAGGGAAAATCAAAATTCTCCGATACAACACAGCATGCATCAATCCAATCACAACTGACGGACAAGATTTGGAAGATGTAAAATCCTTTACATAGCTGGGCAGCATCATTGATGAACAGAGTGGATGTGATGCAGATGTGAAGGCGCGGATCGGCAAAGCAAGAGCAGCGTATTTACAACTGAGGAACATCTGGAGCTCAAAGCAACTGTCAACTAACACCAAGGTCGCGATTTTCAATAGAAATGTCAAAACGGTTCTACTGTACGGGGCACAAACCTGGAGAACTACGAAAGCCACCATCTAGAAAATACAGGTGTTTATTAACAATTGTCTACACAAAATACTTCAGATCCATTGGCCGGACACTATTAGCAACAACGTACTGTGGGAGAGAACAAACCAGATCCCAGCGGAGGAACCAAATCAGGAAGAAGCGCTGGAAGTGGATAGGACACACATTGAGGAAAGCACCCAACTGCGTCACAACACAAGCCCTCACATGGAATCCTCAAGGCCAAAGGAAAAGAGGAAGACCAAAGAACACAATACGCCGAGGAATGGAAATAGACATGATAAAAATGAACAAGAATTGGATGGAACTAGAAAAGAAGGCAGAGGACAGAGTGGGTTGGAGAATGCTGGTCTGCGGCCTATGCTCCATTAGGAGTAACAGGCGTAAGTAAGTAAGTAAGTACGTACTCACTAACTGATATGTAAGCAATTTTGGGAATTCATTGATTGTCAATATTTAGACAATAGACAAACCCAATTGACATTCCTAGATTATCACGAGCTTATTAAACGTTATTACACTAAGCAATAATAAGGTTCGATGGACTAAAAACATTAAGATTAACACAAACACAATAACTTACATGATAATTAAGTACTTTCAACGAATTGTTCCATAATTTGTAGTTGTTTTTCATATTTTCCAACCTGTCTTTAGAATGTTTTCGTTGATTTGTATAATAATGTTTAAATTCACTTAGTAAATATTCTCTCATTGATGCTTCACTTAATTTAGCCTTAAGCTAATTTAAAAAAGAGAATTTACTGATATAGTTTAGCTAATACAAAAAGTAATTCATAGCCCCCAAATGCCCTGATACGGTCGAGAGTGGGGAGAGTCAGCTCTCCCTCTCCAAATGCGCTCCCATGACCATGTGCACACAACCATTGATAGGAAAGTTCTACTCACTGCCTACTCATACCACGGGTGTTGTATACGAAAACTAGGGGACAAAAATCGCATGTCTGGCGCTTTAACTGGGTTGGTGGATATGGAGGATTCACCTAGGGGAGTTGGAGAATTCCCATTCCAAACCAATAGTGTACATAGCCTTAAGAATCTTGAGGGAACAAATAGCGTATGAACTAATTGTTGGTCACCGGTTACCATGCGACTGCGTCTCCTGACGTTGCTCCACTGCCTTGTGGATTAGACCTTTAGGTCAAACACTCGGTGTATGGCCCCTTACGGGAACCACCTGTTTCGGTTTGGGCATATGTACTTGGTGCCTCCTTGTACCAATGTTTATGTGTTTAAATAAATAAAAAAGTTCGTACCTTAATTGCAATGCCTTTTTCTTCCATTTTATATGTTTTGTTCGTTTCACACATCGCTTTAATCTTACTTTTATTTTAGAATAATAATTTTGCTATACTTAACTTACTGAAAAATATTCATAGTTTCATTGACATGTTGTTCATTCAATTGTAAAGTTTTTTGACATAGTATTTCTTGACAGAATAATTCAGTGAATAAACTACAAAAAGATAATTCCATTTTAATCAGAGCAGTATTAATAGTAGTAATAGTAATTTTTAATAGTTGAAATCATGAGTCAATTTAAACTAGACCACCATAGAAAACCTGGAAGCACAGGATGGCCATTTCGTCCTGCTGTGGGGCTCCTCAGCGGTGCGCATCCACGATCTCACCTCGCAATATCCGAATCCAGGACCTATCGGTATTTCTTGGAGTTCTAGTGAGAAGCCATGACCAATAGAGTTCAACCAGGTCTGTTGTGAGATAGTAACTAACTGAAGACAATGGTGGATGTGTCGCTCAATTTCGTGGATTGATTTAAGTTAGACATTAACACTATTGGATGCTGAGTCAATGGTCTATTGGTTAAGCTTTCGCGTGCGAGACTGATAGGTCCTGAGTTCGAATCTCGCTAGGTGAGGTCGTAGGTGCATGCTGCTGTTGAGTTCCCATACTAGGACGAAATGACCGCCCAGAGCTTCCAAGTTTTCCATGGTGGTGTAGCTCCAATTGACTCATGAATTCAATTATTAGGATTCCATTTTAAATTGAATCAGTATTTCACTACTTACTTCGAGAATTTGATTGGTAGAGATTCAATAAAATTTTTGTAAATCATTCTAATATCGGCTAAAAGTTTGCCACGTTCATAACACTGAACAGTTTCCTGAGGAAAAATAAATTTGAGTGAATTATTTTTAATGTTATCAATTTATTTTATATCAGAAGGGTTTTTGTGGATATTAAAGTAATTTCAATGGTTGAAATCATGAGTCAATTGAAGCTACACCAAGATGGAAAACCTGGAAGCACAGAACGGCTGTTTCGTCTTATTGTGCAATTCCTCATCAGAGCATGGGATCGTGGATGCTCACTACTGAGGAGTCCAACACTAGGATGAAACAGCCGTCCAGTGCTTCCAGTTTTCCCATGGTGTTCTAGCTTCAATTGACTCATGATTTCAACTATTGAAGCCAATTTATTCATTGTAAGTCAACTATTCTAACCTTGTTTGGTAAACCGATAAGAATGATCAATATCTTTATGACAAAATTGGTTCTTTTTTAAAAGTAAACAATTAGTCAACAAATTTTCGATTAATAGGTACCTTTCAATCGGTATTTTTACATGTAGTGCATTATGTTGCTAGTATGTAATCAATAGATAATCAATTAAATTGGTCTTAGCGGTTATAATACTCAGTTTTTAATCATTAGGTCCTAGGCATAAAACACTCTCCACTTACTTCACACTGGGCAGTAAAATCGTGTGATTACCTCTTATACAAAAAGTGTAGCTCGAATCCGAATACATAACCATATATGTGGTATGTTGTATGAAATAAAATAGCCATCATAAGAAAACGAATTTCGTGACTAGATAATAAAACTAATAAAGTTATAGCACCAAAAATACTAAGTTAATTAAACAAAGCTAAATAAATCTACATAAGCAAGCAAACTAAATTAAAATTAGAACTTTAGGCTTTAATGTGTTACTTCATTGGACAGCTGATTCATTCTAGTGTGGTGGTAATCCTCAATTGTATACGTCCAAGACACTATAGGAGAAAGAACCGATGATTATTTGTCCTCAAGGTGTATACAGTTTAGATACAAATATGGGTTTTGTTCCTTTTTACTAATTTTGACATTATTTACATGAAGTATTAACTAATTTCACTGGCGAAATACATAAACTTCTTTATGTGCGTTTGCAGATGTTTAGTTAATGATGGATACACAAGCCCGGCTGTTCATTGATGTTACTGGGATATCATTAAACTGAGTTTTTCTCATCAGTTTGTGAATCATGAAACTAAGAAATGCTTTCTAATCGTGTACTAACCTACTTACGTATTTCATCTGTAAAGTCCTAATTATCTAATTGGTTCTGAGCTGTCCATTGTATTCCGTGTTTTCTCGCAGATGTCGAGGTCTTCATAATCCAGTCAACCACCAAAAGAAATAGAAAGGGGGAGAGTAGACAGCCTTGTCTGACCCCGGTCTTTACTTAGAATGCATCTGTCAGTTGTCCGCCGTATGAGTTTCAGATATTGTTGACAATCTTCTCGGGGACTCCATAGTGTCGAGGAAGTTTCCATAATGATCTCTTGTCCACATTGTCAAATGCCTTCTCATAGTCAAGGGAGTTAATGTATAGTGACGACTTCCACTCAACTGGTTGTTCGACGATGATCCGTAGTCTCGCGATTTAATCTGTGCACGACCGATTCTTACGGAATGCAGCATGTTGATCTCAAAGTTCGGCATCTATTGAGTCTTTCATTCGGTTCAGAAAAACTCTGTTGAAAACTTTTCCTGGTACTGATAGTAATGTGATGTCTCTATATTTCTCACATTTGCTCAGATCTACTTTCTTTGGTGTCTTGACGAGGTATCCTGCTTTCCAGTTTGTCGGTGGCACTTGTTCTTCCTCCCAAATCTTCCTGGAACCTGTTTTTAAGAGTTATCTCGAATTCGTTGAGTTTGTTAGTATCTCGAAGGAAGGTTGTGTCGAACCTTTGTAATGCTGTTCCACCAGTTGTCTAGTGTTTCTTTGGCTTCAGTTTGATATTGGCCCAAACAACCAGTTGGTGATCTGAAGCCATATCAGCTCCTCTCCTGGTTCTCACATCTTCCATCGTCCTTATGAATTTTTTTATTGATACAAATACGATCTATCTGGTTCTCTGTGTTGTGATCCGGTGAGATCCATGTAGCTTTTTATATGCGTTTGTGTGAGAATATTGTGCTGCCTATAACCAATTTGTTGAATGCACATAGATTTGCAAATCTCTTCTCATTTTCGTTTCTCTCCATGTTCTAACTAGACTTGTTTTATTAGTATCACTTTTATAGTTCCATTATGCCCGTTTTCCACTTATTTATCATATAGTTTTATGGTATTAAACACAGACATGTTAAATGAAAATGAATGGATACTAATTTTGGAATACAATATTTGATCAAGCATGTAACTGTCAGATGAATTAATTCGATTCCGTTGGTTAATTTGTATTCAGTTGTCTAATTAATTCAAGTGATTTATATATGAATCTTTCCAATATTTCTTTTCTTGACTGACCGTTTATCTATCTATCTATCTATCTATCTATCTATCTATCTATTAATCATATCGATGTATAAGTACTTATGACACTGAAAAATCGGCACTCTGAACAAGGAAGATCTATTTCAATGAAATGCAGATTAAATCCATCTAACACAGTCCTTGATTTACTTCACTAGGATAAAACTTGTGGTTATCCCATAGCCGGTGTTATATCCATTTTAATACAACTGCTGATGATTCTAAATGCCAGTGTCAACATAAATTCAAATCAACTACAAGGGGGTTTAATTTTTTTGTTATTCTAATTTCAGTTCAGTCATTTCAAATCAGTCCTATTACACTTGAGTTGTTTAATGCTACTGTGCATGCTAGTTATTCGAGAATATTTGTATTTATATATTCCCAGTCATCGAGAATAAATGTGACTAATATAGCAAGTCATAAACCTTTTACCATATTTATTGATTACGGATCAGTTAGTAAAGTACTTAACTTGTTAAGTGATGCACAGTAACCTTCAAGAATCCCCGTTGCCTTTATGTTGTCATTCATGTAATCCTACAACTTCTGATTGCAGGTATATGACTGTTCAGTAGATTATAGGTCTCTAATGTAATCCGTTTGGGACGATTGTTATCAACCATAGCATGATAGTTTTCTTCAGGACACTGAAAATGTATCGTAGTGTAACAGTGTATATGATTGAGGATTTGTTTGCCTAAACTTTTCTACTTCATAAATAATGTCACTCGTAAATTTACATAAATCATATTTAAAGTATTCGTATAAAACTTACACATGACTGGCTACTTGTTAACACATATTTCAGGTAAAAAGATACGACGAAATTAAATTGCCATGAAAAAAAACCTTAAATGACGTTTATTAGCTCCTCATGTCTATGACATGCAAGGATTTTTACACCCTTATTCAAAGGCGGCTAAATTTTTCTTTAAGTATAACGCTAAAAGCACAATTTTCATATCGTACTTATTTGTCAAGCTTTCATCACATGTAATCAAATACATCCACTGTCGTTTGAGTGCCAGTGTTGAGCTGTTGACCAAAAAATTAAATCAATCGATAGCCTAATGAGCCTACAATGACTAATGTAGTTAAAGCACTTCTTATTACAAACCAAAGCGCTACCCATCTTACCACGGAATGTCAGCTGTGGTTATAAGAAGGAACTTATCTGATTATTCAAGCAGGCGGCACTTAAACATTTAGTCAACGACTGTTGTTCTAAAATTTGTGAATAAACGGGACATATATAGACATAAGGCATAAGAAAAAATTCGACAACAATTAATGATCGATTTCAAAACCAACTATAAATTTTCAGCGCCAAGTATTTAAAAACTGGATGACTATTTATTTCGTGTTACATTGTTGTCTCTTGACTATCTGTTCTAGTATCTTATTGGTATATTAACTGTTTAAGATGTCCAATGAAAAGGATGTTTTGAAATTTGCTGCCAATGAAGAAACAACTAAACTGTATTAAGAGTAAATTTAAGGAGCAGTCTACTAAATTAGTGGTATATCTAAAAGGCTGAATGAGAGGTTCTAAAAATGATGAAATTCATATTCACTCATTTTTTTCACCCCTAAAACCAACTGTAATGTTTTAAAAAGATAAGCGAGACGCCATATTTGTTCGAAATCTAAAGGACACATCTTAAATTGTAATTCAAGACATAACATGAAGAAATGTTGAACACTTTCTTTACCTAGTCTTTTGTTCTGTAAACGGGTTTCACAATATTGTGTTTAAGGCTGTGTAGATCTGTCATTTCTAGCGAGGAGAATACTATGTCTAACTAATTATATTGAATACGGGCCGCCATTTTAAAACAACTTATGATAACTAAGGGTATTTGACTTATATTACAAACTAGGAATCCCAGAAATAACGCAATTTAACCAAGAAGTACTAGATGAGCACGAAATAACGTACTGTAGTTGGAATTCGAAATCAAGCAGTTATCATGTACAAAGAAATTATTATTTCATACAAACACCACATTAGCCACAGTATGAATGAGAATCCAAAACTCTGAACTCAATCGTTCCTCTTCTTCTTAGGTTCATCGTGTTTGTCCGACCGTGTATTAGCTGTAGACTCTCTATGATCTGGGTCCCGGAATTGGATACAATCACTATGTTGGCTGTGTAGTGAAACCATGGATATCTAGAATTAAAAATCACAGACTTTCCAACACTAACCACCCCCAAGAAATAATATAGGGTCCTTATGTCGCAGTTGCATGACCATTTTGACGTTCCCAATTTATATTACTTTTCATATTTCACACTTCGATTATCATCTATGAGTATTTGAGGATACACACTGACATATAATTTGAGGTATTCCATAATGTGAATTTGACTCGCATAAAAAATATGATACATAGTCTTTTTTGCTTTTCACGTTAGAATACACAGATAAATATGCCTTGATATGTGTAATCAACAAATGTGATTCATCTAGGCCTGATTCACTACAAAACAATCAAATGGGAAATAGGCATCTGCCTCATACTCATTAGGATAATCTTGAACTCGATTTGAATTTTCTGTCTGTGCAAACTTCATATTTGGGTAAACTGGTTCTCTGATTACTTTGCGAAAAATTGCTACTTCCTCTGATTCATTATACCACCAACTAAGGATTCTACTCAACATACTCTGGTTGTGAGAATATCAAATATCTGATACAATAACATCAGGAATGTGACTAGAATTCAACTCATTCGGAACATATTTGTCACACTCATTAGGGATATCACTAGAGATAAATCCACTGTGAGAACAAATAACACTTGACATGACATCAGAATTTGATTATTCCGAAATATTTTCCTCAGATTTATTAGGAATTTTATCAAAGAATAATGAATCACTAGAAAAATCAGCATCTATCAAAACTGCGTTAGATTTTTGATCATGATTTGATTCACTCAACATATTTTCCTCAGATTTATAAGAAATTTTATCATAAATATGTGAATCATTAGGACAAACCATATCTAGTACAATAACATGAGAAATCTGGTAAGGAGTTGATTGATTAGAAATATTTATCCCACGGTGATTCTGAGTTTCGCTTAATTTTGGACTGCTATGTGACTCTATACCGCCTTTCGAAGTCGTGGATAAAGATAAATGATCAGTAAAAACACTCAACTTAATAGGATAACAATTACAAATTTTATCTTTAGTTGAAGCAAAATGAACCGTAGTATTGCAAACTGACTGAATTTGTCCAATCTCATCACATTTAAAGCATGTAGAATTATGAAATTCACATGAATTGAATGAGTGGAACTTTCCACAGGACAAAAATTTATCAAAGTTGTGCCCATCTTTGTGACCTGCATCACAACTCCTCAATGAGTTATCTGCATAACCTTGAGTACGCGATGCATTGGGACAACGTAGTAATGTAGTGGAATTTTCGATGTCCCGATGAATCGTTTTACGGGATTTTTCTCCTTTACTGCATTTGAAATTTGTATACTTTACATAGTCTAGCAGTAGTTCTTTAAGAGTTGCATAAGGAATCCAAATAGGCTTTTCTGGTAAAGCCAGAGTTTTTAATGAACTGTATGCTTCTTTTTCGATGATTGTGAAGAAATATGCCCCAATGTTAACATTCTCGACACCCCCCTTGGTCATAGCCTAGATTTCGAACCTTTCAATGTAATCCTCAATCACAGGCTCCATCGCGACTCCAATTCGATAATTAGGAGTATTTGAATTATAGTACAGACTAGGAATTCCAGAAATAACGCAATTTAACCAAGAAGTACTAGATGAGCACGAAATAACGCACTGTATTTGGAATTCGAAATCAAGCAGTTATCATGTACAAAGAAATTATTAGTTCATACAAATGCCATATAAATGATCGTTTTTTTAACGTCTTTATCTTTTATTGCTTAAGTTATCGAGACGCACTGTGGCTGCAAATCCTATTCTTGTAGGTCAATGATATTAACATGTTCATCTTTAATTTGAGTCTCTTTGTCTTATGTATTTGCATCCACTTACAGGTGGTTAATGTTTTTTTGAACATTTGTGGACAAAACGTTCGGAAATCTCGTTCGGAAATCTAACGTATACTGATAGTTGGTGATTAGCAACAAAACTACAATTTATAATGCATAATCTCGTCGAACATTTTACTAATGTTCACATCTTGTTATATAACTTTAACTTTGTAACAATAAACTTATAAACCCAATCTTACCTGAAAAATGAAATTTTCAAGATAACTGTGATAGTATCTATTTTCCTGATCTATGCTTTTTAAAAAAATCATGGTGAAGTTTGTTGAGTTGCGTTTGTTATTGTACAGATGACAAACGCCTGAGGATGGTTCTTTCAATTTCACAACCTCACTATCTTTACAAAAATTAGGCAATCTGAAAATTATTTCATGAAATGTCGTACAGCTTGGGAAGCATTATGATTCGCCCTGTCGTATCCTTAAAAAACACTGTGAACTGACTGGAAAATAAAAACTTGAGGTATACTTACCCGTCCTCAACGTGGATTGCATTACACACGTCGAACCTAACTACGGAAAAGCATCTGTGGCTTAACCCCTCCAGCAATAAACTTCTCAATGCATGCTTTATAAATTTATATAAGTTGTACAATTTCTACCTCGTGAAAACACGTTGGAACAACGATGTACTGGCCACTAAACGGTATAAGTAAAGTCAAAATGAAATACCTTGAGACAGAGTTTCGTATCAGCTTATCTAACAAATGTTTGAATCTCTCCCTATTCCTTTGAAAGTGCCATAACGACCAAGTCATATTATTCGGGGTTTACTTGTGACCTTCATATCTAAGTAACCAGAACGTACTTAGTCAAAATGAAGAATGTGTCTAAACAATTACGATCCTGTATTTCAACAAATCATTAAAACTCTGTGCGTAAACTTTTTATCCATTGTTAAAATGTTGAAAACGTTATCGTAAGATAGTTAATGAAATTCTAGAGGACTAAATATTATGTTAAGTGTTTTAGTTGTATGAAGTCTTGTGGTACACTTTGTCGTTTTAGTGAAGCAGATTCATCATAAATCCCTCGCGGTAGAGAAATGGCTTTATACGTTTCTGCTCAAGCATAACATATAATGGGGATTTTGTGATTGATAATTCACGGCTTTATATTAAATGTTTGGTATTTCTTAGTTCACGTGCATTTTGAACACCTTGGCTCATACTTTATGGTAAAAAAAACTGTTATTTGCACTAAGACTTAAATTTTTTTTGAAATCTGTAAGCTTACTTTTGAGTGAACTAAAAGCAGCTTAAGTTATAATCTCACTCAACTTAGATCACACCAGAGTATTTTTAGATACTTAACTGAATTATTCCGTTTAAGCCGTGAACAACTTATGTCACGAAAGTCAAAGTCAAACTATTCCAACCATTAAAAAATTGATGTACATCGTACCAAAGTATGGTAATGTGGAGATCTCTGAAGTTTAGTAAGTCATGAGTCGTTCAGTACTAGACCACCGCTAAAAACCTAGAAACACTGAACATCCATTTCGACCTGGTATGGGACTTCTGAGCAGTGAGCATCGAGTATCACTCATACGGTTCTCAAACCCAGAATCTTCGATCTTCTGGGTACGCTTGACCTTTGGAAAACTGAACTGGCATCCGACAGTGTTAAAATTTAACTTTAATCAGTCCAAGAAATTGCGCGACCATCTTCCGTTGTCTAAGGTGTGCGGTAGACAATTCGAAAGGAAACTCATGTTTAGTAAGTATCCTGAAAACGTGGAAAATATACTGCATTTTTCTGAAACCTATTGATCAGTTATGACGGAGGTAAGTGGCTTGAAAACATTGTTTATCAATAGCGTTAGAAATGTAATGAAAACTTATACAAATAGATGGGTACTCACGCGGACAATCGAATACGTTCTGCTATCCAAGATGTGTGTTAAGAGACTGATCTCCTTCAGTGAAACGTGTTAATAAAAATATCTTCATTTCCCCGGAGCCCGCGATTATATGTCTCTTCGAGGTAGGAGTGACCAACCTGTCCTCCTTATGGCTTTTCACATGCTTGTCAACAACGATTTATTGGTTAAAGACAAAACACACGTTCTGAAGTCAAGCCTATAAGGAATTTTAGTCTAGAGACCTTAAGTAATCTGCAGAAATCAAGTGCATGATCTAGGATTTGGCAGAAGCTGAAAAATGCTTCTAGGCGCACCATCTTGTATACTCGTCATTGAATTAAACATACGTAAATAGTGTATAATACCGAGCTGCATATTGTTCAGACACACAACGACCTACAAGTCATCGTTAACCAAGACTTGGGAACGTTTGCACACTGCTATGTCGCAGCTTCTCAAGGTATTAGAAACCATAGGTCAATACGTAGAGCTTTTATCCATATTGATCCCAAGATTATTTTGATCTAGCCTAGAGTGTTTCTTCACTCTAAACTCGACTGTAGCACTCAAATGGTCAGCTCCTTCTCATAAAGAGACAGCAGACTGTTGAAGAAGGTTCAAAACAATACAACTAAGTTGATTTCCGAGTCAGCAATTCTGCCGCATGATGATAGACTGCTATAAATAAACCGATTATCTTAATTTGTCCACTAGTATCTCCGACTGTGGTGGTTTCTGCCTGTACACATTCATGACGAACATTTCTGTCCCTGAAATGTCACTCAGTATTTTTGCAAGCCGCTCTGATATCCTGGTGACAACCACTCTCTTGCCATTCGTGTCCTTGTAAATAAAATTGGACGACTGTGGCCAAAGTTATCAATTATCAATAAGTGTATGAATGAATACCTAAAACACACTGATCTCTTAGGACGGAATGCAGGTTAATTCACCAGGCTCAAACCTCAGGGTTCCTTTCATGGCAGAGCACCGACACAACACAAGCGGAAAAATGGTTGAAAACTGTGTCATTAACTTCACCGCATATGCTTCAGGTTCGTAGGATTGCTTTAACAGATGGCATACGGTACTTAACGGGGTGTCAGCTAAATGCAGGTGGTCGAAAGAATCGAAACCAAGCAAATTTAGATCATCTGGCGTTATGTAACATACCCCAGTGAACGCAAAGTCGCGGGAATAAACATCACAATCTAACTGTATCAACAAACGTAGATAATTACCACATTCTGTGCGATGTTTTTGTGTCACAAGTATCGTGCTTGGGCCACCCATTTCAGGTGACTGGCGTTTTAGTACTTCTAGACCGACTTGAACTCCTCTTTTGATGAAATCCATCTCCGTAAACAACGGATCTATATTTTTTGCAACGATGTTGTTTAAACGAACAAATTCGTACGTAATGCCATGCACCATAATGCCAGCAGGGAGCATAAGGATTAGTCTTCGTCCTCTGTACTGAGATCGGATGAGAAGGAATCGAACTATCAGTTATGGATTCTGCTGTGTCGGATAATCTTTGTTGGACTACATGAACTGTAGATGAGAATGATGGTTTTGAAGTGATCTTCAGTAAGTAATTTCAGTCGGAATCGTTCGTATTCGCGTTTGATGATGCCCACATGAGTAAGGACATGAGTCTTCCTTCATAACCAGTTTCAATCATCTATAACATGCGTTGAGAAATAGGGAGTTATCTCCAAACTGCAGGCTCAATAACTGTCTGAGAATGAGCGGTCATACGAGTTCAAAGTCAAAATCAAATTACAGTACCTATCTAGCTCACTTGGACCCAAATTCCGAAGTAGCGACCGAACCTTTCAAGCATCATATTGGTTAGCGAAATCAAGTTTAAATAAGTTCTCATACATCTGTGACCACATATCAACAGTTGCTGTAGCAGTGAATCCTAACCGTATTCCTCAAAGCCGAGCATGAGATAAATGGGAAAATAGACTTTCAGCATGTAACACTAAGAAAAAATCAATAAGGGTGGACACGGGGACACTAATTCGAAATTCAGTTCATCGGATGACATGGCTCAGCGTTTCAGGCGTGGTCATTCTTGTTTAACTTACCTCTTTTATTCACATTAATTACATCGTTCTATCTCCAGCCTACATGTGTTCTCCATCATATATTGTTAATCGTTACGACACGATAAGTCAATGTAACTAATTATGTGACTTCCACACAAGATCTCGTAAGATTAGGCAGTTACATCATGACAAATCTACAATTTTATTATTAGGTCTATTATTAGAGCCGTACCAATGATGAAGTAGACTATAATTCTACACAGTAATATTAGCATCAGGATCGTAGTGAAAATCAGCAATGCAGCTCGTTATACCATCAATTGACGTTGCAGTTGTAGAATTAGAAGTGCTCGGTTGTGTGGTGTATGTAATTTTCCTTTCTGCTAACAACTGGATGATTTTGTTTTCGAAGGATCCATATTTGCACCCGCGCCGTCGCTACATTACTATGTTTAAAGGGATTACGAGATCACCTAAAGTCTGCGAACGGAACGAAGGGGCAGCGACGCAATAACAGCATAAGCTAGCTATTCCAATGCGTCTCAGGCCCGCTAACTAGAGGGAGTAGTGCAGGTTCAAAAGAAGGAATGAGTATTCCGCAAGCAACAGGAGGGAGGAATAACAACAAGCTCAACTCTACCTTATATGTACAGCATAAAAATATCCTTGGAAAACGTCACGAAGTAGAATATTAAAAGATACAATGAACCAATTACATTAAGGGTCCTTTCAATTCAGAAATACAGATTAAAGGTAAAAATAGGCTAATTTGTCGCGGAAACAAGAAGTTCAAATTTCCAAAATCATATTGCAAAAAGTAAGACGTTTACCAAATATGTTTTTGGGATCAAGCATCCCCAACATCATCGAACATCTGTTGACTATGTCGATTATGTGCCTTACAGAGACTGTGGATAATCTGCGACCGCAATAGGAAGTTATACAATCAGATAATTAAGTGGTGCTACCTACTGACTTCCGTTTGCGCATTACGATCGTACTGATTTCATAGCAAGTCTATACCAATGACAGCTGTGTTTACCGGCCACGGTTACCGTCAGTGCATGCCAGATGGAAAGTTTCCTGGAGGGCTTTTCGTGTCAGACTGTTTGAAAATCGGGGAACTACAGAACGTTTTGCGATTTCGAGATTTATCATACACAGTGTAACGGGAAGAGAACGATGAAAGTCCCTCCGCAGCTTCTTTGTTGAACAGTATTGTCATTTATCTGTTCCTTCTTCCTGTCGTGTATTTTAAACTTTGTTAAGATCTCGTTTAACCATGTCTTTTGTTCTTCAGTCCTCCTCGTCTGAGCCTTTATTATGTGATTTCGATTAAAGAGTTATCTTTTGTTACCTAAGTTTCCATTGCATGTTACTGGACTACTGACAGTAAGGTCGTATTTGACTAAGCTCCAGGTCACCGCGTGGTTCAGTGTGTGACTGTTAACCTTTTGATTGTCTGCTTGGGAGGATTGCCGGAATCCCTGTGGATAGATGTTTGATCCCATCTTGTTGGGAATATGTTTATTGATTCCTAGGTATCAAACCCTTTAGTATTACCTGTTTCCTTCATTGTTGAAAGAGCTACTTTGCGTTAGAGAAACTTCTGACTGTATAGCACAGGCTGTACCGTTTGAGGTACTTTGTACTTTTGATATAATTTGTTCTGTTTTCCAAATTAGAACCGTTTATATTGAGCACAGAGTTTGTGTTTTGATATAATATAATACGAGTATCTCAAAAACATGTTGTGCGCTATACAGAGGAACGTGGTCTCGTCTAATCGTATAAATTTTGGGTTCGTCAGTCCGGCGTCCTAACGGAATACTGGTTGTTCGGTAATCACACAGTATGATGCGAAAACTGGTCCAAGTTTTCTGTTTCTCGTGATTTAAAGATAAATCATTTCGGTGAACATATCCAAAGAGGTCGGGAGCGTCTACGAATATGATGATCATTAAGTTAGAGGTCGGAGTATGACAGAAGTCTGCGACATCATTTTATGTTGCTTGATGCTTTTCTATGACAGATAAACCTCGGTGCTGGGGGTTCTAGTGATCTCCAGAATCCAATCACCTGATGTACCAGTTCATCTACGGCGCTATTTTAAGATTAGAAAAGAACCACGTGCAAATGTTTGTTACGGGAGAACTGTAGACATTTGGCTGATTAAAAACTTTTTATTGTACATCAATAATTTAACTGTGTTTCTGAATGTGTTTGTTTTACTTAACCTTTGAACTTGTTTATTTATATCATTCCTTTCGGACATTTTGGTTTCTCTTTGTCATTGGTTTTGTAATTGTTGCAATTATTGTTGTTAGAACGACATTTGAGTCGACTATTTGTAAACCACGAATAAACTTTCGTATCTAATTGGAATTTGATTCTATTATTAATCTGGGTTCGTGAATTGTAAATAGGTCGACATACCGTACTTCAATAAAGGGAACGAGCAAAAACTTGGACGGGACATGTTGAGGAAGACTGGATAAGAAGAGTTGTTCAAAAAGCCCTTGTTGAAGGCTCGATGACCAAAAACCTCACGGCTACGTAGCAACATTTCTGTTGCTTAACTGTGTTACGTCTATATATCGTGGATGAACTGGTCTAAACTTTGTCGGCTTGTTAGACTTTAGTGGCATTAGACCATAACCACACAATCCTGAAAGCTGAATACGAGACTGCTCGGAAAATAGATATTCAATATTTAACACGGAGAAATACCTAACGATGGAAAAGGCTGGAACAAGGAGCTGAATTAATTGAAGTTGATCGGATGGCATGGCTCGGCCATGCAGGCGTGGTCCCTGCGGAGTGTTACCCTATATCTTTTATTCATATTAAATATATTGTTCTTTCTCTAGCCTAAGCCCGTTCTCCATCAGGTATTAGTAATTGTTACGATACAGTGAGTTGGTGTAGATGGTGATGTGACTTCCACGTAAGATCTTATAGACTAGGCAGTTATATCATGACAAAGTCTACAATTTTATTATTAGGTCTATTATTAGAGCAGTACTAATATCATAGTAGACCGTCACATTTCTATATGGCCTTTTTTAAACTGTTATTGGATTCCCAAACATCACTGGTAAAGATACCTACCTCTTAAGACCACACAGTTATGCCTTCTTTACTGCGGGGAATAGCTCACGTGCATCTGTCGCACCGTCATCATGGAAGTCAGCTAGCAGAACCTTACCGCCATATTACCAGGTCAGAATGGAGTGATTTGAAAGGCGGGGGTGTAGCGGTCTTAATTTCCAATAAGTTAGGTGTCTGTTCCGTCATAGTGATGATAAAGTCTACAAATAGGCAAGAAGTTCGAGAGTACAAAAATAATATCGCGATATGTAACAATAAAAGTAAAGAAATGATATGTGAATTTAAAAACGGGGATGTTAGCAAATATTCTGAGTGTCGTTCAGCATATTCTAATAGGTTTTGGTATGAAAATTCTCATGAAATGGTTTACACAGATTCAAAATTTAATGAAACACAAAACGGGTTATGCAAGGTTAATTAGCTAGCATAATTGGCTCAAACACAAATTGATATAACAACATATTCCAAACAAAAATGTTAACGGACGTCCGTTCATGCTCACTCGGTCCGAATGTAGGAGAAAATCAGATTCAAAATGAACACTGAAGACATTTAAAGTCCTAATGTCAGGAACAACTGGAGCGGCGACATTTGTCATCGATTGTGCTGGATCCATAAAGTCTCCTGTCATAATAATTCACCACGGAACAAAAGTCCTGTTGTGTGGTCTCCATTTTTTGTGAGTCACCGTGTACAGAAACCAGGAACATAAGTGCGAAGTAGTAAATATGTCGTTCTTTGTTAGTAATCGGTTACGAGATCAAACACTTGTTTAATAGAAATAAATAGGATCGAAGTTGATAGTGGATAAAAAGGAAACGACGTTCGCTCATAGCATTCACTATGGAGAGTTGTATTTAGAACTTATACGTTACGCCATCCAATCCGATAGACACTTTTAATGAAGGATGGATGTCACTAGAAAGCAAACGTTTTAGTTTTAGAGATTGCAGGTATTAAGGATCCCTATACATTTAGGAGTAGACAGCCAATCAGTGACTGACAGTTCACAAGATCTGAGCTTATAAAGGTATATCGGAGCAGAGAGTTGAATATGTTTTTGGACACCAAAGAACTGTGATTAGGAAATAGTGTCCAGGATCCCGCACTTGACCACCTAGTGAAGGCTATGTGGAAAAATTTAACATTTATCGCTCACTGTACGATAGAATTTGCAGCCAAAATCTCTGGTCATTTACCTAGTCGAGTGTTTTCTAACGACGAACTCGTTGGTTTTTAACTTTTGGTTGGCCAATTCTTAGAGTTATCACTACCCCACTAGGGGGTGAGTGATCTGTGGTGGTAAATGAAGCCCCAAAATCAATTGCTCTGTAGGTCTTCGACATTCGATGCTGACCACATTACTTTTAATGAAGTCACCTAGCTGAAGGCTTTCGGTTTCGCCTCGCAACACATCACAAGTGGGCACATGGGCTCAAATTCTCTTACGACCGCAAGCCGGTTTATGTCAATCACTTCTCTATATATTGATAGCCTATCAAATATGTCTTTGAACATCTTCACTTCTGACTTTTAATTTCACTGATTGGGCACATTTTGATTATAGAAGGTGGTACAGGTTAAGGTGTTGTCAAACTCCGAATACCTGTGGCGTCTTCACGGACTTATAACCACAGACAGTCTAGACATCATTTCGAGTGTCCCAAGGAATATAGTCAAAACAAGCTCAACTCTCAACTATATGCGGATGCATTTTGACGCAATCAACCCCTTATTATTCTTAACTACTAAAAACGTGCCTACGGCGGCACGTGGAATACCCACAACGTTGGTGCGTCCCAGCTCTTCAAAACGGGCGTTAACCTCCTAGATCGAACCCAGAGACGAGTGACCGAGTGGATAATAAGTCTAAAACACAAATCATACGAAGGCGGACTCTAACATCTGGATTCGTTCTCACAGAGCTACCTTTTGCCTCTCTTATTCTCTTCTCCGTTTTCTTCTTATTCTTTCGATTCCATCTTCTTATACATTGCCGATCAAGTAAATTGTTTATTTATTCTCGAAACAATCATCACTCAGCACTCTAATTATCGATTTATTATTTTCTTATTGCTACCAACCGGCCTCTTACCTTGTGATTTGCTAGCTGTCAGAATCCAGAAGCCTCAATGCTCTGAGATAAGCGCATTCACTCAACCACAAGGTATACTAATCCACAAACAATTAACGAACTGGCTTGATTTAGTGCAGTTTGGAATACCACACATTGGTCGTAACCAGACACCGAAATGACAAGAATCGAGCGAAAAGAAATTAATTGACTCATTTAAGCTGGTGATAACCATATTGCACATTGATTAGCGTTTTTTCTGAATTTGCAAGCTCGCACCTTTGTAGCGCTTGGTTTGGTTATGTTTGTTGTTCATGGTAGTCACGTACAACTGTAGTTCTGAATTTCGCATCGATAGTCGGATTAAAAAGACTCACACATAGCTAGCGATTATCCAAAACCCAAAGCTTCTTTGGACTTTGACAACCTATTAGAGTTTCCAGAGATGCCGATTGATGTCTGTTTATCTCTACCCCTTATCGACAGGGTGAAAGAACTTACTAATATTTTTGCTCGTGGAAATTTACAGGTTTGCCATAAATGTGTATGTATGTTTCTTAGGAGCTCCACGATTCGGTTGTTCTGGTTGTCGACAATATATTCGGTTATTCATGTGGTACAGAAGGCTGGGCTTTACATGCTGTTAACGAAGCTGATGAGCCACATTTGTTTGGTTCTATTCGAGAGTTCCTCTCGCCCAACGGGAGATTTTTGGAAGTTTTGTCCAGTAGATTAACCCTTGAATTCCCATCAATCTATCATGATTTCCCACTTTGGCTTTTATCAGTAAGCATTTATTTCTGTATATATTCTGTTTTAGACAGATTCCCAAAACTCTGTTTGGTCAGGTGGTTGCAAACAACCACGAACTCAGTTGTCGTTAAGTGAGTTTATCAGCTTTTATTTGACTGTTCAGATGCATTTACCTACTATATGTTCGCTTTCATGTGTTATGCATCGTACCCTAAATGGAAACAGGTGAATATACATTTAGCCAATTAACTTCTGCAGGAACTTGCGTTATGCGATTTCGAAAACAGTTTATACCGTACCTTATTTGATGATTACTTAGGCTTTTACTTATATACTGACCCAACCACAGTAAATGTAATGGCTTCTAAATTTCACATTTTAAGAGCTGGTTTGCAGACACCTGGATACCAGAAGTAAGTAGTTATTTCTTGCAAAATTCGCAGGAATTTTTCCAATGAATTTGTTGGGGAGTATATGAATGGATCTACGGATACTTGCTTTCCCGACTTCCGCTTATTTTGGCAAACAGAGGCAGTATTACAAGTAAAATGTGCAATAAATAATTTTCGACCATAGGCCGTTTGCGAATTTCTTCTATCATGGAGAGCAACTGATTATTTTAATGGCATTTCCGATCTACCTAAAAACACATCTATGATTCCATCACCTCCCCCATTAAGTCATGCTGAGGTTTGTTATTATCACATGTCTTGAGTCAAAACGAGGTTTATTTGATGCTTTTGATAATCTTTTAGTTCATGACTTCATGAGTTATAAGCTTATTAAGCCCGCTTACTTTAACTCGACCTATGACGAGTGTATGGAATAAGAAATGAAATAGCAGTGTTCCTGAGTGGATATTTAGGTAACTAATCTAACTAACATCTTTAGTAGTAATAAACGGACCCATATTGTAATAGGGTTGAACGAAAAAACGGAGTTGGATTAACCTCTTTTCATTGAATTCATTTGACACTGGCACAAGGACCAGTAATCATATTAGAAAAGAAATAACACTCACGCTATGACATCCGACAAATGTGTAAAAATGGCTTGTATTTTGTCAGATGGGTCCAATCTGTTTTCTACCGAAATGAGCTCAGTGAATCGAGTATCCCTTAGTTAATCTGATAATCAATCTAATGATAAAATAGGGTTGGTAGATAATTAGAAAGTTAGAGGCATATTATAAGGGTCCAAATATGGCATTCCAAGTAACTGCGCAACTGAGCGAATGCTCGTCGATGAAATTAGGTTAGCACTTTTATCTTGTATACAGAAGTTAATGTACAGTTGTGTCGATTTAACATGACTACTACATCACAAGACGCCAATTTTCACAGGCTTGCTGTCAGTCATCACATTTCGCATTGTACGATCATTTAAATTTGTAAGTAATCAACTTGTAGTTTTTGACGAGTGTTGCTTCTAAATAGTTTTATATTTCCACTGAAAGTCCTCGTTTGAACAGAAATCCTATAGCTCTACCAGCATTTTTATGAAACTAATTCCACTTCTGCTATGCATTGAAATAACAAAATAGCTTTGTACGTAATTCCCTTCGGAAAAGAAGTAGTAAACCATATTGTTTGTTTTGTATTATGAATGGAAACCTTTAGATTCGTATGTGCTAGCGCGTTACTAACTCTGACCAAGTCATATACAGGTTTCTAGATATGGAATATTCAATAAATTGTGAGCTGAATTTCACTGTCGTAAATCCGTCAGATTTTGAGTAATCCTTAAATCCTAGTCAGTCTGTATGTAAATATATAAAAGAATATGACATGAGAAGGTGCTAAAACCATCAATTATGTATAATTTTTTGGTGGTATTCTGTGTTTGTTACCATGTTTTCTAATTACAAAACAGCAGAAGTGCGATAACTCGCAATGCTATTTGTAATAAATGAAAACTAGTTACTGGATAGTCAATAACTCACAACTGCTTCTAAACAGTCAAGTTGATTTTCTTATTCCCTATTCGACAAACACTCATTAAGTATTATACATAAAGTACATAACTCCACATCTCCAGAGGCCAAGATTTTAGCGTAATACGCTGTCATGAAATTGTTTTAATGCTTGTAATCCCAAGTATCGATAGATAAATTATCCTGTTTCAACATTAATTAATGTTGTACATCAGTGAACCATTGTTAAATGATGTTATCTGTACAGTTACAACAGTACAAACTAGATATTTTCAACTTTGAAGTAATAAAGTTCAGTGTTATCGATAACTAGTTGTTTTAAAGACAAACTTTTCATTTGGTTTTTGAACGACAAGGATTTTCCAATTTTTAAAATGAGTTATGTTTGCAGCATGGTATCGTTGTAGTCAGTCAGTCAGCTACAACGTAGGACCAGGCACATACATACATCGGTCCAAGTTGCCATACCTCATTAACACAACAAGATGAACACCGGAGTCATAAAAGTAGTTAATTCAGAGGTGGTGATATACAAAAGAAAGATTGCATATAAGGATAAAGTACAGAAGAAAGAATTAGTTCGTAGAAAGAAAGATATGGAGCGATTTTAATCTCTTAGTTTAAGGGAAGACAGAGAGTGTATACACCAACGTCATTGTGATCGATTCTGAGCCATGTCACTCACAGTCTCCAACCATTGGTTACGATAGTCACACGGACCCCAACCAAGTAGTCTGCATCTACCAACATGGCTCAAACTGGGAGTTGGTGACTTCAAGCATTGATGCCACGTTTTAATTTGGCCACCCCTAACTTTCTTCCAACCATCCCCTACACCGGTTAGCATTGCACGTCGTGGTAATCGGTGTTCGGGCATGCGTAACACGTGGCCCAACCATCTCAGTCGATGAAGATTCATAACCTCATCAACTGATTTACCATCATTTCCTAATACCCTGAGTCTAACCTCACTATTACTTACCCGATGATCCCAGCAATATTTCAAGGATATGTGCAGTCAAATACTAGTAGCTTACGAGTGTCTTCTACTCCTAAACGCCATGTTCGCTGCCGTAAATTAAAACAGAACGGACTGCGGCACAGTATACTCGTCCTTTTATTGATAGACGGATATATCGCCTTCGCCATAGGTAACGTAAGTTGGCAAAAGTCAAACGGGCTTTTCGAATCAGTGCTGAGATTTCGTCAGACACCAACCCATTAGGGCTGATCAGACTTCCAAGATAAGTGAAGTTGTCGGCGCGTTCGACTACTTCACTCCCTATCCTTAGTTCAGGTGTTGACGCAGACCAGTCCTGAAGCAGCAGCTTGCATTTAGCGAGAGAGAAGCGCATTCCAAACATTCTGGCATTGTTGCTTAGTGCTACCAGAAGACTGCATTCTATCAGCATCTACACCAAACAGGACTATGTCATCTGAGTATTCTAGGTCGATAAGTGGACCTCCTGGAAGGAGATCAATATCCGAAAATTCAGTCGACGAAAATGTTATTTCCATCAGTAGGTCTATGATGAAGTTAAACAAAAATGGAGAAAGTGGACATCCTTGACGGACACCACTTGAGGTTGCAAAAACAGATGGAAGTTCGCTATAAGTTTTGGCTCGACTAGTTGTGTTCGAGTAAAGAACCTCCACAAGGTTTATGCACTTCTAAGGTACGCCTTTCAATGACAGACACTGTCACAGAATGTCGCGGTCAACGGAGTCAAATGCTGCTTTTAAGTCAAGAAAGTCCACCACGAATAGTGAATATGTAGTCGATGCATCCAAGACCAGGTCTGAAGCCAGCTTGATTCTCTCGTGTTTGCAGTCCACGAGTCATAGTTAGGCGTCCGATAATTATCGGGTGTCGTTATTGCTTTTAACTATAAGTCTCTCGACAAGCATGTTTTCTCAGTTCGGTCTCCTATATCTTGTAACCATCCTTAGATATTTGCTTCATCATCTTATTGTAAGTTTTTGGACTAATGTGACTTTAAAAATTTTTGCATTATGAACAACCTTGCCTGAGACGCAAACATGATCCGTCATTCTGCGGTAATTCTTGGTATTTGACTTTTTGTGTCAATAATTTCTAAACACCTATTACCATATAAGCGTGACTGTCCCCGAAATGCCCTGATAGGGCTGAGAGTAGGGAGAGTCAGCTCTCAATCTCGAAATGCTCTCACATGGCCACACGTGTGCAGCCACTGCCTTCTCGCGGCTGGATGTTGTTTACGAAATCGAGAGGATGAAAAGCGAATGTTCGGCGCCTTAACCAGGTTGGTGGATACGAAGGATCCACCTGCGGGAGTCGGAAAACGCTGACTCCAAACCAATCGTACACATGGGCTCTATGATCTTAAGGGAACAGAAGGCGTATGAACTTACTGTTGGTCACTGACTGCCATGTGACTGCATCTCCTGACGTTGCTCTACTTCCTTATGGATTAGACCTCTCTTGATCGAAGGCTCCGCATGTGTCCCCCTATGGGAATCACATGCTTCAGTTTGGGCACCGGGTAGTATCATAGCTCTCACACAAATTAATAACTGTGTGGCGCATATGTATTTGGTTCCCTTCTGTACAAATGTTTATGTTCTAATAAGGAAATATAAATAAACGACTGCGAATGGTTTGGTTCAAACCAGTTTTGATAGGTGAACATCAGATGTTAATTTAGAGCTTCATCTTTAGCTTTAACAACTACTGACTGCATGATATTCAGTTAATTAGTGTATAAGGCACTCTAATCTTAATAATTTCGCTTGAGGTTTAGTCCAGGCAGCCACATGTAATGTGTCGTCTGTCTTGAAACCGGGTTCACGAATATTTGTCACTCAGTTGTATTAGTTTCCAATAAAGCGCCGGAGTGACGGTCCATTGAGACGTCACATTGAGTAACTCATCTGTAAACTAGTATTACATGTTATATAAATGTTGGAGTGATCCAGACAAATGATTGCAAAAGACAAGTAAGCATCAGGAAACACTAAGGAGCGTTTCATCTAATCAGCGTTCACTTGGAGTTTTAGCCAAAAATATCAAGGAAGTGAAACGTCACATGCAAAGGTTCTGATTAGCTGGTTGCTACACTGCTACTAAACATAGTAGCATTCCAGAGTTTTCTAGCAACCCAAGGACATTTAAAATATAAAAACCCTGTATTTTCTGTATTAAAATGAACCTTGGAGTAAACTACTTGTCGCATACTTTGGTTCTTCTCTCTCGTGTTCAGGTCGCTGTATAGTTCTAGCTTGGGGGTTACAGAATAGCTTAGGAGACGAATATAGCGTTCAATCCGCAAGAATTATCAATAAACCACTACTATATTACACTGGTATCATAGCTATCTGAATGTTTTTTTGCAGAAATCAGTTAGATCAGTCGGTCATCGAGAATAATCACGTGTTAATTTCTCCATCGGACGTCAAATAAATTTCACAGATGTTATTTTAATTCCTAATGGGTTTTCTACAGAATAGTTTTGTCGTAGTTAGTTTGCATTCCATTATGTGTTAGCAAACAAATGACACGTTAGCCAATTACTTGTATTTCGCATTAGTACGAGGAACAATATTCGATAAAACAATTCTTCCACGTTTCTAAAAATTTAAAGATCATCTTCATTAAGATGTCATGCTCCCTTAAATATCCGAGGATAATTTGTTCAGTCGGACTAAACATACGTACAGTTAAAGAGTCTGGGATTAGGATCAAATAACTATCTGATGCTTTTCGGTTTTAAATGCTTCTCTGGATTTTTATCTGCGAAGTTTTCTTAGCTATCGTTTTCTGTTTTTGCTCATAATATTTTAAAGGTTGATGTATCTCAGCATCTCGAGAAATTGATGATAGAGTCCACTCGTGACTAGTTGATAGTACTATTAAAAAAAGCAGATTTACTTAAATTTCTCAGTACCTAAATCAATTTTCCAGCTTGTTCTAGGATATTTCAACTAAACAAATTCCACTGTTTTTTCATTTAGCTATTCCGCTTTATTCATCAAGTTTTCTCATGCCTAATAACTTTTAAAAAGTGAAAAGCAAAGCTGATCAATCTCCCTTTGTATTTCACAAGTTCATTTCAGATTGATAGTAGTTTCATATGCTTGTAATTTGAATCAGTTAATTTCACTACTATTTTTGTAGTATATTGTTTATCCATGCTTGTACCCATTTCATTATTTTGAATTGTAAGATTTTATTATAATCATTATTCTCATTTGATATCTTCTTTTGGCTTATAAGTTCTCAACTAAACCAACTGTATGTCAACTATTTCTGGTGAGGTCTTTCCTAAAATATTTCTACTTTGCATTGTTCAATAATACAAATTCAAACTGTTTCCAAATATTGCAGCAACAGATAATATGGAACAAATTTCTCAGTTATCGAAAGTAAGGATAGTCTAATTAGTAGATATAAGTAGGTCATAAATTAGTTGGTTTTCAAAGTTATTTTTACTTATTTGTGATAATTTTCTTAACCAATGCAGTTGGTTTGTACAAACTAAGGTAGTTTATGCATTAAATGTCTCAATTTATTCCGACTGGTCTGTACAAGAAAACAAGTTAAAAGTTGAATAACAACAGAACTAGTACAACAGTTGACCCTCACATTCGAATCATATGAATTATCTTGCATAAATAAGGGTCTTTAGTTAGATGAAAAGAGAAATCCTACATAGTTATCTATTATTATAGTACTTGTTAATTTAAGGCACAAGTCACCTGCCAAAAGATATTAACCAAGTGTATATGCAACTAAGCTGAATCAACATCATTTGGTTTACGTGAAACGACCTTATATATGTCACTGTTTCAGGCCTCGCCTTAAGTATTTTTGAGCGATACTGTTATTAGCACGTGAGCAGAAAGATGCCTAGTTGTTACTCCTACTAGGCCTGTAATATGGTCTGAGATCCGTAAAAAATTCCCAGAATATATATTATCATCATTATAACGATGAATACACAGTGACTGAAAGCTTGTATATTAAAAGTACGTCCACTTGTATTCCGCTAGTCATTCTCAAAGTATATTCGTATCATAGATTCAAACTCTATGATATCAGATGTGTCTCATTACAAAGTCTAGTAGATTTTCAACTTATCCTAGACTCAAAAGTATTTTTTTCCACAATTGATCACATTTTGTCCTCTACAGATATTTATACAATAATCAAGGCGTGGTAGTGTCACCAGAATCATCCATACCGCATCACAATATTATGAATCGATTTTCACGGTTTATTGTTTACTGTTTTCAACATTGGCCTTTTGATCTAAGTTTTGAAGTCGTGCTTGAGACGTGGCTCTCTAGTATTCAACCTTGGCGTTACTCAGGATTTGCGCAGCTACATACTGATACTCGCTTTTCATCTATACCATGGGATGCACCCTTAAATTTAAAAATTGATAATGAGAATTATTCTGATTGGTAAGTTTTCAACATATTACGGTTTGGATATTCATTCATTTATCACATGTTCTGTTTAATTTATGAATTGGATTACAACTTAACGTAATACTTTTAAGTGCATAGGGAAATTATGTTAGACCTGTCAGGTTGATTGGTTCTGAAAGTCACATTATTTTTCGAAATTACTCTGCTGTCTAAAAAAACATCGGAATCTCGGTGTATAAATAATTAAACTTAGGAAATAAACCTATTGTATCTATCAATTACCATAAAGATTTTGTTTCGTGTTACATATCGTGTTCTTTCATGGTCTTTTTAGACTAAATTCTGGTCCTTAAGCAGTTCACTTTTTTCAAAAGTATTAACCTATCTCAACTACTCTGAGTTGATGAACGGTTGTTTTATGGACCAGCTCATTGAGTGTAATATCTGATATAGCTATTGTGAAACCATGAAAAAAAATACTTAAATTCGTTACTTTCAGTGTTGTCACGTTATGTAAACTAGATAGCTGATAGGTTTAGTTAGGACTCCTAAATGTGGTGTTATGTCCAATTAGTCATTAACATCTTGGAGACCTACTACAAATTCGTGCTGTTCGTTCTGAATGGCGTGTTCCACTTACTTTCTGATGAGTACTGTGTGTCATCGGTGTTTAGTTAACCATTTGTCGACTAAATTCACAACGATCGTCGTTTGTATGTCCTTACTTTTCAGTAAGCATACTGCTGAAAAATTCCCATTATATTAAAACAATTACATGAACGAAGAATATTCTTTTCAATAATTTCTCACCAGGTTCTACAATTATATACCCCAATTAATCAGGAATAGGTCTGATGTCTGACGATCCAAGTTTTCAAATTGCGTGTCCGGTTTCTTGTATCACAGAATTTTAGATCTAATGCTAATACTTCAGGTTTTTCTTTATTTAATTCAGCACCGGAAAAATTATGCACATACCTTTTTGGTTTAGTCGGAAATTTATTTTAAACCGGTTGATTTTCCATTTAAAAATTAAAAACATCAAGCTCAACGAAGGGATCTCTTTTCATTCATTTGCATTGCATGCCGTTACTAACTCCTTAATCTCACAAGGCCTTTTTATTTTCACACACAATCATTTGTTGTTACTATTAGCATTACGTAATCTAATGTTATAACCCTTTTACTATAGCATCATGCTTATTCTTTGTTCATATGTTCAGATATATATATATATATATATATATATGCACGACTGTACTGGTTGATGGTAGATTCGGCGAAAAGACATCCCTTTGCTGAATTTCGTGTTTTTAAAGTTACTATTTAGTTAAATCGAGGAATGATTAATCAAAGAAATAGTGTTTTATTTTTATAACAATAAATTGCATTTTAGATGCGGCCCCCAAATGCCCTGATAGGGCTGAGAGTAGGGAGAGTCAGCTCTCAATCTCGAAATGCTCTCACATGGCCACACGTGTGCAGCCACTGCCTTCTCGCGGCTGGATGTTGTTTACGAAATCGAGAGGATGAAAAGCGAATGTTCGGCGCCTTAACCAGGTTGGTGGATACGAAGGATCCACCTGCGGGAGTCGGAAAACGCTGACTCCAAACCAATCGTACACATGGGCTCTATGATCTTAAGGGAACAGAAGGCGTATGAACTTACTGTTGGTCACTGACTGCCATGTGACTGCATCTCCTGACGTTGCTCTACTTCCTTATGGATTAGACCTCTCTTGATCGAAGGCTCCGCATGTGTCCCCCTATGGGAATCACATGCTTCAGTTTGGGCACCGGGTAGTATCATAGCTCTCACACAAATTAATAACTGTGTGGCGCATATGTATTTGGTTCCCTTCTGTACAAATGTTTATGTTCTAATAAGGAAATATAAATAAACGACTGCGAATGGTTTGGTTCAAACCAGTTTTGATAGGTGAACATCAGATGTTAATTTAGAGCTTCATCTTTAGCTTTAACAACTACTGACTGCATGATATTCAGTTAATTAGTGTATAAGGCACTCTAATCTTAATAATTTCGCTTGAGGTTTAGTCCAGGCAGCCACATGTAATGTGTCGTCTGTCTTGAAACCGGGTTCACGAATATTTGTCACTCAGTTGTATTAGTTTCCAATAAAGCGCCGGAGTGACGGTCCATTGAGACGTCACATTGAGTAACTCATCTGTAAACTAGTATTACATGTTATATAAATGTTGGAGTGATCCAGAAAACTGGTTGCACCGGGTAGTATCATAGCTCTCGCACAAATTAATAACTGTGTGACACATATATGTTTGGTGCACTCTTGTACCAATGTTTATGTTTATATAAATAAATAAATATTTCGTATGCGACTCAAGAATACTTTCATCTAAAGCTGAATTAACTTTTTTAAATCATCAAATGTATAAGTACTAAAGCATAACCGTCCAGTTAGAGAAAATAAGTTCAGATGACTAGTTTTATTTTCCTGGTTGCAGGTCAAATAGCAAAGATCGACTTCCCAAATGCATTAGAATCAGCATTCGAAACAGCCTTTGTTATGATACTGGACATCCTCTCTCTGCAATTCAACTCTGTACTGGAGCATACTATAGAAAAATTAATACCGTTCGGTATCCAAGTGTAAATTATCATTGTATGCTTTTAACTACCTATCTGGGTTTTTTTTCATCCTTTGGGATATCCCTAACAAATTTCAAGTCATCCGAGTATCTATTCAGTTAGGAAATGATGGTAAATCAGTTGATGAGGTTATGAATCTTCATCGACTGAGATGGTTGGGCCACGTGTTACCTATGGCTGAACACCGACTACCACGACGTGCAATGCAAACCGGTGTTGGAGATAGATGGAGGAAAGTTAGGGGTGGCCAAATTAAAACGTGGCATCAATGCTTGAAGTCACCAACTCCCAGTTTGAGCCATGTTGGTAGATGCAGACTACTTGGTTGGGGTCCGTGTGACTATCGTAACCAATGGTTGGAGACTGTGAGTGACATGGCTCAGAATCGATCACAATGGCGTCGGTGTATACACTCTCTGTCTTCTCTTAAACTAAGAGATTAAGATCACTTCACATCTTTCTTTCTACGAACTAATTCTTTCTTTCTGTACTTTATCTTTATATGCAATCTTTCTTTTGTATATCACCACCTCTGAATTAACTACTTTTATGACTCCGGTGTTCATCTTGCTGTGCTAATGAGGTATGGCAACCTGGGCCGATGTATGTATGTGCCTGGTCCTACGTTGTAGCTGACTGACTGACTGACTATTCAGTTTCAGTTATAGACCTCACACAATGTTTACATATGTGGTATGATTAATCCACAAAAAATTGACCAACACTTAGGTTTCACCATATGAACATGAGTTAGTCATGTTTAGTGTAGTAAGAAATTAATCATATTCTTGGTTGAATTTCATCTATTCAAATTACAATAATCGTTTTTCATTTTTAGGTTGACATTTGTTGCCCGTCATTACAGCCTTTATGTTGGTTTACTCTTATTATTTATGGAAAGAGTTACTAAAATTGATTTACATGTGTGTCGAAATGCTCATATGGTTTATCGTGTGACAAAAGTGTTTTCTCAGGATGGATTTAAAATGCTATTACTGAATACTGAAAGTTAGTTGTAAATGTTTATAAAAATTTATTTTGCTTTTGGTTTATTTACTTTTATCTTTGACGGTTTAAAACGATATTCATTAGAGTTGAAGTAAAGATTTACCGAAATATAGTGGACTACAATTTTCATTCATGTTTACATAAAGCATTCTTTTTTGCAGCCATCCAGCATTACGCATAAATAAATAAAATCCTCCACTGATTCTCAAGTAGACAAAAATGTACTTAAGCAGTAATCTTGTTCTGTTCATTGTTTACCTTAATAGTGGATTGATAAATTCCTATTGAAAAATCCCAACTGATAGATTTCAACTTTATCAGTAAGTAGGAATTTACCGCCGATGGAATTGAATAATCACCACTTTGTACCGTGACCTAATTGAAGTTGGAAATCTGAACTGCTGAATTCGGACTCAATGTTTTACTCTTCTCTGCGTGACCTGACGACCGAAGTTACAGCTCTGTGTGTAGTTGTTGGGTAGTGTTAGGTCTACCGAAGCGTCCAAGTTACCCAATTGAGATACGCGCAAAACCGAAATTCGCAAAACAACGGTTTGTCTAAAATTGCGGTTCTTTATTGGATAATACACAAAAATTAGATACAAACCTCAACTTGTGAAGTGTCTGTGGCGTTTAATGCGTCCTTTTGTATGAAATAAAAAGGGCTTCCTGTAACAGTAACAGAAAGAATAATTACAACATACAATAGTGCAAAAAGACAGCTGATAGCTGTGTCTAAACTTGGTAACAGTTTATGAACAAGCAAAACCCGAACCAAGAGCAAACAATATGGGAACCATTGCGTTTAAACAAATGCACAAAATTGTGGATAACTCCTACAGTGATTGAGGTAAAGTAATTATAATGATAAATACAATAAACGTTATAAGGATATGTAAATATTTCAGAATATTACACGACAAAGTTGCGCTATAACGTAAGTTTAAACATTTCTGGAAATACAACTATTTACTGAATGTAAATAAGTAGTCTAAAACAATACTCATAGAATGGAAGAGAAGTGAGTAAGGATAGAATGTAAAACCGACTTAACAGGTAGAAACCTCTCAGTCATCTCAAATATAAATGAAAATCCCAACTAGTGTTCCTCCTAGTGACGTCAGTACGGGACAAAAACCACACTCGGAAACCAATTAAATTTGTTTCATTTATTCAAGTCATTACGTTTGAAATAACAAAAAGTAACATGTGATAATTGAATGAATTAAACATGAACTGTTTGAAAACCAAAGATTTCGAAATATGTAATCAAAAGTCTCCAAACATCAGTTTTAACTAATATAACCGTGTTATAGTAGCTTATATAAGTCCTATGACATCCCAACCCCATTACCAGATAACGGTGGCTATTTATTGCGGTTATACCCAAACCGATTATTCCAAGTAAGTACAATCTTGGAGCAAAAGGAAAAAAACGTTGTTTAATCTGTTGGATCCTTAACATCAACTCAACGATGAACAAATGGAACATCGTTGGAGATTGCCACTCCTGGAGTACATGCTTGGTTTTTGATTATCATCTAGTGAGGGCACGGATTTCTGTGCGTTCTACTGGAGGTAGCGAAGTCACAACAGCAAGAGCCCCTAAATATCACTTCAAAGCTGAGAAGATCAAGGATACATTCGGGAAAGAATTAAATAAGCATTTGGATGGCTCTAGAGAGACAGTTTACTTGAGATGTTGGGGAAGATTTGTAGCTCAGGTGGATGATTTTGGTGGAGTTTTGTTCTCTGAGCTGGGTGGTTTGGTCGTGGAGTTCGTGCTGATGATGTCGTTCAGAAGAACGATGAAAGCTCCACGACCAAACCATCCAGCTCAGAGAACGAAACTCCCAAAGACAGTTTACTTAGAAAAAACCTTAGAGTTATATCCAAACACCTATAAATACAACAGTAACATCTACATACAACTTATATCAAAAGCCGAAAAGCACCATTGAACTTCGAAAACATCCACTGAGTTGTTAGATGCTCGAAAATTCATCCTGTCACGTTCAGAATACGATGAAAAACAACATATCAAATGCGAACTAACAAGAAGTTTACATAATGATCATGAGTAGGGAATAACAATGAAAGCAAGACGGCTGCGAAAACTACTCAGACTTATTAAAGAAACGAGGTTTTAAAAAGCAACTGTTAGTGAGAGAGAGAGAGAGAGACAAATGTATTATTCACTCTCAGCCTATGAGATTAGACAAAAAACTTCAGCGGGCGATAGTTCGAACGGCCTTTACGTGCTCCCAGTTACTCATTATCCCAGTCAAGTACAGTAGTCTTTAGTGCTGTTAGAGATATGAGGGCGGTTATCACTTCCCGGTTACCCACACTGTGGAGGGATTCTTCTAAAGGTACCTGAAAAGGAAATTGGATTAGAGGTGGTTTTAGTGACCTGAGAGCGTGACCGCAGTGCCCAAGGGACAACTGCTTGAGGTCGGTCACACACGACCTTTTTATGAGTAATTTTTGTGTTAGCTCCGTACTTGTTGAGACCTTACCGCCGGAGACGGATATCCGTGGGATAAGGCGAGGTGTGCATTTTTAGGGTCGACCTTTTCTAACCCCACCCCTCCTTGTGGGAAGGCAGCATTGCTGTCATACTGGTTGTCTGAAGGAAACACTTTACTGCTGTCATACTTTTGCACATAGATCTACAGGAAGGCGATCTCGTACCAAACGGTTCACAATGGTGAATACACTGACGAAATGCAATTTTTTGATCTGTATGAACAACAACGCAAACATGTTTGTTATGCTCCTCCCTTTTTCTAAAGGGAAAATGTTCCTCTTGAAGGGTTCATGTGTAATAAAATTTTGACAAATATTCAAAAAGCGTGGTTAACCTTCGCCAACTTGTGTCATTTGCGGCAGGCAGCATCCCCGCCTGACAGCCAAAGGCCGTATATACTTTGTGCAACAATCCAATCTGCATAAATTCATGACGTTTCAACATGGTCTTTGAAACAAGTTAACAGTGCAGTTTACTTTGAATATTCATACTGATCTGAAAGCGACGGAACATATAATTTGTATTAGTGAGACTCAACGCGAGCATTCTGAACAACTGACTCGTCATAACAGACAAAGTCCATGAAGCGTTGTACTAGGGTTCTTGAAGATTTAGTTATTGGGTTACACATGGTATATTCAATAAATACATCAATAGATCTACTAAGGTTGTTGATTATATACATTACTAAAAAACAACTGATCACACAATGCTGCATCGTTTTACATTTGCATCAGTCTAAACTTCGTTATCATTATTTAGCTACCACTTGATGACTTTTATACTTTCCTGAAAAGTAATGTGTCCAAGAAAAAACGCGTCAATGAACCCTTAATTATCGGTGAGTTTATTGTGCTTAATTTGATTATGATGGCAGATTATTCTTAAATCCCTGATGTAGAACATAGTGCCTATAGTTTATGAAGTGCCAAATGATAAGTTGTAAGACATGGCGACTGAAGAATATTCGAGGATATACTGAAACATGGAAGGGTACTGAAAGCAATGAAATCACTATTCTTTCATTATAAACACAATGAAAGGTGATTAGACTAATTATTCTTAAAAATAGTTTAGCGAGAGATGATAAACGCTTTATTAAGAAATGTCTTACTATAAAATGAGTAGCAATTCTTTTGAAAATGACTTACGAATACTCAAACAATACTCTTATAAGTATCTGATTTCCATTCGTTTCTATTTTCACTGATAGAAATTTTGTCCGAACAACAACATCAACAAGACGGTAGTTTATCCAATGTGATAGTATCTGAATATCAAGGGGAACAAAGTGGCCTCTGGAATCCTGTAATAATTAGTACAGTTGAAAGGGTTTTAAATTGTATGATGATTACAAAAGTAAAGTAAGTTTATAATTTTATCATTCTTTCATTTCAGTCAAAGATTATTTATGTCATATCTAAGCTGAGTTCCATCATCAACTACAATCAGATATAAACTGCTGGAACTCAGAACCCTTTGGGAGGTTTTTTTTTAATTGAAACACATAAACATTGGTACAAGGAGGCACCAAATATATATAAGCCACACAAGTCGTTTGATTTGTGTGAGGGCTTCCCTGCCAGTGGTTGTATGCACGTGGCCATGTGAGAACATTTCGATAGTGAGGGCTGACTCTCCCCACTCTCGGCTGTACCAGGGCATTTGAGGATGACAATAGGCATGAAATATTTTCGTGGCCTCAGCTACCACTTCATGAGTTGTTCTGTTCTCTGTAAGTTTAGCAACTTCAAAGTTCAACTGGCCATGTTCCTAATTTGTTAAGATTTCTAGTTGGATACATCATTTCAAATTAAAATTATTTCAATGCATAACTGTTCTATTTATTGTTGAATTAAATTACAAATATATATTAATTACATCCGTTACTCCTCGTATTGCATAGGTTGCCAACCAGGATTCTCCAACCAACTATATCCAAGGCACTACTTTCCATTCTCTGCTAAGTACTATTCATTCTTTGGATGTATGTTTCTCATTCCCGATGCAATGCTTTTGGTCTGGCTCTCTTTCTTTTGACTTTACGATTCCAAGTTAAAGCGTGCCTCGACGCAATCTAGTGGTTTCCTTAATTTTATTTTCTACCCACCCCCAGCTTTCCTTTCTAATTTCCTCTTCATCTGGAAGCTGGTTTATTCTCTGCCACAGCAGGTTATTGTTGAGAGAGTAAAAAGCCTTGTTTGACACTGGTCTTCATTCACCATAGTGTCGAAGAAGTTTTCAGTGTTCGCCTATCCACTCTGTTAAATGCTTTCTCACAATCAAGGAGGTTGATATATATATATATAACATAATATTCAATAAAAACAAATTTTAATAATATTATAACTAATGATAATTTAACTATTTCGATTGATTCTATTAGTTTGCAATCTGAAGTAATAAAAAAGATGGACAAATTTTCATCAGATTCCGACGGATGGTTTGATAAATTTACTAAATGGTTGTGTAGTTTCCTGATATTTGATATGGATAACTCTGACGAAAGTGTCAACAAATGTATATTCTATTTAACAGAAGGAATACATTCATTACGAGAATTCTTTGCTATTCAAGAAGTATGCCTTTCTTTTAAACATGATAGTCTAACTTAATCTTTTAAATATTTTGTGATTAATTGCATCAGTTGGTACTATTTACGACATTTCACTGAAAATAAAGTTATCATTTTGATTGCAGAGTAAAACTGGTTGGTGAATACGAATCAAAGCTGCTTCTATTTAGTGTACTCTATTGAACCCCACATTGTCAACAAACTTAACACTTAAAATGTCACTAGATTATCCCATAAGTAAGCAGATATTTAAACAAGCTCATTGATTACCCATACTCATTCCTCTTTAGCTAGTATTAGATGCTAAACAATTATCAAAAAGTAATCGACAAGCTTACTTAATTATTTGAAGCTAAAATCTTGACAATCATTACCCATAATTTGAACTGTACTATAGATTAATCCCTTTCACTACACGTGCCGGTTTGTTTTCGTAACAGGCTAGCGTTAGCCAAAATAATCAGCTAAAGAGCACCAGACAGTTACTTTAAAGTTTGGATATATTCTTCACCTAATACAGCGACACGACACAATTCATCAGTTTATTTGGAATTCATTGATCTACATTAGACAGCTTCGGTTTATTTGCAGTATTGATTGTCTACCAGGAACAGACTAATGTACTTGACTTCAAATCACTCTAAATGTGACGCTAATTGAGTACACAAACTGGGGTTTATGGAAAGGAGTCCAAACCTATGACCTAGCGACTCAAGGTTGAACGCTCTAACCACTGAGCAACAACTCAGTCAGTCATCATTAAAGTAGAGCTTCTCACAGATGTGTATTGGTCCCATACCATATTACCACAACAAAATGGAATTAACAAGATGAGTAGTCAAACAAATCGGAATGATATAGTAGCACTGGTGACGAAAGAGATTGAACATTGACGCAAAATGTAAGACGATGCAGCATTGTGTGATCAGTTGTTTTTTAGTGATGTATATAATCAACAACCTTAGTAGATCTATTGATGTATTTATTGAATATACCATGTGTAACCCAATAACTAAATCTTCAAGAACCCTAATACAACGCTTCATGCACTTTGTCTGTTATGACGAGTCAGTTGTTCAGAATGCTCGCGTTGAGTCTCACCAATACAAATGGTACGTTCCGTCGCTCTCATCTCCTTATGGAAATTAAAATCAAACTATTCTTAATTTTGTGGTTTCGTAAGATTCGTTTTGAATGTAAGTGAAACTGTGTCATCAGTCCAAATCCCAGCATATAGTGCTTAACATACTAGGGAAATCCAGGTTAAGAAACAATCGCTTAGTTATGTATTTCTTAATTTGTGATGTTCATCAATACCAAGTAAAAATTCAATGTCTGTTTGTAGACATGAATTATTGTCTCTGATCTCGTTCTTATCCAGCGATATAAATTGATTGAATCTAATTGATATCATGAACCAGTCAATATTAGACAACCATAGGAAAGTTAGTAGCACTTAGCGGCGGTTTCGTCCTCAGCAATGCACATCCACGATTTTGAACGTGGGACTAACTTCAACCACTTCTCGACACTATGTGACCATCTTCCATTATCTTATATGAGTATCTGTCTCATACCCGACACGGTTTAACTCCACTGGTCACGGCTTCTGACTAAAATTCCGAGAATTATTTCTCGAAGCTATTCACTAGTGTTCATATGATAATTATCAATATATGGTTGTGGAAATAGTGCAATATAATTTTTATTAACGTTGTTTTAGCTACATTCTTAAAAGCGCTCAATATAATTTTATTTTCGATTCCCCGTAAAATCGTTTTTCTTTTCTATAGACTTTCGAAGCTGTACATGATATATCCTTGAAACCACCACAGAATGGTCGTATACAGTGGGATGATTTATCAGCTAGTCCGATAATTACACGACCTCACCTAAAATCTCCACCAACCTCGTCGAAATCTCCCATTGTTGAACACCCTTATATAGATAATTTATCTCCAAGTGATTTTTCTTATTCATCTTGGAATATAGACGCATGTTCGATGCCAAAAACATCCGTAAATAGTCAGGATTCATCAAGATATTATACAAAGCTCACACCATTGGATCGTTTCCAGGTGAATAGTTCCAGTTTCTATTGGTTGTTCATTTATACTATCTTTTCTCATACCAACAAGGAACAGGGTTTTTATGCCTCTTGTAACCCAAAGTTATTATGTAACGATCTATACACCAAATTTTAAAACTATATTCTTAAAACCCTATGAAAAATCGTCTTACCAGTTGCCATACAAGTAACTTGTTGATACTTACTGTAGTTACCTTACTGTACGGAATTCGAATCTCTAAAAATTTACTCAACAATACAGTTACTAAGATCTGGTTTGAATTATCCGTTGAATGATAAGTAGTAAACACAATTACTTAATTTTGTTTCATTATTAATACCAATAATGTTTATTTATATAATATGATTTTTAAATATTATTAGTCTCGATACTTTCACAAGTTTTGAGTTTCCAGACTAAACCTAAATAGTTCTAACCACAAACTGGACATTAGTCAAAGGTACATTGAAAACCAGTATGTCTAAAACATCTTCAGACTCTCACTAGACAGTATGCCTTAATATTGTGTCTTTGGATTTCCGGTGGTCATTGTTTACAGGTCACAGACTTTGGATTAACACCAAAAATTTAGTGTTCATCGAACATTACTCTCTTCATCATGAATTAATTTGGATTTCTTGTTCTACAGCTAAGCTTCACTAATTATATATATATAATTCCCGAGACAGTGTGTTCTTCGACCTCCTACTTTTCCGTTTCCCTTTAGGATTCCAAATTAGTGTTCACCCGGTGATGCAGTTTGATGATTCCTTCAATGTGTATCCTATCCACTTCCAACGTCCCCTCAGCTGGAAGCTGGTTTGTCTTCTCCCACAGTAGGCTGTTGCTGATGATATCCGGCCGACGGACATTCAGTATCTTACTTAGACAATTGTTAATAAATACTTGTACCTTTTTGATGATGCTTGTAGTAATTCTTCATCTTTAACTCATACAGTATAACTGTCTTGAAGTTGGTATTGAAGATTATGACTTTGATATTTGTTGACAGTTGTTTTGAGTTCTATATGTTCCTCAATTGTAGGAATGCTGTCCTTATTTTTACCAATCCTCGCCTTTACCTCCAATGTGTCCACTGTATCATATGCTTCGCGTGATATATGGAGGTCTCCATAATTCAGTCAATCACCAGACGAAAAAGGAAGGGGTAGAATAAATAGCTTTATATGACTCCGGTTCTTATCTGAAATGCATATATTAGCTGTGCTCCATGCACGGCTTTGCAGGGTAGTCCGCTGTGTGAATTCCGTATGGTGTTGGTGACCTTCTCAGGTACACCATAGTGTCGAAGTATGTTCCATAATGTTCTCGTGTCCACACTGTCAAATGCTTTCTCATAATTGATGAAGTTGATTTATAGTGAAGGGTTCCATTCAGCTGACAGTGATCCTTTTTGTTATGATTTGGTCTGTACACGACCGATCCTTACGGAATTCAGCCTGTTGATCTCGAAGTTTGGTGTCTATTTAATCTTTCATCCAGTTGAAGAACATTCCGTCGAAAACCTTTCCTGGTACCGACAGTAGTGTGATTCCTTTGTAGTTCTCACATTTCCTCTGTAGTTACCAAATCCTCATTGTTCTTCTTAACCTTTAAATTGTTTGAACTTATTTCCCACTTTTGAATCTTTTGCCTATTGTTTATAATACGATTGTTGCTGAAATGTATTCTACATCGATACTGCTGAGCTCCTTTCTTATTAGTCGTGTTCAAATAATAATATCCATTATATTCATAGTAACCACTTTACACATTTCCTTAAACATTGGCAACCTGAACTGATGCATTGACTGACATAGAATGTCAATGCAGTTATTCAGTCGATCTCTTGTAGTTTGTATTCTAAACATGTACTATCCTTATCCATAGAGTCATTGGTTTTTCACAACATTGAATTTGACTAGTGAATGTCATTTGATTATTGTTTGTTTCTAATTGGATGTTACCACGACTTCTGTTTAGTTAGGCTACTATCATTACATGTAATCTATGCCAGTTTACGTACAGTTATTTATTTATTTTAACACATAGATATTGGTACAAGGAGGCACCAAATACATATGCGCCACACAAATCTCATTCGACATGTGTGAGGGCTGTGATACTGCCCGGGTGCCCAGACCGAAGCAGGTGGTTTTCTTAAGGGGCCACACCCCGAGCCTTCGACCTGAAGGTCTGATCCACAAGGCAATGGAGCATCATGAGGAGATGCAGTCCCATGGAAGCCGGTGACCAACGATTGGTTCATACGCCATTTGTTCCTTCAGGATACTGGGGCCCATGTGCGCCGTTGGTTTGGAATCCGGTTAAAGCTCCGGACATTCGCTTTTCGTCCTCTCATTTTTGTGAACAAAACCCCTAGTAGAAGGCAGTGAGTAGGACTTCCCTGGCAGAGGGTATATACGCGTGGCCATGTGAGAGTATTTCGAGAGGGAGAGCGGCCACTCCCCACTCTCGGCCGTACCAGGGCATTTGGGGACATACATACAGTGCAATCCTTTGCATTAAGAATTGTTGCATCCAAAACGTTACTAACCTACTTCTATAAGCAAAGTGTGATGAACACTGTGCCTCCAAAGTTTACATCAATATTTTCATTTATATTACTCGATTCATATACCAAATAGTAATTTTTGTTCATTGAAATTTTTAGATTATAATGGGTGTAAAACGTCCATATGTTTGTCAACAATTAATAAATCGTGAATATGCATCGACCATGAATGCATCATATGAAAATCGTTACATACTTACAGTATGCAAATATTTAGAGAATAAGTTTACTGAAATGGTAAGGAAATACCTTTCGTATTTGTTGTGGGGAAGTTTCTTACGATTTTATGTATTATCTTGTGAAGAGTATAACGTTGCATAATATATGAAAAAGAGAAGGAACAGAATGTTTTGATGGATGGTCAGTAGAATAGTAGTTATGTAAGAATCAAGAGACGAGTGTTTAGAATAAGTAAAATACAAAGTTCAAAAAACAAAATGGAAGAAGTACGAAAATGGTTTATCAATGTAGAATATTGTAAATTAAGATCATGTGCTGATTAATGTTAGACCACCATTAAAATCATTGGTGCACCGAACGACCGTCTCAACCTAGTATTGGACTAGTAAACAATGGGCATCTATGATCCCGCACGCGAGACTCGAATTCAGGACCTTCGTTCTCGCGTTCAAACGCTTAACATTTAGACCACTGAACCAGCATCCAAAGATGTTAATGTTTAACTTCAACCAATCCACGATATTGCGCGACCATTCTCCATCAACTTCAGTGCGTAACTGCCTCACAGTGTTGTTCATAATGACAATGGAAGCTTTGAAACTCAGTACTATCTACTTGAACTAGCAATCTCGTTCCTACCAGCATAATACTAAGTTAAGTTCAACCAATGACCTATCATCTTCATTGTATCATTAGACGAAGAGTCCATCCTATTGAGTAGGTATCTTTTAACATCAGTCCAATTCGGGGTTAATATCAATCTAATAAGAAGTTACGGCGAGACTCTAATTTATGAACGAGCCAATCACAAGCGTTTGAGAGATTTCAAGGTCACGGCACCAACTTCAGTGCTTAATGCTAACGTACGATCGGTTCACGGGAAATTTTGTACAAAACGTGATAATTGAGCGGTTATAACAAATAAAACGGCAAGACTATAATTTGTGGACGAATCAATCAGGTATAAGATAACAGATCTCGGATTTTGGCGCGAAAGCCTTTCGTCCATTTGGCTAAATAGATTTTTGGCATTATAACTGATGTCAGTTCGTGGTGAAAACCCTATATATAATTCCTAACTAAGGCAAATTATGACAATTATCGCGAACTGGATAATAAAAGCATCCGTAACACTGGCTGCATCCAGGAACTACATTATATACGGATGATTGGAGAGCATACAGCCTCATACATAGGCTTGGTTATGTGCATCGTGTCGTTATCCACAAGTAGCATTTTGTGTACTCAACAACCGGGGAGCTCACAAACAATATTGAAGCTATATGGTCGATGCTGAAAGAGTTTTTGAGACTTTATCATGACTCCAGAAGCCGACTATTCTGTAGCCATATGGATGATTTTCTCTACTGCATGCATTACTATTTTAGAACCTCTGAACCTCTTTTTAACATTGACAAGTTTTTGAACCATGTAAAAGTAGTGTATCCACCTTATTTCTTTGGTTTTGTATAATATATTTTTACTCTATACCGACTGATTGCTGATTGGCTAGTAGTTATCAAGATCACTTGAGATTCGTTCAAAGGTTGTCCATGAATTTATAGTCTAGTGGTTTTGTTATTCTGTATTTCCTCTCTTTTTTTCCAGATGAAACAACACTTTATTCGCTGGTGTTCATTGTCAGGTATTCGAGGAAGATTTGCACGTCAATTATTACTTCCATCATCATATCCCAAACAACATGAATCGCAGAGTTTTTTAATAACGAATAATCCTCGATTGTCTTTTCGTTTTTTGGCAAATTATTATGTTTTATTACGAATTTTTTTCTTGTATATATTTAGCTATTTTTTATTCGGTATAAGTTCACCATTATTGTATATAGTGTGTTTAATTGTTTTATATTTGTTTTATGAATTTGTTATAATCTTGTTTGAGTTATGTCATGAGAAAGTGAAACGCATTTAAAAGATATTGGTTTCTATTGTTCTTCTTTTCTATATATATATATATATATATATATATATATATATATATATATATATGATGTTTGTTCCGTTCTCTTGTACTCCCACTGTGTATATGAATGTACATTATACTTACTCGACAACTGAATTTTAAAACAACTTAGTTCCGACTATTATGTTTGTTTTATTGTTGTTGGTAAAGTTGTAGTAGTATTGAAAAGAACCAATCGGAACTTTTAGTCTTTTGCGCAACAATCGAATATCATATATGACAAAAAGCGGAAATAAGTTCGTATACAGCTCAGAATATCTAAAGTGATATCCAAAAACTACTTTATGTCTCCGTTCGGTAATATGAGCTCGATTCCGCTTCTGAAGATTGTGTATAACAAGCGAATCGGCTTTGAACTAATGCTCAAACAGTCATTAGTTCAGCGGATGGAGATGGATAATCTACATCTATGTCGTTTGTTTAAGTTACATACACACTTCCAGAGATTAATTATGTATAAACTTTTGATGCTTCGTGATATTGTTTTCTTTTCCATGAACCCGTTTACAAAGTATGTCTTATTCGCTAAGAAGTGCCTGGAAATTGTTGAAGACTTTTAGACTCGACCATACACTCTATTTTCCTCTACAGATTTAGGAGACGATAGAGGGAGATAGGATCCAGGGGAATAATCCCCAGGATACTCGATCGGATGGCACCCATTAATTGTTAGAAAATAGATGGGACGGTCTCAACCCACAAGTGGTAGACAGTTATACTAAAACAAATCGCTATTGGTAGGTCTCTTTATTCTTTAGACAACACTTGTAAATACGCATCAATATGGTCCAACTTTGCGTAGATCTTCCCACCATTTAGCTTAGTGAATAAATCTGTGGGGACTGATAGTGTGTTATGATGTTTAAGGGTTGTGCTACGGCCTGTAGAGATCTGTGTGTTGTGGCATTTGCCTTCTGGATAACCACAGTTGTTGCAGCCCAAACAGAATAAGGAAAAGGTGTGATAACTCCTTTTAGTTGTAGGCGGTTTAATTCTTCATCAACTTTTGATAATGACAGTGGTCTCTTCGAACAGAAAACAAGTTTACTTCCTCTCCAACCGACCCAGCACAAGCTAGATGGTCAAAAACTTCGTCATTAACTGCGTTGCATGTGCTTACGGTTCTGGGGGTTGCCTTATCAGATGGTGTAAGGTACTTAGCGGAATGTCAGCTGGTCGACCCAACCATGGTGAATGCCAATTCACGGAAAGACACTTCACAATCTGGTCCCAACAAACGTAGGTAAACATCATACGCTTCTGTGTTGTCGGCTTTATGGGTGGGCTTCCCGTTTTGATCTAAAATTTCGAAGAGATAGTGATGTCTAGTGTATCTATTTGCAAACTAAATGAGTGCCGGATTTCCTCTCACCTGCGGAGACGCTCTAACAACTCAATTAGGCCCAACGAATTTATGCAGGATTTCTAATGCTTACGATGTGTTAGTTGATTTTTCTTCGTTTGACAGAATCCATCCCTGTAACCGATGGATTCACAATATTATTTGATGGGACAGATCTGTACAAAATGCCACGCACCACAGCACCAGCCGGGCTAGATAAAGCAGTGTTGGATAGCTGCTGGACTACATGAACTTCAAGGCGTTCGGAACCACTAAACTATTGAGGTATCGCTACAAAGATTAATTAGATGTTGGTATTCATTTGCAATGTCACTAAGAGTCTGTTTCGGTTTTTTGATTGGATCGACATAGTAACTGCATGCTGGTGTCATTAAACTTTTGAGACTGCAAATGAGAGCTTTAAACTGACCTTCATTCAACAACATCAGCCCGGAGCTTTCGCATTCGTGGTTAGTGACACACATGCGTAGGAAAGTCAGTGTCTTCGTCCGTAATCCGTTTACAACACCAATAATGTGTATTGAATAACGAGGGTTTATCTTCAAACTGTTGAATTAATGACTGAACAGTTTTAAAAAAAATGAGCGGTTTTGTGGCAAAATCAAATTATAATACCTATCTGACTCACTTGGCCTCATTTTCCGAAGCAGCAGCCAAACTTTCTAAGTATCATCTTGATCGGCGTAATCGAATTTAAATTGATCCTCATAACGCCAAAACCACATGTAGCATCGGGATCGTAATAAAATTCGGCAATATTGTTTGCGATTCCATTATTTGACTGTACGGTAGTAGAAATAGATATGCTAAGTTGGGAAGTAGGCGTAACTTTTGTATCTGTTAACATCTAAATAACTTTTAACTGCTGTTCTATCAACACTTCCACATTTGCAGGATCCGTGCTTGCACTAGCCTAATCGCCGTTAGTATGTTCGAGGGAGTTATGATATCACTTAGGACCAGCGAACAGAGCGAAAGTCAGTAGCACAACAACAGGACAAGCTAAGCTATCCCACTACACTGCAGACTAGAGGGAAAAGACCCGATTCATCCGGGAAAATATATATTACACAAGCAGTCCGTAAGAACGAACGAACACGCGTTTATTCAACACAGCAATATCCTTGAAAAACGTCGAAAAATAGCTTACTGAAAGAGGAAGCAAACCAATAACATTTTAGGTCATTCCCAGGTGAGAATTGGAAGATTTAAAACCTTTACATGTCTGGGCAGCATCATTGATGAACGCGGTGGATCTAATTCATATATGAAGGCACGGATTGCCAAAGCAAGAGCAGCATATCTACAGTTGAAGAACATCTAGAACTTAAAACAACTATCAACCAATACCAAGGTCAGAATTTTCAATACAAATTTCAAGACAGTCCTACCGTATGGTGCGAAAACTTCGAGAAACACAAAAGTCATCATCCAGAAGATATAAGTGTTTATTAACAGTTGTCTACGCAAAATACTTCAGATCCGTTTGTCAGACACTATCAGCAACAACCTACTGTAGGAGAGAACAAACCAGATTTTAGCGGAGGAAGAAATCAAGAAGCGCTGGAAGTGGATAGAGCACACATTGCGGAAAATACCCAACTGCGTCACAAGGCAAGCCCCTACATGGAATTCTCAAGGCCAAAGGAGAAGTGGATGACAAAAGAATACATTACTATGAGAAATGGAGACAGATATGAGAAGAATGAGCAAAAATTGGATAGAACTAAGAAGGAAGGCCCAAGACTATGGGTTGGAGAATGCTGGTCGGCGATTTATGCTTCATTGAGAGTAACAGGCGTAAGTAAGTAATGGTATTTTGAAAAAAAAGCGCTACCAAAAACCTTTGTTAGAGTTTCAGAGAAAGATTTCCAAAACTCACTTTCCGTAAATATTGTGGCTGATAATGTTTTCCAAAATAAATATCAAACAACTAACCTAAATTTTGATAGAATTTCGTTCTCTGAACTGGATGGTTTGATCTTCGAGCTTGTATCGTTCTTTTGAACGACATCATCAGCACGAACTCCACGACCAAACCATCCAGCTCAAAGAACAAAACTCCATGAAAATCATCCACCTGAGATACAAATCTTCACCATCTCAAAACTAACCTGTTGGGATATTCAGAAAAATATCCCAAAAATTATCTTGTTAAGTCTAATACTATCCTTGAACGTGAAATGGTGTCGTTTCCCTACTAGTCAGTATTTATTTCACGTGTCATTTTTCTGTTGGTCAATATTCACGGTAGTCCTAACTATATAAATATGCATTTATCTGTAAAGTATCATTCCGATTCCTATTCTTATTTTTCTCCTGACCCCATAAACAATTTCATCTACGGTTCACGTTCTGATATATTGGAGATTGGGGTCGTACTGGGATATATGAAGTTGGTCAGTCGGTAGTAATTAGAGTAGCCACCCGCGGTACACAATGTAACCTAAAATAATTCAATTTCATAAAAAGCGTCCTTTGCAATTATATAACCATTCATTAAGATTCACTGATACAATTTATTCAACCCATTAGTTATAGGTAGTCAATACAGTATTAAAATAAACAAATGTATCTATTTTAAACTCATAAAATCGATATATATATATATATATATATATATATATATATATATATATATATATATATATATATATAGATAGATAGAATGACTGACTGGAATGTCGATTTGGATAACAAAAGACGTTTGATTTGTCAATGTTTATGTCCATGTTTAATTGACGGAACACTAAACGATGTTAGAGACGAAAACATTTACTCAGAAGAAGAAGGAATATTCTTAACTTCTAAAGCTAGAGCCTTATCTAACCTCTTATTTTTAAAAGACGATGTATTTGAAATTGAAGTATCAAAGTTGTACGAAAAGAAAGCAATTACATTACAACCATGGAACAGTAAACACAACTTAAAGAATCGACATTGTGAAGAATTTCAATCATCATCTCAAGTCATAAAGAGATATTTACAAGATGAAGCTAAGCAAATCAATCGTTATGTCTTGATGACTATCTTATATAACGTTACCGGACCTATAGTATGATATATTTCTTGCTGAAATATAAATGTATACGTGGTTCATTGATTGTGTTACTTAATTACTTACTTACGCTTGTTACTCTCAATGAAGCATAGGTCGCCGACCAGCATTCTCCAACCCATAGTCTTGGGCCTTCCTTCTTAGTTCTATCCAATTTTTGCTCATTCTTCTCATATCTGTCTCCATTTCTCATAGTAATGTATTCTTTTGTCTTCCACTTCTCATTAGCAGTGTCAAGTCACCTAGACTGGTGGCCACATTGCAACATGGTCGATAGCATTCGGTCTGCACTAATAAGGACTTCACACACATTGGTCAGCACCCAGTAATCAGTCAATTGTGACTGCATCTCAGTCCTAAAGGAAGTCGGTCGCGGCCCGGATAGCTCAGTGGTAACGTCTCTGACTGTGAAGCTGGGTGACAAGGGATCGAACCCGTCAGGGAGCACCAGGTCCCTCAAGATCACAGGTACGCCTTGCTGACGAGTGCCAAGTAGCAGGAAACCCGGGTCCAGGGTCTCCTGTCGACGACCACCAACCAACTGTATCCCATTCTTCCCCCCAGATGTTGATGTCTTCATGATCCAGTCGATCACCAGGAGAAAGAGAAAGGGTGGGAGTAAACAACCTTGCCTAATACCGGTTTTTACCTCGAACGAGTCTGTCAGTTGTCCTCCATGCACGATTTTGCAGTTTAATCCATCATAGGAATTCCGTATGATATTGACTATCTTCTCAGGCACGCCGTATCGTCGAAGAAGCTTCCATGGCGTTGTCCTGTTCACACTATCAAGTGCTTTCTCGTAGTCAATGAAGTTGATGTAGAGTGATGAATTCCATTCAATTGATTGTTCCACAATGATCCGTAGAGTTGCGATTCGGTCTGTACACGATCTATCCTTACGGAATCCTGCCTGTCGGTCTCGAAATCGGGCGTCTACAGAGTCCTTCATTCCGTTTAACAATACCCTGTTGAAGACTTTTCCTTGTATTGATAGAAGAGTGATGTCACCGTAGTTATCACACTTGCTGAGATCACCTTTCTTTGGTATTTTGATCAAAAGTCCTTCTTTCCAGTCTGTTGGTGATTGTCCTTCATCCCAAATCTTGCTGGAGAGAATGTGGAATATCCTTGCAGTTACTGCTACATCTGCTTTCAGTGCCTTTGCTGGAACGTTGTCTGGTCCTGCTTCCTTGCCGTCCTTGATTTGTCCATTGGCTATGCTGATCTGTTCGATTGTTAGTGGGCCTGTGGGTAAAATACCATTACAGTCACCTTAAATTATTCTGAGGAATAAGTGTAGAAAAATTAAATGTTATTTGTTTATGATGAAGATTGTATTGATAATTTCATCCAAGATAATAAAGCAGCAGAATAAATTCACTATAAAGTTGTCTAGGGAAATGATAGCTTATAAGTTAAAGAAATTTTAGGAATACTGAATTTGCTTACTTATACCTGTTACTATTTATGGAGTAGCATAGGCCTCTCACCATCATTCTCCATCCAACTCTGAACTGGGCAATCCTTTCCAGTTGCTATTGATGCTTTTCGTGTCTGCTTCCAATTCCCGACACAGTGTGTTCTTCGACCTTCTACTTTTCCGTTTCCCTATAGGATTCCAAATTAGTGTTCACCCGGTGATGCAGTTTGATGATTCCTTCAATGTGTATCCTATCCACTTCCAACGTCCCCTCAGCTGGATGCTGGTTTGTCCTCTCCCACAGTAGGCTGTTGCTGATGATATCCGGCCGACGGACATTCAGTATCTTACTTAGACAATTGTTAATAAATACTTGTACCTTTTTGATGATGCTTGTAGTAATTCTTCATCTTTAACTCATACAGTATAACTGTCTTGAAGTTGGTATTGAAGATTATGACTTTGATATTTGTTGACAGTTGTTTTGAGTTCTACATGTCCTTCAACTGTAGGAATGCGGCCCTTACTTTGCCAATCCTCGCGTTTGCGTCTACATCAGATCCTCCACATTCATCGGTGATGCTACCCAGAAACATGAAGGATTCCACATCTTCCATTGTCCTTCAGAATTTTTTTATTGATACAAATATGTTCAATCTGGTTCTCTGTGTTGTGGTCCAGTGAGACACATGTAGCTTTGTGTATGCGTTTGTGTGAGAATATCTTGCCACTTATAACCAATTTGTTGAATGCACAGAGATTTGCAAGTGTTTCCCCATTCTCGTTGCTTTCTCCCAGTCAGTCCATATCGTCCCATGATATCTTCATATCTGGTGTTGTCTATTCCGACTTTGAAATTCAGATCTCCCATCAGGATGCTGTGGTACTTTCCTGGGCGCTTCGCTATTATTGATTGCTGCCTATCGTAGAACTGATCTTTGTTGTCGTCGTTGCTATCATTGGTGGGTGCATAACATTGGATAACATTCATTGCAATCCCCTCCTTCTTCATATTGAATGATGCTTTGATGATTCTGGATCCATAGGATTCCGATAAATAACTGCACTAATATTAACAAGTATATGAAATCTTAATCATTAAGCCATAACTTTATCCTCGTTTTTTTTAAAATATAAGATTTGGTCATATCTCTTGCTTACTTTAATACTCATGTTACCCTTAGAAAACATCTTTAATTTATAATCAGTAACACTATTCAACGTGATCAGTGTGCTTCATCACCAAATTTTTCATTTACACACTAGTATTGTTCCTTTCTTATCTGATGAGAAACACAATTTACTTAGTAATTAAGCTAGAGAACAAAGTAGAACTCAAAAGGGTACGAAATAAACTTTACATTTCAAAAGTTAAACAATACAAGAAGAAGTTTTCAATTGGAGTTGAAATACAATTTATACATAATATTTACTATGTACATGGACTATAGTGTCGGCTACTATGTTAAGCCCATATACCTCATTTTAGCTTCTGGAGTCACGTTTTTATCATGTTAACTATTCGCTTATCAACCTTGACTGTTTTTATATGAGCATATATGTGTGTACATCTTATGCTACTTACCCCACATGTATATAATTTATTTTTGTGACTATAAATATTGATTACCGCTTAATGAAATGGAGTTGGCTCGCCCGCCATCTCCACTGCTTGCCATTTCGCTTCGTCCCGCTGATTATCTGTATAGATCAATGAGTGTACAAAATAAACATATTCAAAAATCCTTTCACTTATTTGACTTATTTAATCCCGTTATTCACTAATGCGGTTTAAATCAATAATTATATACGAGGATAGGCGACATATATATATTTCGATGGCACTCATTCAATAGCGATCAACATATGATCTAATTGGAATCAGATCATATGTCAATAAAAGACTCGAACATAAATACTAAAATTAGTGGTTTAGTGACTAGGAATTTTATTGATATTGAACTTTATGCAATTTTCATATTATTTTACTTGTTTGTCACATATCCACAGGCGGTTACGGTATCAATTCTCAACCTTGACAAGAAGTGATTTAGACATTCTACAGTTTGATTATTTTAACAGCGATATATCTAAGCAATTATCAAAAACTAAGGAAACTGAACTAAACTCTACTACAATATTTAATGGTGTTGAAACATTGTATTTGTGAATAAATGATAAAAGAAATAACCGCCAATTCTACTCCAAGTATTTTCAGAAAATTTTGATGTGGGATTCATGCTTTTAAGGTACTGTTAGTAATAAAAGTCGAAATCCAATCGTCTAAACGGATGTTCAGCAGTATCAACTTTGATAACTAATGATCTGTTATATGCTAAATTATTACTGAATATTGAACTTGATGTCATTTTTGTTTTGATTATGTCGCTAGAAAGCTACGCGTAACAAAAAGATAAAAATGGTACCAGAATACAACGAGGTCATTAGTGGCTAGTTTATCACTATTAGCTTCTTTAGATGTAATAACAACGGTATGAATTTCGGTAAATTGCTTCCAATAGTTATCATTTGATTGGTTCAGGTGTTTCATGATGACCATATTAAACATTACTCTGTGTGTAGTTATATAATACATTAATATAACTGAATATATTTCGTCTTTTCAATAGTTGAGACCATGAGCCAATTGGAGCTAGACCACCATGGAAAACCTCGAAGAACTGGACGGACGTTTCGTCTTATTGTGAAATAGTATATATATTTATATGATTGTTAAGTAACTAAACTATGTATATTCGTGTTCCTATTATCATAAGCTTTATTTTAATCTATGAACTGTTATTATACAATTTAACATTCTTGAGTTATGCCCTAGTCTGTCAATTACTATCTCCCATATTCACAGCTACTTTCGGCTAAATCTTGTACAAATTTTGTTTCCTATTTTATTGGTACGATGTGGTCTGTTTAGTTTGTATAAAAACCCAGTATATTTGAAATAAATGATTCATATTGCGGAGGCTGAGATTAGTGTTCAGGACTCAACAACCAGGCAGGACTAGGCAGGAAGAAGGACCCATAAGGACTCGTATGGGTTTTATGTGTCATTGGTCCGGTCGATAATTCACTGCGCTCTAATTGGCGGTATCATTACGTTATACATTCATAGGACACATAGGGTACAAGTTTATAACATTCTATCACTTTATTTATTTTGTTGTTGTTGTTGAATATCCATTACTTGACTTATAAAATGTAATATTTCTTAATTGTTTCTCTTTTAAATGTAAATTTTCCGCTTCTTTCTTAACATTACTTCATAAGCTAATTCAGCTTTCTGTTGTGCTTCTAAATCAGCTTTTAATTCATTTTCAATGAATTGATTAGATTTAATTTTATCAGCCAATTGATTATTGAGTTGACAGCATTGTTCATTCACTTGATCATGACGGGTTGCTCCTTCAAGTTTATCATAGAGATTAATATTTTCAATTTTTTCTAATAATTCCTCTCTTGAAATTAATTCATCATGTTGAAATTGTTGAATTGCAGTTAATTGATCTGAGATTTGTTTACGACGATCTTCGATTACCTAAAAAAATTGAAATAAATATTCAAGATAAGAATGAATAATCAAGGTGGAAGATTTTGTAGAGATTGTAGTAATATTTGATAATTGAATTCATGAGTCAGTTGAAGCTAGATCACCATGGAAAATCTGGAAGCACTGGATTGCTGTTTGATCCTAGTATGGGACTCCTTAGCAGTGCGCATCCATGATCCTGCCTCGCGAGATTCAAATTCAGAACCTATCGGTCCCACGCAAGAACGCTTAACTACCAGACCACTGAGTTGGCCGACATCTAACGGTGTCAATGTCTAATATCAACTAATCCACGAAATTGAGAGGCACATCCACCACTGTCATCAGTGAGTTACTATCTGACAACAGACCCAGTTGAACTCCACTGGTCACTGCTTCTCACTAGAACTTCAGAAGATACCTCTTGGAGACAGTCACTTGTGAGCATATGAAGATTATAATCAGACAGGCGTTTTGTGGAGATTGTAGTGACTTTAATAATTGAATTCCTGAGTCAATTGAAGCTAAACCATCATGGAAAACCTGGAAGCCCGGTTATTTCATCCTAGTATGAGATTCCTCAACAGTAAGCATCTAAATTAATAACTTTTATAAAATAAACAATTTAACCCTTTTTGTGTCTCAATGAAATCTGAACAGTTTCTATTGTAGTAGGCTTTACTTCAGTTCATTCAGCTAAGGACTGGATTTATATTTTGTACTGTCTTTAACCATAAAGTCTTTTATTCTGAGATTTCTCATACATCTCAAATCAGTAGTAAAAAAAATGCTGAGTCCATCTCGAGATATCCATAGAAAGAACTTTATACATCACTATTATAGTTATTACATTTCTAAGTTGTAATCATTTCTGTCATATCCTAGAAAAGATCAAATTAGGAGTATCTTTTCAGAACTATTAGTGGACTAATATTATCTATATATTCTTATTGTATAACTATTCAGTAACTAGATTATGTATATCTACATTCCTCTTATTATAAACTTCATTTTGACCTATAGATTATTAGTGTACGATTTACTGTTTTTAAATCATACTCAGTTTATTAGTTACAGTCTCCCACGTTCATAGCCACTTTTGGGCTTGATCTTGTATAAATGTTATTTCTTATTTTTTATGGAGTGATGCGGTCTATTTGGCTTCTATATAAACCAAGTGTATTTGAAATATGTGATTCGCATATTGGACTCAACTGGACGGGGTTAAGCAAACAAGGGATCAATAAGGATGCTAGGCTGCTCATACCAGTTGAACGATATTGATTTAGCGCAGTACTAAGATTGAATAAGTTGTATTTTGATTGGTGAATAAATCACATGATAACAAGCCGGGTGTAAAGTCATAACAATTTCCTCTGCAACTAAATAGGTACTAGGTAGGAAAATCTAATGCAAAGTGAACATTAAATTTTCAGAGATTAAAAAAAGAAATTCAAATTCATAAATGTTGTCAAAAACAGTTTTGGACCATATCGGTTATTAATAATAGTATGGTGCGTGCTACTTATATTGACATAAGTAGTATATAACGACAGTCAGAAATAGAATGTCTGGCAGTAGAAGATCGAGGAGGACAGAATGGGAACGGAAAGTAATTGGTATGAAAATGCAGGAACAATGAAGTCTGAGATGATTGATTGGTATTCGCAAAAGGATTAGTCACATTTGAGACAATTGGTTAACATTTTGCAAATGAGATATTTACTGTTTGGTTCTCAGATTTTACTAATATGTTCTGTAATTTATGTCTTCAAATTCATTGGATTGTCTTCACTTGTACTCTTGTACACTACAATAGTTAAGTAGAAATCTCCAGGTTAATGTCAACCATAAGATAACACTTTTATTGTCATATAATCGGGTTACTAAGAATTCTAGTTTTTGTAGTTTCTAGTTTTAAGGATATTCTTTATTATAAGCAAAATAAATGAATTATATTTAACCGCTTTGCCAAAAAGTAATACTATGAGCTACCTTCTACAAATTGTTGCATTATTAGCTAGAAATTTTCTACTCATTATATTCAACTGTTTCAAAATTACCGACAGTTAAATGTAGGTGCTTTATTTTATTTGGTATTGTTTACTTAAATCTTCCCATTGATGTTTTAGGTCTGGAATTGATCACTCTCTTATTTACATATGTGCATACTGTAAGTATTGCCTTGATATTGCCTTAATTCACAGCTATTATGAAGAGAGAGAGATAGCGGCTAGCAATAGAATCCAGTTTGATGTGCGTTCCGTCCTATTTGGGACTCAACAGCTGGATGTACCTACATCTCAGAGTTGATGTTCGCTCTGGGACTCGAACGCAGTACAATTCGCTTCAAACGTCATCGCGTTATCTACTTAGCTACTGAATCCTGATAGCCACTTGCTTGTGCAATGAGGTGAAGTATGAATTTACTCGGTACTGTTTACTTGAATCTTCCCATGGTTTATGCTGAACGAAATTTCTCAGTGCCAATTATATATAAACGACAATTATTTCTAAACAATCTTTATTAGTGATGATAAAATAAAACCCTACAACATTACAAAAAACTGAAACTCAAGTGACTGGAAGATTCTCAAATTCGACAAGGAGAATGTCATCAATAAATGAAGGAGCACATTAGTAAATTGTTTACATATTTATATCAGGAAGTCGTATCATGTTTATTTATGCTTGTGGGAATGAGCTTGGATCGGTCTCCAGTCAATATCTTGCAGTATTCAATCTGAAAATCTAATATCTCTACATAATTCGAAAAAACATGGGCCCTAGATAGTGAACGAAAACACAAGTGGTAGACAACCAAATGTATCTGAATACAAAATTACAGTATTTCTTAGTACAATCTGAGAGCCATACAGCCATAATTCATTTTCAAAATACCAATCAATTGTTTCAATCTATCATCTCAGATTTAATTGTTCCTGCATTTTCACATCGATTGCTTTCCATTTCCTTTCTTTCATTTTCGATCTGCTGAAATACATTCTATTCCTCACTCATTATATACTACTTATGTGAACATAAGTAGCTCACACCACGTCTATACTTAAAAATATCCATGTAGTTTTATAAATAATTCGGTGAATGTTTACGATAGTAACAAAATATTAGAATCGCTCAATTTTCACTCTAGAACTTTTTAATATTTATTTTCATACTTCGAATCATGAAGTGAACTTAGCTAGATTACGATTAAAAAGCAAGAATCACTGGACAGATTTTTTACCCTAGTATGTGACTCTTCATTAGTCAGTATTCCAGGAAGAGTCCTATGTTAAGATAGAAAATACTGAAAATTACCTCCTGGCTTTCAATAGTAGTTTAGATAAAATCAGTTTGTTGTTTAAATTATGACATTCCACAATCGTCAAAATTCTCTTATACTAATATTTTTTGTATATTATTTAAATTTCTAGTAAGTTAATCAGATATAGTGAAGAACATATGGAACTCAGAACAACCGCCAACAAAAATCAAAGTCATAATCTTCAACACGAACGTCAAGACAGTTCTACTGTACGGAACTGAAACTCGGAGAACTACTAAAACCATCAATCAAGAAGGTATAAGTATTTATAAATGGTTGTCTACGCAAGATACTCAACATCCATTGCTTGGATACCATCAGCCACAGCCTTCTGTGGGAGAGAACAAACCAGCTTCCAGCTGAAGGGGAAATTAGAAAAAGACGATGGAAATGGATAGGAAATATATTACAGAAATCACCAAACTGCATCACGAGGTAAGCCCTAACTTGGAATCCTGATGTGAAGCGGTAAAGAGGAAGGCCAAAGAACGCATTACGTTGGGAAATAGAAGCAGATATGAAAAGAATGAATAGCAATTGGAAAGAACTAGAAAGGATTGCCCAGGACAGGGATGGATGGAGAATGCTGGTGAGTGGCCTATGCTCCTCCATGAGGAGTAACAGGCGTAAGTAAGGTAAATCATATATAGTTAGTTTAGGTTAACTTGACAGATAAACAACCGACAATGAGATGATATAAATATTTATTGATGAAATTTTTATATTTGTACATGTATACTACTAATGATATATAATATAATTCATAATTAGTACCAATGAGTCAAATACAATCATTGGTTATTTGTCATTATTTCCTGAATTCTACAATTATTTCATAACTTTTATTCCTTGAACCGATTCTTTAATCTGCAATCAAGCCATTAATCTTCTTACTATCAATGATACAACTAATATTTATGCTTTGACATTCTTCTTGATAGTTTTATCTAGCTGTGTTGATTTGCTGTAGCAACTTAGACCGATGCATGTATATCCCACTTCCTACATTATTTGTGGCTGACTGATTTAAGGACATCTTCGTTTTTAAACTTACCTTAAATTAGTTAATTTATAAGCTGAATAGATCGTAGCCCCGCCTGTAGCTGTTCTAAGGTAACTGCCAGTCCCAAGCCTAGGTAAACGAAGACAGCTGGTCGTGGGATCGGCAACCCTAGCTCTTAGAAAACAACCTTGCTAAAAAAACGATAGCAAGAACAAACAAATTAAACTGTTTATATTCTGCTCTGAGAATTGTAAGGTATCCATTCAGAAGAATTATGACGCTCCATGGTGAAAGCCGAGATTCTTCGCAAGCCACGAAACCGATGTCTCTTCTAGCAACCAGAACAACAATTAGTATAGGTACATGAAATGTTTGGACAATGTGGGAGATCGAGAGAACCAGTCAGATAGCTACATAAATAAGGAGATATAGATGGACATAGGTCGAGATAAAGTTAGCCAGTTATAAAGACTAGGACTGTGCATTTTTTAAAATAATATATATACCTCCTTCAACTTATACTAATATTGACCATCTTCGAGATGTTTAACCGAACACTTAGAATTCAGTTTAAATAATGATGAGAAAACATCAACTGAGAGAAATTGTGGGATGGTAGGTAGGTCGCATACATCAGTTTATTTCCTCTGAATAAGTAGCTTACATTAAGTCGCAAAACTTCAAGCATAAAATAACAGAAATATATTTATTAAAACAGTTTAAATCTTTTAATTTACAATGAACAGGCTGAAATTATAGATGCTCAACTGTAAACTTAAATATTAAGTCTAAACAGTATCCTGAACTCTTCTTACCTCATGTAAAAGCTTTTGTCTAATGGCTGTTTCATTTCTCCATTCTTCTTCACGTTTAGCCCATAATTTTGATGCTTCATAGCTAAATAAATCATTATCAATTTTCATTAAAAGAAAAACAGTTGTTTTGTGGTGCGTGCTACTTATATTGATATAAGTAGTATATAACGTGAGTCAAAAGAGCGTAATGTCTGGCAGCAGAAGATGGAGAAGATCAAGAAAAGAAGAGCGAGAAAACAATGGAATTTGTAAGAAATCGCATGAACAATGAAATGCGAGACATTAGATATGATAGAATGATATTTTGCAAATTAACGATTTACTATATAGTTTTTCTATTTTACCAAGTAATTCTGTAATTTGTCCTAAATACAATTTGGTTGTCCTCAACCGTGTTCTTCTTCACTACATTTGGTGTCGCTGCCTCCACTAAGGATGAAGATTCCGTGGCCGAAGGAGTTTGAGGACGGAGATGTGCTGAGCTTCCTGAAGGAGTTTGAGGCCGTGGCGGAGCTGGTGGGAGTGAAGGAGCCGAAGGCGAAGTTGGTGGTGCTGGGGACGCTGCTGAGAGGCAGGGCGAAGGCTGTGTATGACAGCTTGGACGGTACTGGCGAGAAGACGACATGGGAGGCAGTCACGGAGCGGTTGGCGGCGGAGTTTGACAGCCCAGTGGACAGAGAGAACGCGCTGCAGAAGTTCCGGTTGGCGAGGTTGCCGGTCGATGGTGACCCACTGGTGCTGGCTGTGGAGCTTACCAGATTGTTACGCCGTGCACTGCCGAGTCTGGATGAGGAGTCGGAGGCACAGTTGTTGGCGTCACAGTTTATCGAGAGTGTGCCTGCCACCGTCTCCCAACAACTGAAACTGGTGAACGCAGCGCAACCGATGGATATCAGTGAACTGGCGAAGGTGACTCGTCAGCTGATGACGCGAACAGTAGCTCCAGTCGGGTGCGAAAAGCAGGAGATGAGTAATGTCGAGAAGAAGATTGAGGAGCTGGAGCGTGAGATTGCAGCAATACGAGTGAACAATAAAAGGAACGATAAATGTTACGCTTGTGGAGGGACAGGACATTGGAAGATAAACTGTCCAACAAGACGAAAACGCAGATATGTTAGACGTTACAACGATTGTTCTTTCTATCCTAGGAATCTGGGGATTGTTGCGTTAGTAGACAGAGGGGCAGTATATACGAGAGTGAACATAAATGAGCGAGATTTAGTTTGTCTGATCGATACAGGTGCAGCAGTATCGTTAATAGGCAAAGAGCAATGTAAGAGAATCAAGCCGTGTACATTAGCTGTCCACACGATAGGGGGCCATATGTTAGAGGTGTTTGGCGTATCTAACAGTATCGTAAAAGTGGGGGATGCTGAGATAAATTTTCCGTTCGTCGTAACCACAAGTTTATCGAGACCGATATTAGGAGCAGATTTCCTAAGAGAAGTAAAAGCGATAGTTGACTTAAGAAGCGGTAAGGTGGTCACGAAATATGGTTCATTGACAATACACGAAAGTAGCGAAGTTGCTGAAATAAGAGTTGCAGCGGATGTCTCGTCAAAGAAGCTAAACATTCACGAGTTATGCAAAAAGTATGCCAAACTATTCACTGGAGATGGGGAGCCGTATGGATTTTGTGACAGAGTAAAGCACGAAATACCGATAAAGAACAGTCGAGTAAATATATTTGCAACACGTCGTGTCCCGGTGCATTTAGAGGCCGAGGTAAATCGTCAGGTCCAGGAAATGTTAAAAGAAGGTATAATTGAGGAAGCGGACAGTCCATATAGCTCGCCGGTACTCTTGGTAAAGAAACCAAATGGAAAGTATAGATTTTGTGTCGACTTCAGAGAATTGAATAATATAACAGACCTGAAGCCTTGTGCAATGCCAACAGTGGCGGAAACATTAGATCGGCTACAGAATGCCACGGTGTTTACAGTGCTGGATTTACGGTCAGGTTATTGGCAACTGCCTATAAAACAGAGTGATCGAAGCAAGACAGCGTTTACTGTACGTGATAAACAGTATCAATTTAAACGAATGCCGTTCGGGTTGGCGGGTGCACCGTTCACGTTCAGAAGATTAATGACACTACTGCTCAAGAATCTAGATAATGTCGAGGTATATGGCGACGATGTAGTTGTGTACAGTCAAACAGAAACAGATCACATCAAGCATGTGGAAGCGGTCTTAAAGCGAATTGACGAATTTGGACTTCGGATTAATAAGGACAAGTCGCAGATAGCGAGAAGTAGCGTCACATTGTTGGGACATAAAGTGGGAAATGGAGAAATAAAACCATTGCCGGAGAAAATTCTTACCATAAAAAATATTGCAGTACCTAATTCGAAAAGGAAGTTGAGACAGTTCCTGGGAAGAGCGGCGTTCTACAGTCGGTTTATCAAGAATTTCAACGAAATAGCAGCACCCTTATATAAGTTATTAAGCAGCACCAAGTTTACGTGGACTGAGACTGCCGAACAAACGTTCAACCGAATCAAAAACATGCTAGACGATCGCCAGATGACGCTCAGACTGCCTGAACCGGGAAGACTGTTTACAGTGGCCACAGACGCGAGTGATCATGGTATAGGTGCTGTGTTGAGTCAGGCTGATAGAGTGGTGGAATACGCGAGTCGCGTCCTCACACCTGCTGAACAGAAGTATTCAACCATCGAAAAGGAGTGTTTAGCGATCGTGTGGGCAGTGGAAAAATGGAGACCATACCTTTTAGGTAGACGATTTCACATTGAGACCGACCATAAACCCCTGCAGTGGTTGAAAACAGCAAGAGACCCCCGAGGGAAGTTGGCGCGATGGATGATACGCCTGCAAGAATACGATTTCAGTATCGGCCATGTTCCAGGAAAAGAAAACGTAATGGCAGATTACTTGTCAAGACCAGACATGGAAGCCGACCTGCCATTAACAGCATACGCGGTGAATAGTTTAGAGGGAGACCCATTAGAACTCGTCCGGCAGCAGAAAGCTGACCCTAACCTTCGAGAGGTAATCAGAGTGATAAAAGAGGGAGCAGACGTAGATAAACGAACAATGGACAAGGAGGTAATAACGCTGCTTCGGCAAAAGGACCGACTGAGAGTGAACTCATATGGAGTGCTGACCTGGCAGGACGATGATGAAAATTGGGTGGCGGTGATCCCGAAAGACTGGCGGCGCAAAGTGATACACGAGTGTCACCAGGTAGCACATACAGGCATCGCAAGAACGACGGACTTACTACGACAAAGTGCATACTGGCCGAGCATGAGAGAAGATGTGGCTGAATACGTGTTAACCTGCCAGCAGTGTCAGCTAATGAAAAGCGATCGATACACACAACCGCCATTACAGTCAATCCCAGTAACCGCAGTCGGTGATCTATGGTCGGTGGATGTGATGGGACCGTTTCCACAGACGGCGAGCGGTAACCAGTACCTGTTAGTGATGACGGAACATGCTACACGTTGGGTAGATGCCGTACCCATTGCAGACCAGCGGGCAAGGACAGTGACCGAGGTGGTAATCCGGCATATTGTAGCGTGTCACGGAATACCGAAGATGATATTAACTGACCAGGGTCCCTGTTTTGAAAGTGACGAGTTTAAAGCCCGTTTAAAGCAGTTTGGCATCAAGAGAATACGAACTACACCGTATCATCCTCAGACAAACGGGCTTACAGAGAGAAACAATCGGACGTTAAAGGAATGGTTAGCATCAAAAGGAGGAAATTGGGAGAAAGAGTTACCATTGATTTTGCTGGCACATCGTTCCTCCACACAAGGAACAACCAAGAAGTCACCTTTCTTGCTCATGTATGGCAGACAACCACGACTTCCAATGCATAATAAGACCTGGCCACAACAACAGAAGTGGACGACAACAAGGTTAAGAAAAGAGAGGAGAGAGGCAATAAGGAACGTGAAAAAGAAACAAATATCAGACACAAAGAAGGCAGAACAACAGAGGAGAACGTGGAAACCATTTGCAGTGGGGGACCTAGTAAAGTGTAGAGAACGAAAAAGTAACATAGCAGGGGGAGCAGGGTCGGGGAAGCTGGCCCCAAAATGGGAAGGACCGTATGTTATAACGGAGAGACGCGGCTCGGTCTACACTATTCGGAGAGAAGACAAGCAGAAGCGCGTAAATGCTAGTCAACTACAGAGATGGTTTCAAGATCATCATGGGTGTGAATCACGAAAAGCACCAAAGAACACAGCGGTACGGAGATCAGAAAGACTACGACAGCAACTTGTTAAAAGGGGGGACGAGTGTGGTGCGTGCTACTTATATTGATATAAGTAGTATATAACGTGAGTCAAAAGAACGTAATGTCTGGCAGCAGAAGATGGAGAAGATCAAGAAAAGAAGAGCGAGAAAACAATGGAATTTGTAAGAAATCGCATGAACAATGAAATGCGAGACATTAGATATGATAGAATGATATTTTGCAAATTAACGATTTACTATATAGTTTTTCTATTTTACCAAGTAATTCTGTAATTTGTCCTAAATACAATTTGGTTGTCCTCAACCGTGTTCTTCTTCACTACAGTTTGATTAATACTAACCTTAACTTGAAGAGTCGTTTGATTAAAAGTAGCTACAAATAATTAAGTTAATTAAAGTTTACTATTCAGTTACTATGCTTATAAAAATAATGTAGAACTGGTAGTTGGAGATTAAAAACCTCAAGTTTAACGAGTAATTAGTGCTTTACTTTGTTCAATTGCTTTCTACGATTCAAACAGTAGATAAGGTTGTATTTAGCTAAACCGAGGTATTCAATGGAAGCTACTTCTTAATGATTTTTGATGAAGCGTCAAGATATATATATATATATATATATATATATATATATTATATATATATATATATATATATATATATATATATATAACTGAACCTGTATAATTCTGAGAACTAATTATCATTAACATCTACTAATTAGCTGAAAAAATTGGTGTGTCGCGTAGAAAATCATATTTTGTAACCATTATACCTGTGATCAGTATTCGATTATTATTAAAAATTTCTTCAATGAACCTGAAGTTTTGAAGTAGTTCAGTAGAGAAAAGTTTAATTAGAATCATGAATCGATTTAAGTTAAACTACCTTTTAAAACCTGAAAGCACTGGGCGGCTGTTTCTTCCTTGCACGGAACTCTTCAGCAATGTGCATTCGCGATTTCGGCAACCGAGACCAAAACTTTCGGTTTCACGTGTGAACATCTAACCTTTAGTCCACTGAGCCTAGATGTATTAAGTTTAATTAATCCATGACATTATGAAACCACCTCATATTGTGTTTGATGGGTAACCGCCTAACACACACGAATCAGGCGTTCACTGCTCCCAGATTTTAAAAGGTAGTCTAACTTGATTCATGATTTTGGTGAAAGTCAACAATCTCCACAACATTTTACCGACAAAGAAAATTATCTTCTCGACTATGACATATCATATTTATAGTGACTTGATAAACATATGAGTCTGATGTATAGTGGAATGAAATTAAATCACAAAGTGTCCGGAAATTTCAAGTATTGAAAGATGGTTATGTAATAATCTAGAAGTTATTATTATAATAAATTGCGAGATTAAAAATAACTGAATACCGATTTAGGAAGTAAAATACAACGACAAAAACGAAAAGAAAAACATAGGGAAGGAGGTGTAAAGGCTACGAAAGTAATACAGGTTTCACGTTTTGTTCTGATATAAAGAGTTCACGCTTGAGTTGTTGAATTACCAAGATATACGAGTTTTTGATTTGACCTTCATTTGATCCTACTTGCTTTACTGTGTTAATGATTTTCAAAGATGATTCTGGTGGGGAGATGTGACTAGAATTTATAGAATGCATTTGTATTCGGTTGATAATTGTTTTGCATTCTCTTTCTTAAATCTACACCGATTAACGTTCTGAGATCTACTTAGAAAGTGTGTAGAGGTCAATTTTCTCTATATCTGACCCCAATAAATAGTGTGAATATTTACGCAGGCTAAAGCTCCTAGTAGTACCATGAATTTATTCGAGACTATTCAAAAGCCCGAACACCAGTTGTGGAGATAGTTTATTGTTAATGACCAGTAAAAATCTGCTAGCGCGCAGATAGCAATCAGACGAGGAAACCAGTATGTTTTTTGTGAGTGTTAAAAATCCATGTATATTTATGTGTTAATCAATTGTGGATAAATTATTGATTGTTTGTGTTTACAACCAATAAGAGAATAAATAAAGATTAATGTGCAGACATGAGCTCAATCGGACTCACACAAAACTTTACATAGTGGATCAAATGTCTAAATTATAGTGAGCGGACAAATAACAAACCAGTTGAATGGGCTTACTACAAATGTTCGCTTTTTACATGCAACGTTAATTATATTCACCTTTCTATATTTCGCTAACTTCTAGATCACTACTTAACCGTCTTTCAATACTTGAAATCTCCAGACACTTTGTGATATAATTTCATTCCAAAATACATCAAACTCATATGGTTATCAAACCACTATAAATACAGTATGATATAGTCGGGAGGGAAATTCTCTTCATTAAACTTCCCTTTTCTTCAGTGACATAATGAGTTACCTAGTTTCCCTAAAGATTTCAAAGGAAAACATGAAAGGAAATAGTGGTATTAAGTGCCGTTAGAGACATGAGGACGGTTATCACTTGGTTGTCCACACCGTGGAAGGATTCTTCTGGAAGTACATGAAAAGGAAATTGGATTAAAGGTGGTCTTAGTGACCTGAGAGCGTGACCGCAGTGCCCAAACGACAACTGCTTGAGGTCAGTCACACACGACCTTTTTATGAGTAATTTTTGTGTTAGCTCCGTACTTGTTGAGACATCACCGCCGGAGACGGATATCCGTGGGATAAGGCGAGGTGTGCATTTTTAGGGTCGACCTTTTCTAACCCCACCCCTCCTTGTGGAAAGGTGTCATCCCTGTCATACTGGTTGTCTGGAGGAAACACCTTACTGCCAGCAGTCAGCAGTACAACTTCTCCTTCGGACCTCGGGTTTGTTGCTTTTAGTCTTACCGTTCTTCAACTGACCTGTCTGACATGGTAGGACCTTGAGGAACGATTGTTCCAGCCAGTACAGCTCGATTGGTTTATCACGATAGGCAAGCCTGACCACCACGTCAAGGTAGCAAGAAAAGAAACAACTCTTCATAGTACTGTTTTCAAGTGTCCATCAACTAACCATAATTACTTCTTTTGTAAATATCAACTCACACTTCTAGTTCATTCAATTCTAATTCTCTAATTTGTTCTTTTTGTAGTTCATATTCAACTAATTTTTGTATTGCTAAAATATTTTCTTTTTCTTTTTGTCTTCTTTCAATATCAGCTTCATAATCGAAATTTTCTTGTTCTGTTAATTGATTTAACCAATCTAAATCAGCTTTTAGTTCATTTTGTACAGATAATGAACGTCTACGTAATGCTGTTTGATGTTGATGTAATAAAGCACGTCCATATAGCTCACGTTGACATTTTTCTTCAATTATACGTCGTTCATGTTCAAGTTGATCAATTTTAGCTAATTGTTTAATTAAATCTTTCTCTTTTTCAACTAGACGTTTTGCCTAAAATTAATTATGTAATTTATTGATAGAAAAACTTCCAAAAAAACAGTCAATTCAATAAACACATATAATTTAGTACAGTTACAAGCTTTTTAAGCAAAGATAGATAGCGGCTAGCAATAGAATCCAGTTTGATGTGCGTTCCGTCCTATTTGGGACTCAACAGCTGGATGTACCTACATCTCGGAGAGTTGATGTTCGCTCTGGGACTCGAATGCAGTTCCGTTCGCTTCAAACGTCATCGCGTTATCCACTTAGCTACTGAATCCTGATAGCCACTTGCTTGTGCAATGGAGTGAAGTTTAAATTCACTTGGTGTTATTTTACTTGAATCTCCTCACTGTTATTTAGGATCACTTGATAAGTTCTACTTCTCATGAATTATTCTAACATAAATGTCATATACCAGGTTATAAACATCATTCCATTCTCAATCTGAATTAATTTTGAACTGATTGCGCTCACCTTGTAGCTAAATGAATTATGCTTCATATACAAATCAATATTACTTAGAAATCATGCCAGCTAACCAGCTGATATTGCTAAGTGATTGAAATATCATAAAACCGATTCATTCGTTTTATTTTTTTTATCGAGATCATGAACTGATTGATGTTAGACCACCGTCCAATACTTCCATGTTTTCAATGGTAGTCTAACATCAATCGGTTCATGATCTCAATCAAAAATATTTAATAATCTCCAAAACCCTATACTGATAATTTGTTCAATCATTGATCAGTGTTTATAGAGTATTTATACATTAGATACCTTTACATAATGAAATTAATGATTTTTAGAAAAAACTTTACGCTTATTTTTAGCACTCATCCACTACATGAATGTGAAAATACTTGATACTACATACATTGAATGTTGAAATGCAGATGTGCTGCAAATTCACAGATATATATCCTATCATGTTGCTTGGTAGAACAAAGTAATCAAATCAATAATTGGTGAGACAATAATTTATGAACGAACTAATCTGATTTTCGTTCGAAATTCACTCATACATTTGGCTAAATAAAGTTTTGGCTAATGTCAGTTTGTTAAAAAAAACCTTATATCTGATTCCTAATTCCTCATGATGGTTTATAACTCTCAATTAACCGTAGTACATAGGTGGACATTCCTAAGGTCTCTTTAGCGTCGCTTAAATGTCGTTTATAAATTATAGTCTCACTTAATAGTTTTAAGACAAAGATCATAAACTTATAGTATCAATCTCTAGACTTAGACTTATTAAGTAGTCAATTTGAAAGATGTTATTCTATAATTCAGTATCAAACATTTTTAGACGACTATTAATTGATAAGTGAAGAATGCATCATCGAAGTAAAGATTTGTAAAAAAAAAAAGATATTTTGACAAAACCACTACTGTCTGTAATATGTACTCATATTTCTATATGAGTAATCAAATCACTAGTTTGAGTTTACATCAGTTCAATAACACTAATTGTGAAACATATTACCTATTTGAGATTGTCCATCTCTCTCATGAATATTTTATATTTAATAAGTTGGTAAAACGTTGTTAAATCTAATTAATTTCGATCTCTGGTACAACTTGTATGATTAGTTCAATTAAACCGCTAGTGATTTCTTTATCATGTATCTCTTGATTTCTGCAGGAATTTGAAAGACTCTCCTGAACTCACACTGTACGACCATTTCATGTGCCTAAATTAATGATTGCTCTAGTTGTCAGAAGGGGCATCAGCCTTGTGACTTCCGAAGGAACTCGACTTTCATCACGAGGTGTCATAACTCTCCCAAATGAAGACCTTCTAACTCCCAGGGCAGAGTTTAAACGGTTTGAATTATTCCATTCTGGCTAATGTTTTTTAGTGAGGTAGTTTTCTGCGGGATGGGGTCGCTGACCTCATGACCAACCCTCCTACCTTATCCGGGCTTGGAACCGGTAGTAGCCCCAGAAGGGCTCCAGATGGAATCCTTAACGCCAAAGGAAACGAGGAAGACCAAAGAACATATTACGCAGAGGAAAGAAGACAGACATGAGGTGAATGAATAACAATTGGATAGAATTAGAAATGAAGGCTCAGGACAGAATGTGTTGGAGAATGCTGGTCGGCGGCCTATGCTTCATCGGGAGTAACAGGCGTAAGTAAGTAAGTAAGTAATTAAGATTTTTTTATCATAACGCCTGTGCTAGATTATCATAGATTTTGGACAGATCCTGACAACTCAGACAGCATATGATTGTCAAGTTATTTTTATATCATCCTCATGAATTTATTTCTTTTATAAATAACTTTAACTTTAAACACATGTATCTCTTATGTGCCCGTCTTTTCGATTTTCTACTTGTGGATTTTATGTGTGCTTATATATGTATATAGAATAAATTATCTCATCCATTACCTGTTCCTTTGATCACATTATTATAAAAAGTCGTAACGAGTAATATTCTGAGTAGCATGTTTCATCTCTGATTTGCTTCCCTTATTCAAATCGAGTTTCATTTCTCATCATTCTTTACATCTATGTTGATACTCTTTGAATTTTTATCTGACAAACAATGAAAAAGTTTGGGCCACCATAGAAACGCATAACAATCGGAAAGTACTCACATCAGTCTGATAAAAACAATATGATCAACTAAAACCTTACTAGAATTCCATGTTCAAATCATATTCATACTAATGCCAATTTAGACAGATTTTAGTCAACTCACCTCAGTTTCTCGATTGTTTAATTCACATAATTGTTTTTGAAGATATTCCAAATGTTTTTCTTTATCTTGCAGACGTTTCAATTCTATTTCTACATTATGTTTGTCCTCATACATTTTAATATCTGACTGCATTTCGTCACTTACAATCTGACCAATGTTTTCTGAATGTTTTAACTTAATATAAAAATAGATAAAATAATAATTTAATATTTTAAAAAAAGCTTTAATCTTTACGATTTGTACAGAATTTCACCTTCATTTTTAATGTTTAGTAGTTGAACGACCTTTTGATATTCTGTATAAGTTCTGTTCATGATTTCTAAATGTTATATCTAGAACTTATATTCTTGATATACCGAGTATAACTTGGGCACTAGAATGCTAGAACCATTACAAGTGGCAATGAGAAGACAGAAGACTAGATGAATGGAATGTTATTCCTGACAGTGTCGAATTATAGTACAAAACTGTAAGGTATTTATATTTTTTAGTAAAAACAAAATCATCATTATAGCTACCTAATCCGTACACACAGGGTTATTAGCATTGTCCAATCGGGAAGCTACACGCAGAGATTCTATAATATTCTTCCAAAAGATGATTGGATGGAATATCTTCGGCTCTTTCTGAGCTTCTTACAGCTTCCTCGAGTTCACCCAACGACCGTCCTCACACTTAATCAGATTGGTATCATCTGTTACATTAATTGATAATCATAACTAAATGTTTTATTCAATTTTAAATAACTTAAGTCATCTCGGTGTAATCAACCACACACTGATCTTATGTGAAATCACAGAATAATCAAGGAATGCAGATTGCATAACGACACATATGTATAAGATAGATAATTGTCAAGAGATTTTTGAAAGTCCCATTTACAGTAATAACTATGTTTTTGTTATATCCTAATGAGTAAAAAGATTGTATTTCTGACGTTTCGTAAATTAATGTAAGCCACTTCTTTAGAATAATTCCGGTCGTTTATTTACTCTGAAGATGTGCCTTACATTAATTCATGAAACGTCAAAAATACAGTCTTTCTATTGATTGGGATATAACAAAAAATATATTTATTATTAACTCTATACCCAATGTTCAATTTATTTGAAATTACCAAGTCCAACCTTAGTATTGATACCTATACCATTTACAGTGCTTAACAAGTAGAGTATATGAAAATCCTGTGATCTGATAATTATTAAAGTGAAAAAAATGTCATCATAATGCCAAAAATAGGAATTGCTAAATAATAGTAATAGAGCACTAAAAATATGTTTGCAAAAAGCGATACACTATAGTGTTTAGTTATGAAGCCTACAGTTTTCCAAATGGCTTCCACTACTAATTAACGTTCGTTTTGTGTGAAATAAATAACTGAACAAACTAACTCGACCCATTTAACCAAACTGGGTATTTTCAGACGATGACTAAAGTCGTGGTTATTTAAACATAAGCAAACAATCTTTGTTAAAAGTCAGTTTCTTTGACAGTACGGCCGAGAGTGAGGAAGGACAAGTTTCCCCCTCCAAATGCTCTCACACGATCACGTGCATACAACCATTGCCGGGGAAGTCCTACTCTGTACCTTCTCACAACGTTACTGTTGTATACTAAGTTGAGGGGGCGGAAAGCGAATGTTCGACGCTTCAGACCTGTTGGTGGACACGGAGGGTCCACTTCGGGGAGTTGAAGAACCCTCATTCCAAACCAAGTGGTGCACATGAGCTCCAGCATCCTGATGGAACGAATAGTGTATGAACCAATTATTGGTTACCACTTACCATGGGACTGCATTTCCTGACGTTGATCCACTGCCTTGTGGATTTGACATTTAGGTCAAAGGCTCAGGGTGTAGCCCCATATGAGAACCACCTGATTTGGTTCGGACTCCCGGGCAATATCCAAGTCCTCACACAAATCGAATGGTTTGTGTACGCATATCCATTTGGTGTTTTCTTGTACCTATGTTTATGTGCTTAAATAAATAAATCAGCTTCATTGTCGTTAAGTTAATTTGATTAACTGTTTATATATACATCGCATTTCGGTATTTAAAGAGATAGTTATATATTAATTTCTTCCTCAGCCCATGTATTATATAGGTTTTCATCTTAACACTAGAAACTACATCCAATTTCGTTTCCTAATGTTTTCACTTTCGGACTAAAGATGGGACATTAACGTTAAAGCCATTATTGATCAAAGATAAAACCAAGGTTTTTAAAAGTGTCAGGGCGGCATAATGACAACAGTCTCTTCAAAAAAATGGACATTCTCAAAGCCGAATGTAAAGAGTGTAGTACTTGAACGAACTAATGATTAGTTTGTACTTGATTGCCAGCTGATTACGAACTCCAAATATAATAAGTTCACTTATGCTCATCTAGCTCTACCCGTCTTAATCTGCATTATTTCGGGAATTCCTATTTCATACAATAATTCGAATACTTCTAATTTTCATATTGGTGTCGCGATGGAGTCAACTCTTGGACAGTAGGATATTGATTCAAGAAGAGACAACTTCAAAGACTATATGGAATAGTTCAAAATCTGGTGCATTACTAGAAAATATATTAAAGATGATAAATTCATGGCTCATTTCCTGACGTTCATCAGCAAAGAAGCTAATAAACTGCCAAAGAATCGGGCTCTTCCAGATAATCTAATTTCATTGTTATATGAATCTCCGAAGGAGTTACTACTCAGTCATGTGCAGTGTGCCAGCCTTGAGTGCAGAGAGATCAAAGTTTCATAAAATGATGCGATATATTGATCAGAAAGTTAAAAACTTTATACTTAAACTACAGAAACATGCCGCTAAGTGCAATTTCAGAGAGCGATCGGAAATTCAACTTCGTAATCTGTTAATTGCTAGTATGTATATTCTGAATTTAGAGAGAGAGTTAATTCAGTAACTCAAAAGTTCATTCCAAAAAAATTAAAACAACGTGTATTAACTATGAGGCAGTGAATGAGCTTGATTTTTAGTCAGTGGAAATTTCTAATACTTTGCCTAGCTGTTGTGATGAACTACACTCTCAGAGTCACTCAAGCTCGCGTTTGTTCAATAAATGTTCCTATTCTCGTGGAAATATAAAACGTGATCCAACAAAAATTTGTAAAGCATGTTATGAAGGTGATCACGGGTTTGACAAATGTTTATCCTGTGGTAAATTCCACTTACGTTTCGCCACTAGCGAAGATAAACCATGCAGTTCAGATTTTATTAAGTTCAGTGTTTCTAATGGTTATTTATCTTTAACCACCATTTCGAAAGGTAATGTTCATGTTCAGAAGAGATCATATACCTTCCTCAATTCATTTTACGACTTCACTGTGGACATCGGCAGTATAAAGTCCATTATTTCATTCAGCAACCTGAAATCTTTAGATTCTAACATTGTAGCACGACTCACTGAAGTCTCAGTATTGGAGATTACTGGACACAAACTTCCCAAACGAGAATACTGCGAATTGCCAATATAAAATGATAATTATTCATATATGCCTTGTGGGCTCTTAGTTGGTGAAACAGGACCGTCAATAATGGGTTCAAAAATTTGAAACTGCCTAAAGTGGGGTTGTCTTTATTAGTTTATAAAAAAATTTCTGATGCTTTTTTTGAAAATTTGTTAGCTGAGTGTGCTAAGTGCAGTGGAGGCATGAGAATCCAGCTTATAAAACATCAAGTACAGGGTGATCCAGTCTTTATTAAATGACGAATAATTCCTAATTATCTTCAAGAAACAGTGCATAAAAACATTGAACGACTCGTGTACGAGACGTATATTTGAACCGATCCAGTTTTTAGCACGGGGCACTCCTATTGTTACGCCCTTGAAGTCGGATGACAAGACCCCTAGAATATGTAGTGACTATAGATCAACACTGAACTCCTGCTTGTTGAAGCAAACGTGCATGATAGGGGAAGCTGAAGATATTCAAAGTCGACTTCATGGTTCCAAGGTGTTCTCGAAAGTTGACTTGTGTTATAATCTCTTTCTTACGGTTATGACCCCAGCTATTCCTGTTGTTTAGTATTCTCGGACACCGATTCACTCAACAAGTCCCCAAATCAGAACACAGTTGAACAGGAAAGAGATTATATTCCAGATAACAAGGTTAGATAGAAGTAAGAAGCACAATATGGAAAACGTTAGTATATTCGTAGTTTTTACATGAGAAGATTCTAGAGTATTCTCCAAGTATCGAGTAGTGCAGATTGGATAAGAATTAGCCAATCAGCGTGCACTAAAGCAATCGTGCATTGAGCATGCTTTAACCCAGTCTATGTCCCGCTAACAACTTGAAAGATGCCTATCCTCAAATCACTCAGATAAATCTTCATCTGTTTCGACAAAATTAGCACATTTTTAGCATGTCTAAATACAACTCTCCTCCATTTGGTCCAAGTTGTACCCCATCAACTTTCCAGGAAGTGATGAAAAATGCGGTCAGTGATCTTAAAGGCGTTTAAGTTTATCAAGATGATCCTATTACTCATGATCCTGGTAAGGTAGCGCATGATCAGAGACATTGCTTTATTACGTCGTGTAACTGAAAGGAAGTTTACGGTCAATTCAAACAAGTGTCCATTTTGTGTATCCAGTTTTGAATACCTTGGATACTTAGTTTACGTTTTTAGGCCAGATATGAAACATCTAGCTCCAATCACAAGTGCACCATCTCCAAAATATCTTACAGAACTGCGTTCAGTAGTGGGTGCTTTTAATACTACTCCATTTTTATTCCGAATTTTTCTTGTCGTGCTAACTGTTTATTTAATATTTTGACATCCAATTCATTAAATGAGTGACGAACAAAAGTCATGTTCACGAAATCCACTAATTTTCTTCAAAATGATGCTGTTCTTCGAACTTACTTCACAAGTGTACATTCCGCACTTATTGCTGATGCATCACTTTGGGGTATTGGTGCAATTTTGGAGCAGGAAGGTAGACCAGTAATCTGTGTTTCATGCAAATTTACTGTTGCTAAACAAGGTTATTCACAAACGCAGCGAGAAGCAGTAGCTGTGTTTTGAGCCGTCAAAATAATCCATAAGTATTTATTCAGATAAAAATTCATTATTGTTGCTGACCATGGAGTTCTAAAGTTCATTTATCATTCCAAAAAATCATTAGCACGTTCCTCGTTTGCTATGGTTCAAAAATGGAGCATGGCTTTGAGTGCCTGTAACTGTAGGGTTCAGCACAGAATTACTAAACAAATTCAAAATTCTGATTATATCTCTCGACAATCATTACAAGATAAATCTGTTAATACTGCAAACTGTTTATTAGTGTAACCTCTGCCGGTGGGACGTCCAGATCTCATTAGTGGAACTCGTCGATACTTCAAATGTATACTCAGTGATGTATGACATGGTTGTTTGTGCTAATCCGAAACTTAGATTTCCTATCTATTTTTTAAAGGGGGATGAGTTATCCACTACTCCTGATGGTATTTTGTGTTTAAATGATCGTGTTGTCATTTCTTATTCATTACGTAAATCTGTCCTTGAACGTCCTCATAGTGATCATTTGGGTGTTGAGAAAATGAAGACCTTGGCAAGACTAACATGTTAATGGCCGGAGACAAATGTAGATACGTGTCGTACGGCGAAAAATTGTGGACGATGTCACAAGTATTAACTTTGTCGTTCAAGGTTGACTCCATGGTCAGTATCACTCGCGGCCAGGCAGAGAATCTATCCAGATTATTGTGATTAATTTCTCGTCAAATACTATGCACTCGTGGTCATTGATTATTTTCCCAAATGACCTGAGTTTTTTATCATGATTTCATCAAATTTTGAATTTGCAATCCAAACTTTAAGAAATATATCTAGTCGCGAGGTGATTTCTATAGTATTAGTGACTGATAATAGCTCTCATTTTGCAGTAGACGCAGTCATTGCTCCCAGGCACCACTGTTTTCATGCTCAGGCAGAAGCTTTCGTCAGGGCATAAAAATGGCTATTACTTTGATTGCTGCTTTGTTAGCTGAAGAACTGGAGAAGGGAATAGACGCATTTCTACCGCAATATCAAAATTCTAAGCATTTTGTAACGAAAGATACTTCATCAAAGCTATTGAAAGGATTCTTTGTGCGAATATGAGGTGATCAGAGTGTGCAGAAGTTACACATTATCTTGGAAATGATCTTCGACTAACCACGACGACTGTGGTGAAGAATGTTGGAAAATCTATGGTCCGAATTTTAAACACAACATGTTGATCAAATACAATTCCGGGAACCATGTGAGTCTTTTCCAGTTTTGGCCGTTAATTCCGATACAAATAAATACATTCTAGATCGTGCAGAATCTAAACCCAATACATAGTCGGACAGAGACACGATGAACCTCATAAGAAGTACAATCGATTACAGATAATCGGATTTGCATTTAAGCTGTGGAGAATGTGGTATTTGTACGAACTAACGATTATTTTGTACTTGATTGCCAGCTGATTACGAACTCCAAATATAATAAGTTCACTTATGCTCATCTAGTTCTACTTGTTGTTAATTGCACTATTTCGGGAACTCCTAGTTCATACAATAATTCGAATACTTCTAATTATCGTAGAGGCATTTTCATACGTATTTTCACGAGAAGGATATGATTCTCACTGAAAATACTAAAAGCTAATAAATTTTATCTAAATATATAGATACAAATCGTTCCTCATATATTTTGCCTAAATAAATGCATCGTTTAATTTTATTCTAGTTAAGATTACACCAAAAAAAGAGAATGGCTAGTTTAAGAAACAATAACGTTTTTAATGACACAACTAATCTTCCTTTTAACTGTTCTTCATGACCTAAATATTTCAATAGATTCTATAGCTAATTTGACTTTTTGATGCTTAGTTATTTCAAACATTTTGGTTAGCTCAAGGGCATGAAATATTAGATACCAGGCCTTAAAAAATGAACTGAATTTCGAAAACCTTTAAATTCTGAGTCCTCGAACACTCAAAACTTGAAATTATTTTGTTAATCAACAGGCCACAAACAGATGCTAAACTTAAGACACATTTAATCGTCAAGGTACTTTGTAATCAAACTGATAAATCCGCATGAAAGTGTGTAGAAATCTATTTACCTCATGAAATTAAATTTTGACTTACTTTGTTGCGCTCATTTAATTGGTCATTCCAGTGATCTGCAATCTCATTTTGGCCGGCCGCTCTCAACATGTCCCTCACATCCGAATTGTTTTTTTGAAATGTTCCATCAACAAGGTTTCAGCCATCTAGATAATATTATATTTCTAAAATAAAGATGACCTTTCCCTTTTCTGAATCGCGTTCTTTCTTTAGTGCAGTGGACCGAATTAACATGGCTGACTTGGATTTGGAATATTCACCGTATGCTTTCAATAGATTCTAAACGATCACTTAGAGAATAAACGGCTTTACTTTTTCATTTTCTGCATCATTTTCCAGAAGTTGAAGTAGCTTGTTTCTTCTAGCTTGCAAACTTTCCTGTGAACGTTCATTGTTCTTTCCAACAAAATCCTGTGAACTTGTAAAAAGTAAACTCGTAGAGAGCTTAGTTTACCTATTTATTAAGTACTTGTTCGATGACCACTGTTTTTCCTTCTCTGTTCTCACAGTTGAGTTGTTTAAGTAGTTTGAATATCTTTTCCATTGCGCTAACTTCTCAAATTCAATATTATTCCTCTTTATAACCATGTCTTGGTATTTCATCGTTTTGAGAGATCGAAATTGTCTACTTTACAGGACTGAATATCTCTAATGTAAATAAAGATTTCAATAACGCACGTACTTGAAGGTTGCCGAGTGCAGTTTCAGTTTCAGTCCTGTAGGGATAGAAGGTTAGGTGGTCTATATTACTCCTATCAATTTATATAACTCTGTCGATCCAACTCTCTTTTGAAGGAGTCAGCAGACAGAGCTTCAATTACATGTTATCGTAATGAATTCCCCTCGTTGATTCTATGGGAAAGTCGGTAGTCAGCTGACAAATATTTTGTTCTGAGTTAGTGAACATTTTTAGGGTGTCATCACAAATTTTCTTTATTGGCAGACAAAAAGTGATGGCATATCAGATGCAAATTTATCACTAAGTAATTTAGGAACCGTGATCAAGTCACCTTTGGTTTTTCTCTATGACAATAGAAATAGGTTTAGTTTAGCCAGTCAAACATCATATGGGAGCTTTGCTATTCCGGGAATTATCTGAACATTCTCTGAACATTTTCCAACAGCTCATTGTCTAGTTTCAGGGAGGGGCGAGCCGATTGTATACAATACTCGAGTTTAGGACGAACGAATACTGTATATAAAGTCAAAAACGTTTTAGTATCGCCATGACTAAAGGCCCTATGTATTGACCGTAGAGTTCTAAAGCCTTCGGCAGTTATTACATAGCGGAGTGCAGTAGTTCTTAAGTCATGGCTAATAATGGCTCCGAAGTCATTGTGTGTCCGAATAACAGGAGGCTCACTGATATTCGTCGTGTAGGTATCCGTAAATTAGTGACCAATATGCATTACAATGAACTTGGAAGCATTTATTGCTAACCACCAAGTTTTGGACCATTCAGATAATTTCTTCAGATCATTTTGAGGCTGTAAACTGTCACATTCAATTTTATCACTATATCTTCGCATCATCAGCATATACCAAAATAAATGCTGATACAGGAAAAGGCGGTCATCTACACAAGGAAGAAACCACACTGGCACCAAAACTGTACCCTAGAGCACTCCGCCAATCACAGTTTCCCAGCTAGACAACTCCATGTTCACCCACACATTTTGTTGACGCCCAACTCGGGAGTCTTTTATCCACTTCAATAGATTGCCTCCCATCACGATATTACCTTATTTAACAGCCGTTTTGAGGAACTTTGTGAAAAGCCTTACAACATTTACAGGTAACTTTAGATCCATAAGAGCGCACCAATTTTCGCGGGCCACTAATAAGTCAGTGAGAAATGAGTAGTCTGTTCTAAAGCCATGATACTGTTCAGAAAGAATCCGGTTCTCGTCTAGATACGTGAGCAAATCCTTCCGAAATTTCAGCAACGACGCTGGTTAAGCCAACGGACGATAGTCCTCAGGTTTGTGTCTCATACCTGTTTCGACTTGTTGTGGCATTCCTTCTGTCTTATGGTAATCGAAACTGGTTACAGATAGATTAAGACATATGTTCAAGGGATTTTCGACAAAATTTGCCAACTCCTTCAGTAACCTTGGGCTGCATTTCAACGGGCTTGCTTATATCAAGTTTATTTAGCAGACCGAAGGGGGAGTTCTTTGAAAGGTATAGTGTACAGTGTGTGTTAGGGTGTATCCTGGATGCCAGCAACTAACACACTACCAGGCAAAAGGCTGGTTGGTAGCAATGTGGAAATAAAAATAGATAATTCGAGTGCTATCAGATGGTCGTTTCATGAATAAATAAACAATATACTTAATTGATAATGTGCAATAACTTACCTGCGACTGTTACCTCACTTCGATGCGCATAGGCATCTCACCATCATTCTCCATCCAACTCTGTACTGGGCCATCCTTTCCAGTTGCTATTGATGGTTTCCATGTTTGCTTCCAACTCCCGGTACAGTGTTTTCATTGGCTTTCCTCTTTTTCGTTTCCCTTTAGAATTCCAAGTTAGTGTTCGCCCGGTGATGCAGTTTGATGATTCCCTCAATGTGTGTCCTATCCACTTCCAACGTCTCCTCAGCTGGAAGCTGGTTTGTCTTCTCCCACAGTAGGGTGTTGCTGATGATATCCGGCCGACGGACATTCAGTATCTTACTTCGACAATTGTTAATAAATACTTGTACCTTTTTGATGATGCTTGTAGTAATTCTTCATGTTTAACTCATACAGTGGAACTGTCTTGAAGTTGGTATTGAAGATTATGACTTTGATATTTGTTGACAGTTGTTTTGAGTTCTACATGTTCTTCAATTGTAGGAATGCTGTCCTTATTTTTACCAATCCTCGACTTACCTCCAATGTGTCCACTGTATCATATGCTTCGCCTGATATGTGGAGGTCTCCATAATTCAGTCAATCATCAGACGAAAAAGGAAGGGGTAGAGTAGATAGCTTTATATGACTCCGGTTCTTATCTGAAATGCATCTGTTAGCTGTGCTCCATGCACGACTTTGCAGGGTAGTCCGCTGTGTGAATTCCGTATGGTGTTGGTGACCTTCTCAGGTACACCATAGTGTGGAAGTTTGTTCCATAATGTTCTCTTGCCATATTATATCATAATAAGCGATTTGATGTATGGTGACGAGTTTCATTCAAATGATTGTTCAACAGCGATCTGTATTGCCTTAAATTAGTCGGTACGTGATCAAACCTGACCACCCAACTTCTTTTATTTTGTTCCTTGAGTTTCGAAATAGATCCATTCCTTATTAGGTTGCTTGTTGCGGCTGAAAACCTCCAGACACGATGAAGTCGGTTTTTTTCATACCTTCAATAGTAGTTTCATCTTGTCTCAGTAGATACTGTAAGGCTTTGAAAAGGTACTTGAAAGTTGTCCTAAATTCAACGAGTTTGCTCATATTTCGTGCTCAGGCATACGTAACACGTGGCCCAACCATCTCAGTCGATGAAGATTCATAACCTCATCAACTGATTTACCATCATTACCTATTACTTACCCGGTGATCCCAGCAGATGCCAGCAATATTTCAAGGATATGTGCAGTCAAATACTAGTAGCTTACGAGTGTCTTCTACTCCTAATTGCCATGTTTCGCTGCCGTAAATTAAAACAGAACGGACTGCCGCGCAGTATACTCGTCCTTTTATTGATAGACGGATATCTCGCCTCCGCCAAAGGTGACGTAAGTTGGCAAAAGCCAAACGAGCTTTTCGAATCAGTGCTGAGATTTCGTCAGACACCAACCCATTAGGGCTGATCAGACTTCCAAGATAAGTGAAGTTGTCAACGCGTTCGACTACTTCACTCCCTATCCTTAGTTCAGGTGTTGACGCAGACCAGTCCTGAAGCAGCAGCTTGCATTTAGCGAGAGAGAAACGCATTCCAAACATTCTGGCATTGTTGCTTAGTGCTACCAAATTACTCTGCATTTTATCAGCGTCTTCACCAAACAGGACTATGTCATCTGCGTATTGTAAGTCGATAAGTGGACCTCCTGGAAGGAGATCAATACCCGAGAATTCAGTCGACGAGAGTGTTATTTCCATCAATAGGTCTATGATGAAGTTAAACAAAATTGGAGAAAGTGGGCAGCCTTGACGGACACCGATTCAGGTTGCAAAAGCAGATGGCAGTCCGCCATAAGCTTTGACTCGACTAGTAGTGTTGGAGTAAAGAACCTTTACAAGGTTTATGTACTTCTGATGTACTCCTTTCAATGACAGACACTGCCACAGAACCTCGCGGTCTACAGAGTCAAATGCTGCTTTTAAGTCAAGAAAGACCACCATTGTCGGACGCTGATAAGTATGTCTGTGTTCTAGAACCTGAGGAATAGTGAATATGTAGTCAATGCATCCACGACCAGGTTTGAAGCCAGCTTGATTCTCTCGTGTTTGCAGTTCACGAGTCTCAGTTAGGCGTCCGATAATTATTGAGGCCAGTATTTTAGATACTATATTAGTTAAACTAATCCCTCTATGGTTGCCACAGGATGATTTCGACTCTCTATTATATATTGTGACCAGTCAGATGGAATAACGTCTAACTCCCAGATCTTAGCTAAAGTATTAGTCAACCTAATCGCTAAAATTGGACCACCATCCTTAAAGACCTCTAGGGCCAATCCATCTGGACCAGCTGCCCTTCCTCGTTTCAGATTAACTATAGCCTTTGAACTTCTGCTAGAGTTGGGGGACCTACTTCAACGTTCCATTCACACTATCTGAAAATGGTGGGTAGTCGCAGAGTAGCTGAAGGTCAGCTGAACTGCTCCTTAAATTGTTCCGCCCATCGTTCTAAACGTCTGGACTGGGAGCAGATGAGTGTCGTCTTCTTCCGAGACAATCTGACTTACATTTGGCTCATTAATTCCAGTTTCTTTCATTAGTCTGTGGAGCTGTCTTATGTAAACTACAGCCGCCGCCTTTTCCATCTCTTTTGCTTTCTTTGCCCACCACTGCTCACAGTCGTTCCTTAGACTTTTGCTTAACCTACATCTGATTTGTTTTGCTTTTCATCGCGTTTAGAGTCTGATGAGATGA